CAACCTGGGGAGAGGGCTCAGAAGAGGGCTTCCCTGGAGGGCGAAGGGTTAAGCACAGCACTGTGAAGCTATCTGCAGCCTCTGCAGCATTAGTTCCATCCCTGGCCAGGGAACAACCCACATGGTGCAGGAGACCTCTCCTGTCCTGCCCGCTGCTCCCCTCAGCAGTATATTTTGGTAGATCTGCCTTTTCTGTTCTCCACTCTGTCTCTAGTGACTCCTCTTACCCTCCACACCTCTGGCCTGCACCCCAGTTCTTGTATGCATAAATAAGTAAATCTTTAAAAATAAATAAATCTTTACAAAAATTGAAGTAACATTATATACATTTCAGATATTTATCATTAAAAATCAACATGTGTCTATAGCTCATTAAATTCATCAGTAACTCTTGTTAAGGCTGAATAAACCACCCAGGACTGTTTCTGCCTAGACCGGGGAGTATTTCTTTGGAAAGTCATCACCAAGGAGGTTAGTGCTTCATCTCCCACTTCCCCTAGGGGAATAGGAGCCTGATTGCAACTGGTGTCTGGCTATAAACTACAAATCTTCAGCCAAAAAGATAAAAGGAATTTTTTTCTCTTCATGTTAAGTAACTACCAAATGAATTTAGGATGCATTTTGTGTGATAAATGGTGCCAAGTCTTTTTATTTGAGAACTAGTAATTATCTCGAGAAAATATGTACAATAAATTGTATCTGCTTGGCTCTATAAAAGGGCAAGATTTGTTTGTTTTTATTATCTCCATAGCGGATTGCCTGTGATTCACATTACATTCTAGTTTAATGCTTACTCACCAATAACATTTTCTTTTTCTTCTACTTTTGTGGATTGTCTATGGTTGCAGGAGATTTCATTTTTAATTATATTTCTTTAACAACACCTCCATTCACTTTTTTTTTTTTAAATATAAATGGTCAATTATTTGTGGTTTTTTGTTTTTTTTTAAGATTTTATTTATTTTATTTATACAAGCACTGGGTACAGTCAGAAGCGTGGGAGGGTGAGAGAATTCGCCAGAGCCAGAGCGGGGAGCAGAGCAGGCAGAAGGACCGAAGTACACTGCTGAGGGGAGCAGCGGGCGGCAGGAGAGGTCTGCACGCCATGTGGGACCCTCCTCTGGTAGCCGGGGAGCAGCCGGGGATTGAACTGGCGCCGCAGAGGCCGCGGGCAGCTTCGCAACCCGGTGCTCAACAGCTGCGCCACCCGGGAGGCCCCACCTCCATTCACTTTTAAAAATTAAACTTTTGGGTAATTAACTCTAGGAAAGATGTTAGGGTGGCAGGTTTTCTCTTATTTGTGAGAAAACCTGAAATTCAGGAAACTCTAACTAAATTGGATGACTCAGTGAAGAAAGAAGAAAAATTATTAACAAAGTTTATGTTAAAAATTAGGAGTGTCCACTCTTTGCTGTCCTAACTAATCTGGGGCTGTCCTAGTTTGTTTTTCCCTTTATCAGCAGGCAAAATTATTTTACCAAGATGAATAATTACAGTAAGTTTATGGAACATCTTCCAAGTTATCTAAAGTCTCTTGTGTATAGAAATCTGGGATTGTAAGAATAGAGCATAACAGCAGCCATTTTAAAGTACAGCAGCCATTTAAGAGCTTAGCTGACAGTGAGGTTGCAATTCCTGGAATCCTAGGGTCCAAGAACCAGCATCTGTAACCATTAGATTACCCTAACAGTCAGATTCCTAGAATCCACATCTGAAGCTGTCAGATTACCCTAAGGGGCCCATTCTGTATGCCTATTTAAACTGCTTAATTTTGGTGCTCGGGGTCCAACCCCATCTGGGCGCGGCCGCTGTGTCGGTTCTACTCCGGGGGTTCAGACCCTAGCTCGAGCTAGCTAATAAAGGCCACCTTTGCTTTTGCATCGAACTTGGGTCTCGGTCATTCTTGGACTCGGCACCGGAGTGCTTTAACAGGGATAACATTCAATGGACTACTGTTTCGTATGTGGAGGAATAGGTGTGTGTGTGTGTGTGTGTGTGTGTGTGTGTGTGTGTGTGTGTGTGAGAGAGAGAGAGAGAGAGAGAGAGAGAGAGAGAGAGAGAGAGAGAGAGAGAATGAACATGTTATTAATTTCAGGAAAATGTGGAAAATGCAATGTAATCTAAAAGACCCCTCTTCAATGGCCCTGCACCTTTTGCGTTCCCAAGAGATCAGTAGCTGGGAGTCAGTTTTTCAGCAAATGGACAGACTGCTTGGCCAGGGAATAGGGCTATTCTACTCCTCACTAGCATGAATTAAGAGATGCCAGACGCTGAGTGGGGCAGCTTGAGCAAACAACTTGCCCCATGGGTGACTGATTCAGTTCCGATATTTTCCGAAGGCCAGTTTGAGTCCAGAATCAACAGGCGTGAGAGTTAAAGATCAATCTGTCAATTTAAGGAATGGCTTTGCTCCCTAAATCTCAAGCGTCAATTTTACTTAGGCCTCTAGGTGGAGAAGTTGAGCTATGGAAGTGTTGACCATGAGTCATGAAAATTTATGATTCTGAATAAGGTCGCAGGACAGAGCAGGGCATTTATGATAGTCACACTGATTTGTGTAAAACCAGCTCTGGACAAATATAAGTACAACAACATGTGTATCAAAAAGAAGCCAAAACAACAAATCTTTGGGCTGTGTGTTCACTTTCCTTCTCATGCTTACCCCAGATTCAGAGGTAAATGACAAAGGATGTGAATTGAATTGGAAATAAAGCCTGCATGTTTATAAACATATGGTGAAATCACAGGAAAGTTGAGATGGTGTTTAAATTTACTTTCCCATCCTTTGGCATTACTGTAGAGAATTAATGACCAATATAAAAACTGTTTGGCTATACATTCAAGATCATAGGATAGGGCCTCCCTGGTGGCGCAAGGGGTTAAGACACAACCTATGAAGCAATCCGCAGCCTCTACAGCTCGAGTTCCATCCCCAGCCAGGGAGCAACCCACATGGCGCAGCAGACCTCTCCAGAATCACCCGCTGCTCCCTTCAGCAGTGTACTTTGGTCTATCTGCCTGTTCTGTTCCCCACTCTGTCTCTGGTGAATCCTCTCACCCCCACCCCCCACCTCTGGCCTATACCCCAGTGCTTGTATACATAAATAAATAAATCTTTAAAAAAAAAAAAAGATCATAGGATAGATAATATAATTAGAATGGCCACTTGATCAATAATCTACATATTGTATTACATGTTTTACATACAATCTCTCATTTACTCATGCAAGAATTCTATGGGAGAAATACAATTACCTTTTTTTTATATATATAGATGAGGACATCCAGGCTCATAGGACTTAAGCAAGTTGCTCAAGGATACCCCAATAGCAAGTGACAGACCTAGGATTTAAGTTCAAACAGCGCGTGGACCACTCAGTATCCTAGTCCATAAGTATTTGTTGAAAGATGAATTTGGCTTTGAACTCTGGTCTACATTACTCAAATGCATCTGGAAATGCTGAAACATTTGCATGTTTGAAGACCTGGAGAGCTAAAACTAGCTCTAGGCTAGTCCTTTACAGATTTTCGTGGTCTAAATACTGGGAGAGCTATTTATGTGTAAGGAAAGAACACACTGTAGATGACAGCTATGATTGGTAGGCAGCACTTCTTCCCTCTCCTGGTGTTTTCCTCTGAATCGAGGGTTTCAACATCCACTGTCTTGAGACTCCTGGTTTATCTCCACCTTCTTATTCATTCATTCGCTCAAGGTGGAGTGATTTATTAGGTTGATGAATCTGCAAGCAGAATCAGTATATTCTTTTTCCAGCCTTCTACCTGATTTCTCATGGAAGTGAACTTACCCTTAGAAATCGTGTATTTTCCACTGTTCTCAGTAATGCAGAAACCTTAATCTTGAATGCCTATGGTAGTCAACCAATCCAGTTGTGGGGGTTAGAAGTCAATCATGTTCTCTACATCAGTTCAGTCACTAATAAAGGTAAGCACACACGGGATGTGTGTGTGTGTTAAGTCTCTAGTTGTCTTAATCCTTTGTCTTTGTTTTCAATTGCTTTGGAACTCAGGCAAGATAGCATACTCATTAACAGAATGTCTCAAACACAGTGACAACTGTCATGTGATAATCAATGGGGAAAAACAACTAGTTGAAGTTAGTTTTGGAGCGAAATGGTAGTAGTTCGATTTGATGTCACAACAGAAACAAACCAAATTATCTTCTCTATGAGGATATTTTGTGAATGGAGTCTTTATACTTGCCTCTGAAAAAGTATCTAACACCAGCTGTAGCCAAGAATAAAGTTTGGAATAGTATTCCAATTTTCTGACCCCTGGTTGGAAGCATAGTCTTGAAGAAGACATGTATATATTCCTGAAGAAGACATCTTCTTGAAGAATTTATTAAGGCTTACCACAATTGAGGACATGTGGTATAATAGCTAATCATAGATTTGCGCTCTCTCTCTCTCTCTCTCTCTCTCACACACACACATACACCTATTTCTCTGCATATAAAAATAATAAACCATTGAATGTTATCCCAGATTTTCTATACACAGATTTTAGATAACTTGGAAGATGTTCCATAAACTTATTGTAATTATTTATCTTGGTAAAATGATGTCATTATATAACTAATCACACACACATGTGAATCTAGGTCATTATACCACAGACATAAGTTATAATAGCTAATCTGCTCTGCCTCTCACTGTGTGTGTGATATTTAGGAAACTACTCATACCCACTCTTTCAGTTTATTCATTTGTAATTTGGGAATAATAGTATCTACCTTACATGGATATTGTGGTGATTAAACAAGTTTATAACTGTATAGAATGTTTTGTATGTCCAGCATACAGAAAGCATGCTACAACCCATTGCAAGAATTATTTTTAAAAATGATGTGCAAGATATTGTGCTCATTTTCATAGATATAACAATGAACAAAACAGACTCTGGAAGTTTCATTTAAAGCTTAGTTATATGGTTCAGTCTAAATCTTGAACTCTCTGAGAGTTGTCAAGATGAGTGAAATACAATGAATGATAACGATTAGTGGGTCAAGAGCAACATTTAAACTATACTTTAATAGTATTTTGTTTTCCATTAAATGAATCAAACAATTTTGACCTTAAAAGTAATATTAAAAAACTATCTAGGTGGCATAAACTAATTTTCTGGCTCTAAAACTAAACTTACTCTAGGATTTTCTAAGATACTTTCGATATTTAAAATAGTAGATATTTTAAATCAAAGAAAATTTGTAAAAACTGTATTTTAAACAGAATATCTGCACGATCCTTTCTGTGTGGCATCAAGGACATCCACGTGGGATCAATCTTCAAGTTGTTCCTTTTGATATGGGAACTGGAGGCTTGTCACATCAGCCATGCCTGCCACAAGTGCTTCTGTCTTCCAAACAGTCTCGTCTACCATTCCTAATGAAAGTGGGAAGGAAAAAAAAAAGATACAAAAAGGCTTTGGAATCTTCCAGCACTGACCTTATGACCCAGCAGGCTATACTAGAAAGTCAGTTTTCCCACAGGAAACATTTCCTGGCCATTATGGTTGAGGCTAAAAGAGGAAGTTGAGCAAAAGAATGTGAGTCACTCAATACCTTGAAGTGGTGGCCTGGGGTCTGCCCAGTGGGGACAGCAGACACTAAGAGGATTTTCCATTGTGGGAAACAGTGACTGAAAAAAGTATTGATGGAGGAACTGAGATACAAGGTCAAGAAACTAATTCACACAAGGAGGTAGGGGTAGAAGGAATTAGTGTAATCCATTAACCCAGTTATAGAAACCAATAGCCTTAGGCATCAACGCCGTGGTCAGGAGGCGCAACACCCAGAATCGTGGTCAGGAGACGCAACACCCAGAATCCATCCACAAAGATGAGGCCCTCCCTGAAGATGATAAAACCTAATGCGGCCCTCACAGCAGGGCAGCACTCTGTCTGCCCGCCTGTGACATGGAGGTGCTTCCTTTTGGCAACTCTCTCCCTCTGCAGGGCAGCAGCCTTCCTGCCTGCCCATGACCTGTGTCATGCTGGGACTTCTCTTCACTGACCTCCCTCAACGGAGGCTGCTCTCCTCAAGGCTGCCTGCCTGCAACCATGCAGGCCGGCCTCTCTTAGCAAACCTGTCCCTTTTGGGGCAGTTCTTTCTGCCCGTTTGTGTCTATACAAGTGTTGTTCACTGTCCTATCCCTTTTCTAATAAACCTGTTCTTTAAATATTACTACTGTCTCTGTCTTGTGGAGAAACTCGCCTGGGAGAATTGCTGCATGCAGCCAAAGTGGGAGCACTGGTGAAACCTTTCCCAGAGTGAACCCAAGGACCCCGCACTCCTAACTCCAAAAAAATGACATCAGTATCACCACTGAGTTCAGCTCTGGCTATGACCACAACATGCCAGCACTATGAGAGCTGAGTGTCATGCATGGTAGAAAGGAACACACAACTTCCAAACAATTCATACTGTAACAGGGTGGTCCCCAGGAAAGAGGAGGTTCCAGGTTTCCTGCCCCACCCAAATGGAGGGTGGAGCTGAGCAGGGAGAGAAGAGGCTGCAGAGGAGACTGAGGAAGGAAGGAAGCAGGAGGGAGCCAGAAGGAGACCTGGAGGAGGCGCTTGGAGCCTAGAGACACGTGAAGAAACTAGAGACACGTGAAGAAACTGTGCTTGCCTTTTGGTCGTGGACTAGGTGACACAGATGTGGGTGAGACCCGTGGGGAGGTGACAATGGCAGCTTTTATCTTGATGTTGATTTTGCTCTTTTCCTTCTGGACTTGTCTGGTTGTTTCTGGCCCTTTTCTGTGGGTCCCCACTGGAAGATGCTTTAGACTTGTGGCAGGCTTTAGGGCCTTGCTCTGGGCCAATCCCATTTGGATGGACTTTTACCCACGAGGGGACGGGTAACTTTGGGTGCTTCATTTAGAAACTAGACTCTTTGCCTTTCTTGTATTGTTTCCTAGTTGTATTAAAGTTCCTTCCCATTAAAGTCTCATATTGTTTTGTGTTGATGCAGCGGATGGCAGAACCCATTTAGAATAGGCAGGTTTGCGGGGTTTGGGCTGCCCCTCTCCCTGCCCTATAACAGAGTCGGTAGAGCATGAGACTCTTAATCTCAGGGTCGTGGGTTCGAGCCCCACGTTGGGCGCCAAAGTCCCCTCGTGGGTAAAAGTCCATCCAAATGGGATTGGCCCAGAGCAAGGCCCTAAAGCCTGCCACAAGTCTAAAGCATCTTCCAGTGGGGACCCACAGAAAAGGGCCAGAAACAACCAGACAAGCCCAGAAGGAAAAGAGCAAAATCAACATCAAGATAAAAGCTGCCATTGTCACCTCCCCACGGGTCTCACCCACATCTGTGTCACCTAGTCCACGACCAAAAGACAAGCGTAGTTTCTTCACGTGTCTCTAGGCTCCATCCTGCTTCCTTCCTCAGTCTCTCCTGCAGCTTCTCCTTTTCCTGCTCAGCTCCACCCTCCCTTGGGTGGGGCAGGGAACCTCCCCCTTTCCTGGGGACCACCCTGTTACAATTTCATTGCAAATAATCTTCACAAATGCTGTTTTATGGTGTTATTGCTAGCCTTAAGTCTTTTTAAAAATATGGCCTTTGCCATAGGAAGTGGTGTGGGAGAGCTAACATTTTTTAAAGTGGAGATAAAACAAATTATCTGAAGGTCATTCTTTAATTCCACGACATGCTGTATGTAACACAGAGTAACACAGAGCACACATGCACAACTGTTTCCCCACAGATGCCCTTTTGAACAGTCAGCAGTAAACTGGTTTCCTCATTGTCCCCCCAAAGTCTTGCTCTCTACTCTGAACATCCTTCTCTTTTCTCCACAGACTCTGTTTATACTCGGTAGCCAGCTATTTCTCTTTTGCATATTCCTTTAACATCAGTTGGCACTATCCATAGTGTAACAGGGTGGTCCCCAGGAAAAGAGGAGGTTCCAGGTTCCCTGCCCCACCGAAAGGATGGTGGAGCTAAAGAGAAGAGAGGGACCTGGAGAAGGGACTGAGGAAGGAAGGCAGCAGGATGGAGAGCCAGAAGGGGACCTGGAGGAGGCACATCTCCTTGACTATCAAACAATCTTGTAAACTCTATACTCCAGAATTTGAGATAGGACACATTTTGAGGCTGCTGGGAAGGGTCAGATTTATGAAGTAAGGATGGGGTCAAATACAGTGTGGAGAAGGGTCTGAGGACAGATGTGTCTGGCAATGGCAGCGTTGTATGCTCATCCTAAGAACCAAAACACTGTAAGGACCTGTTTGATGTTATGCAGACCTTTTCATTATGTAAAGTTAAGTCACGATTCCAGGCTGATCGTGGTGGGGCAAGGGTTTGGGAGTACTGGGCAGGGAACATGATCAGAAACACAGCCAGAATCTAACACAGGAAACAAAAACATCTACAAAATAACACAATTTGATGATATGTATATGTATTGCTAGTGGATGTTTCTACCATTCAATGGACTGTCTCTCACTTTCATACAATGTCTACATTATCAGGCAAGCATTATTTATTGACGAAAAAGCAGCACTTTAGGGGAATATATACAGGAAGAACATTACCTTTTCTGGTGCTATTCTTTTAAATTTGTTATGAAGCTGACTGTTAGAAGCTTGACAGCTGGCCAGAGCTAGGGAGAAAGACAGTCTACTCCATAGGGTCTAGAAAGCATCTAATATTTTATTAAGTGCCTTCCTTCCTTTTTAAAAAAATTATAATTTCCCTGTTACTTCCTAGTCTTCAGTAGCAGGCATGTTTGGGAGAGTTAGAAGAAGTAACTGTATTCATATTTTTAATAATTGTAATAGGGGGAAGAGTATAAGATGGGTGTAGATGCAGTTTACAATGTTCAGAACAGCTACCTGGGAATAGTGGTATTTATGGGCATGGATTGTTTGTTATGTGCCAAACACTATGCAGTGCCTGTTCCATTTCGTTAATCCCCACATCAGCACCCTGAAATAGATATGCTATTATCCCTGCTTTCTAGATGGGGAGAGTGATGTTTAGGTAGTTCAAGACATTTGCCCAAGGTCATATGGCTAATAAATGATGGGACCAGGAGGCAAACTAATAAATTTTACATCCATGACCAAATGTTTAGACCTCCAGGCAAAGAGCAACAGCCAGGGAAGGTCTGAGGAAAACCTTCCCTGAGAAGACTCTAAAATACTTAGGGAGGAAATGACCTTCCTGCTTTCAGGTAGGATGGGAAACTGCTATTAATGAGTGCTGGCTTCTTGGAAACCAAAGAACTTGTACTCATTTGCATGAGAGAAGCATCCACAGAATCTGTCATCCGTTTTCATTTACTATGCACTCACATGCACTCATGAAGGAGCATATATTCTCAGGGTTTTGTGCCTTGTACTAATGGAGCAAGTGAACATAATTGATGTCAAACATATATTCAACACACAAATACACAATTTTCTGGCTTTTGCTGTTGCAGCAGACATTTTTTTTTTTTTTGGACTCTGAGTATTATAATCAAAACATCTTGGAGTAATACAACCAGTAGTCTTAACAAAGACTAGCATTAAAAAAATTCTCTAGGCTATTGTAGAAATCATAATTTACTTTCACTCTTTTCACAACCCAATGTCATTTCAAAATTTGGGCATCATAGTGTAACTGATCCAACTTCGTGGCAGACAGTGAAATTGATCAATATTTGTGGGCCTTTCTGAATAATGTAGCTTAGCTGGGCACAGATTAGATTAGGGCATTTATCATTGAGCTTGGGCTTTGTGACAGGCACTGTGAATACAAGGACAAATTGTATTCAGGTCTGAAGATTCCAGATGCTTAGCTGAGGTAGCAATGAAGTCTTCAGATCACTTCAAATTTCAGCACAAACTGGCAGACTCATGCACTACAACTGTAGCCATTTGAGGGGGTGACTGGTTGTTAATGTGACTCAAGAATATTCTGGCACCTCTTGAACTTTGTTTCTCTCTGACATTGGTCTAACATTTACCTAAAAATATAAATACAATTTTCATTGCACCCTGCATTAAGAGAAAATGTTAATATCAAAATCTACAAAATAATTAGCAGATGAACTTCAGAATAAGAGAAAATCACTGGTAGTTTTCATAAATTCCAAATTCTCTTTTACTCCAATATTTTTTATTTGTTCATTTTTTTGTTCATATTTATTTTTTATAAGTTCATCTGCTAATCATTTTGTAGATTTTGATATTAACATTTGTTAATATTGTTTTAACAATATTAAACTTGTTTAATTGTTTTAAACTTACCACAACATTTTGCTTCATTTTTAAGATCTTCTTCCAATATTTGTTCTTCAACTAAATGGAAAAAAGTATATGTTAGTTAGCACTGAAACAAAGAACTGTTTTAATTAGTCCAACTATCAAAAACTAGGTTAAAACTAGGTTAAAATCATTTACAGTCAGGACTTGTGATGTGAAACTGAGGGCAATCTCAATTCGTGACAAGAAAGGCCACTTTTTAACAAGAAGCGTTAGAAGTATTTTAAGATTATGCAACAAATGTGCGGGAGTGTGGAAAGCAGAGAGACAAAATCATCCAATGTCCCTCATCCCAAATTATTTTATATTAATATGTATTGGGAGTACCAGGCCCATTGGCAAGCAATTGGGATGCATAAGAAAGCAATGAGTTATGGTCAGTACTTTCCTGGGCAGACAGACTCGCAAATATACCAACAAAAAAAGGACAATGTGGTAAAAAGAACTGTGTGCTTAACAGACTATGGGAGCACAAGGGGAGAGCAGTTTTGAGAATTTGGGATGTATCAGTTATGTATCCATGGCGAAGAAGCTGAGATATAAAGGATAAGAAGTTAGCTCCACAAAACGGGAGTTGTGGGGAGGTGTTTATTCAGAGTGTTCCAGGCAGAGTAATAGAAGGAATGTGTCTAGGAATGAGAACGGCCAGATGGCTCATATTTGCTTATCATTAGTGGTTTATTATGACTAGGTTTTAGAGAGAGGAAAGGAGGTGGCTGATGAAAGAGCAGTTAGTGAAGATTCGGATACCATGACCTGTTTTAGCTTGAGAACGCATGCGTTGAAATTATTGTGTGTCCACACTACTACCTCACACCATACACAAAAACCAACTCAAAATGGATTAAAGAACTAGACATAAAACCTGAAACCATAAAATACATAGAAGGAAATATAGGCAAAACACTACATGATATGCAGATCAAAGACATCTTTACAGACACATCACCCAAAGCAGTGATAGTGAAGGCAAAGATAAACAGCTGGGACTACATCAAATGAAAGAGCTTCTACACAGCAAAAGAGACAATAACAAAAACTAAAAGAAACCCCACCAACTGGGAGAACATTTTTGCACACAACACTAATGATAAAGGACTGATCACAAAAATCTACAAAGAGCTGATGAGACTCAACAACAACAAAGAAAATAATCCAGTCCAAAAATGGGCAGAAGAGCTAAAAAGAAACTTCTCTGAAGAGGAAATGCAAGTGGCCAACAGGCATATGAAAAAATGTTCACCATCACTCGTAATCAGGGAAATGCAAATCAAAACTACCATGAGATACTATCTAACACCAGTGAGAATGGCACATATTAAAAAAACTAGCAACAACAAATGTTGGCGAGGTTGTGGAGAAAAAGGAACTTTCCTGCACTGCTGGTGGGAGTGCAAACTGGTCCAACCACTGTGGAGAGCTGTGTGGAGATTTCTTGACCTACTAAACATAGAGCTTCCATATGATCCAGCAATTCCACTCCTAGGTATTTACCCAAAGGACACAGAAACATCAATTCCAAAGAGCACCTGCACCCCTATGTTTATAGCAGCACTGTTTACAATAGCTAAACTTTGGAATCAACCCAAATGCCCAAAAATAGATGACTGGATCAGGAAGATGTGGTACATATACACCATGGATTATTACTCAGCATTCAAAAAAGATAAACACATGCAATTTGCAGCAACATGGATGGCGCTGGAAGGGATCATGCTCAGCGAAAAAAACAGAAAGAAAAAGAAAAATATCGGATGGTCTCACTCATAGCAGGAATCTAGAAAACTTAAATAAGGGACCAGGAAAATGAATATCTATAAGAAAGTGAAAATCATAATCAACCAACAACTATGAACCAGAGACACTTTATGAGGGGGGGGGGAGGGATTGGGGTCAAAATAAAGGGGTTGCAATTGCTTGGGGAATATAAAAATAAAAAAATTTAAATTTAAAAAAAAGAAAGAAAAAGAAATTATTGTGTGTCCACATGGATTATATACTTGTGAAATAAAAAAGATACAATTCATTCAAAATTCACAATGCAATGTTCTATAATTGGTATTCTTATGTGACATATCACCAATTTTTTCTAAGTTGCTAAATGAGAACTTAATTGATCAATGTCTATATACCATTCACTCATGTTGGTTGAGGAGTTAATTTGATTAATAATTTATTGTTAGACATTTTGATTACTTCTAATTTTTATTTCTATAAATAATCTTCAATTACCATGTTAACTTTTTAAACTTTATTTCTTCAGAATAAATGTCTAGAAATTATGTTATTTAATCAAAGGATCTAAAAACCTTTATGACTTTTGGAATTGTGATAAATTTATCAATTCATACAGCATCAACAAGTAAGAATATATGTCAAGATTCACTATATTTTTGTCAATACCTATTATAATTCTATAAAAAGTGTTACTAGTAGACAAAATATTTATTTCCATTTCTTTAACATTAGCAGTGTTAAAGATTTTTCCATATGTTTTTTTTTCCTGTGAATTTTCCTTTCCTAATCTCTTCACTGGTAATATTTTTATTGTTACTTAGGATTTTTATAATTTGGAACATTTTACCCCTTCAGTGAAATGTTAAAAATGATAAATATTAAGTTATTTATTCCAGAATTTAATTCTTTATTCATTTTTTTTAAAGATTTATGTATTTATTTATACAAGCGCTGGGTACAGTCAGAAGCCCGGGAGGGTGAGAGAATTCACCAGAGCCAGAGTGGGGAACAGAACAGGCAGACCAATGAAGTACACTGCTGAGGGGAGCAGCGGGCGGCAAGAGAGGTCTGCGCGCCATGCGGGACCCTCCTCCTGTGGCTGGGGAGCAGCCGGGGATTGAACCGGCGCTGTAGAGGCTGCAGGCAGCTTCACAACCCAGCGCTCAACTGCTGCGCCACCGGGGAGGCCCCTTTATTCATTTTTAAAATCTACCTCAAGCCTATTTTCCAAATTTAAATCAATGGCTTAATAGTAGTTACTATTCATTTATGTTATGTTTTACATTTATTACTGTGAAATTCATATGAAGAATAGGCTTTAAGTCAGATTAGCCATTGAGGTCCAATGATTTAGATCTCTGCTCTTCAGATTGTTTTATATCTCTGTTGCTCTGTTGTTCATACTCCACAACACTTCTTCCATTGTACTTCTATAAAAATGTTTTAATTTTGGGAAAACTAGAAATTTCCTTGTTAATTTTCATATATTATTATTATAATTATATACACGTGTTTATTTTTACAGATGAAATATAGAATACTTTCTAACTTTAACTTAGGTGTTCTCAGTTTGACTTTAACATTAGATGTCACATTATGGCCATTAAAAGGACTCCTCTGAGTCTAGACAGAATGCATACAATAGTTCCTAAATAAATACATGACTATATTATAAATTAAAAGTCAGTTTTCAAAGAAAACTGCACAAAGAAATTAACTCACATGCTGAGGTAGATTTGTGTGCAGACAAAAACTTTCTGTTGCTCCTCCTCCTATTGAGTTTTTTTAGATCAACTTGTGTTTCGACAATCATTACCTTTGTGAAATCTTCAGTGCCTTGTACCTGACAGTTGACAGAATACAAGTTAATTTCTGAGTTTATACAATCACACAATTAAATGTTTCTCTAGTAAGCCACAATCTCACATCTTCTCTAAAATTCTGACCCCAAAAATGAAAAATAGCAATAGATTGCTCTGGCTAGGACTTCCAATACTCTTTTGAATAGTAGTGGTGAAAGTGGATGTCCTTGTCTTGTACCAATCACAAAGGAAGTGGTTTCAGCCTTTCACTGTTGAGTATGATGTTGGCTGTTGCTTTGTCATCTATGGTGTTTATTATGTTAGTGTATGTTCCATCATTACCCAGTTTTTTGAGGGTTTTTATCATAACTGCATGTTGAATCTTATCAAATGCTTTCTCTGCATCTGTTGATATGATTGTATGATTTTTCTCTTTTGTTGACATGGTGAATTACATTGATTGATTTTTTTTGCTGTTGAAGCATACTTGTGTGGCTGGAATAAATCCCTCTTGGTCATGATGTATGATCCTTTGGTTGCATTGTTGAGTTCGGTTTGCTAAGAATTTGTTGAGGATTTTTGCAGCTATGTTCATCAGAGATATTTATAATTTTCTTTTTCTGTGATGTCTTTGTCAGGTTCCACTCTCTTTTATTGGAAAAAATTTTAAGCATATAGAATAATTGAAAAAGTGCCATAAGCATCCACATGCCTACCATCTTTGGATTTAATATTTATTAACATTTTGCAATATTTTTTATTCTTTTATCTGAATAATTTGAAAGTAAGCTGTAGACATCATATTACTTCACCCAAGTCTTCTAGGATGTGTCTCCTATGAAAAAGATACCTCTTACCTCATGATTCCTCTTCCCCACCTCATGTTTTTTTTGGTTCCAAATGTACCATGCAAACACTATTCCAGCTATCAGTGCTTTATTAATATATTCAGGTATTTTTCTTTCCACTTGGCTATGAGATTTCTTTAGGGCAAAATGCAAATCTTATTTGTCCTGAGCACAATAGCATATAGCACACTCTCTGTCATGTTATTTGCCTAGTATATATATACCTAAGTTAAATGACTATAAATTTCTTTTTCAGTTTACTTTCTGTACACGTGTTTTCTTTGCCCCTCAATTTTTTCTCACATATGCCACTCGTACTGTATCCCTGAACATGAACATACACACACACACACACACACACACACACACACACACACACACATTTTGTCTTCCTGCAAAGCAGAGCTTCTCATTTTGATTAGGGCAACAAAACTTAAATATAGGAAGTCATTCGCTTTTTTTTTTTAAAGATTTATTTATGCATACAAGAGCTGGGGTACAGGCAAGAGATGCAGGGGGTGAGAGGATTCACTAGAGACAGAGTGGGGAACAGAACAGGCAGACCGACTGAAATACACTGCTGAGGGGAGCAGCGGGTGAGATAGGAGAGGTGTGCCTCTCCATGTGGGTTTTTCCCTGGCCAGCCGGGGATTGAACCCATGTCACAGAGGCTGCGGATTGCCCCATAGCATGGTGCTCAACCCCCTGCGCCACCAGGGAGGCCCAGGAAGTCTTTCACTTTTACATTCACTTTAAAATTAACTGGGGAAATACACACTGATCATCAGTTCAACATGGGTCTGGCAGAACCTTTCTAGAATACTGTTGATACAGTCCAGACAGGGTTCTTCTGCAATGTGTAAATGAACTTAATAGGCCATCTTGCTATTTATAACTGCATCAAAAGCTAAATGTGACCGAAAACACATAGCTTGACTTCCTGCATTGACGTTGAGCAGGAATAGCTTGGTATTTGGTGTGTACATGCTACAGCAAACAGCAAACATGGTACATGTGTGTATGTATGTGTGTGTGTGGTATATTGATGCAGTGATAGGGGAAAGGGAGAGGATTGGAAGGTGGAAAAGTAACAATTTTTCTAATGTGAATACATTGTTGCCTACATTGCATATTTATTTGAAGATATGAATATATGAATATTTACCTGACAACATGTTGTAGGAATTAAGGAAGGGGCCTTATAAGCTTTTCGTAACTGACAGTCTTCTACAGCTCCATGGATGAGGATGACATAAACTACAGTTTCACCATAGATGTCAGTTTTGGTATTCTTTGGTATATCTTTCACAAAAACATTACAAAGCTTTAGTTGCAGCTTGTAGCTCCAATCCTAGAAGGAAAGCACAGTTTCATAATGGAGTGATTATAAAGCTTACCATAAATTCATGAATAGTTATTTTATAACGATGCTTTAATGCACTGCATTCAGAGAGCAGGATGAGTTTTGTAAACACCTCTTACCTCATAAGACAAGTTCTCCTTGATTTTTCTGGCAGTAATAGAAAGTCCAAGTTTTAGCCACATTTTGTATTCCATGTGAGGATAATATTGATCAAAAGCTTTATACAAATGATTTTTGGGAATGAAATATGTCTGGAGAAGGAGGAGATAAGTTTAATATTTCATCAGTATACTCATTGTTTTTTTTTAACCATAAAAAATTTCTTTTTATAAATTTTATTTTTGTATTCCCCATACAATTGCAACCCCCTTATTTTGACCCCAATCCCTCCCCTCCCCACCCCGCACCCCCATAGAGTGTCTCTGGTTCATAGTTGTTTGTTGATTTTGATTTTTACTTTCTTATAGTTATTCTTTTTCCTGGTCCCTTATTTAAGTTTTCTAGATTCCTGCTCTGAGTGAGAACATCCGGTATTTTTCTTTTTCTTTCTGGCTTATTTCGCTGAGCATGATCCCTTCCAGTGCCATCCATGTTGCTGCAAATTGCATGCGTTTATCTTTTTTTGAATGCTGAGTAATAATCCATGTATATGTACCACATCTTCCTGATCCAGTCATCTATTTTTGGGCATTTGGGTTGTTTCCAAAGCTTAGCTATTGTAAACAGTGCTGCTATAAACATAGGGGAAAAGAAGGTAATGGAGGCATCACACTCCCAGACTTCAAACTATACTACAAAGCCATAATCATCAAAACTGCATGGTATTGGAACAAGAACAGACACACAGACCAATGGAATCGAATAGAAAATCCAGAAATAAACCCACACATTTATGGTCAACTAATCTTTGACAAAGGAGCAAGGAAAGTTTGTTCAATAAATGGTGCTGGGAAAACTGGGTCGCTACATGCAAAAGAATGAAGCTTAACTACTACCTCACACCATACACAAAAACCAACTCAAAATAGATTAAAGAACTAGACATAAGACCTGAAACCATAAAATACATAGAAGGAAAAATAGGCGAAACTCTACGTGATATGTACATCAAAGACATCTTTACAGGCACATCACCCAAAGCAGTGATAGTGAAGGCAAAGATAAACAGCTGGGACTACATCAAATGAAAGAGCTTCTGCACAGCAAAAGAGACACTAACAAAAACAAAGAGAAACCCCACCAACTGGGAGAACATTTTTGCACACAACACTAATGATAAAGGACTGATCACAAAAATCTACAAAGAGCTGATGAGACTCAACAACAACAAAGAAAATAATCCAGTCAAAAAATGGGCAGAAGAGCTAAAAAGAAACTTCTCTGAAGAGGAAATGCAAATGGCCAACAGGCATATGAAAAAATGTTCAACATCACTTGCAATCAGGGAAATGCAAATCAAAACTACCATGAGATACCATCTTACACCAGTGAGAATGGCACATATTAAAAAAAACTAGCAACAACAAATGTTGGCGAGGGTGTGGAGAAAAAGGAACTCTCCTGCACTGCTGGTGGGAGTGCAAACTGGTCCAACCACTATGGAGAGCTGTGTGGAGATTTCTGGACCTACTAAACATAGAGCTTCCATATGATCCAGCAATTCCACTCCTAGGTATTTACCCAAAGGACACAGAAACATCAATTCCAAAGTATATTCATTGTTTTAAAAAATAATATTTTCTTATATGTATTATATGTGTGTATGTATTTCATGCTTCAAGGATCATTTGTTAAAAATGCTATTATAACAAAATCAATTGGCTGCATAGATGTGCCTCTATCACTGGATTTTTTTCCATTCCATTTTTCCATATTGTTTTATCCTTAATCCAATACCACATAATCTTGATTGTAATAGATTTGCAATATCTTTAAATCAGGTGATCTAATGTTATCTTTAATCAAATTTATTTTGCCTATTCTAGGTTCTTTAAATTTTCATATAAATTCTAAAAGTGGTTTGTAAATTTCTATAAGAAAAAGTCCTGGAAATTTTAATTGAGATCTATATAGCTCAATTTGGGAATAACAGACAATTCAATAACATTATGGCTTGAAATCCATGAATATATTTCTCCATTTGTTTAAATTTCCCGGAAAACATTTCTTCTCCTCCTGCAAATTCTATTATACATACATTATACCAGCAGATGAGTCTATACATTTGAAAAATACTGTTCTCTTTCTTTTTCAGACATTATTATTTCTTTTATCTTGTTTCCGGTTTCCTGACTCTTTCTGTACTGCCACCTCCAATCTATTCTCTTCTAAAATTTACATCAGACTTTCTAGATTTCCATATTATGCTTATATTTCCCATCTCTTCTCATTAAGACTATAATTTCCTTTGACTATATTGCTCTTTAATTTTTTAAAAAATCTATTCTTAGTAATAGATTTAGTGCCTTTGTCTGCCTAATCCATTTTCTGAGCAAACTCAATATCGTCTTCTAGTCTTTGCTCCCTTCCCCTCCCCCATCCTCTTCACACTATTTGTCACAAATTTCATGTGTCTTTGCTTGCTTACTCATTCTAATTGCTGATGATGCCTTGTAGAGATTCCAGCTTCTATTTCCATCTCCTAAATATTGTAATATTTTTATGGTAGTAGGCACTTCTTTCACTCTCTAATTGTAACAGGGTGGTCCCCAGGAAAAGGGGAGGTTCCAGGTTTACTGCCCCACCCAAGGGAGTGTGGAGCAGAGGAGGGAGAGAAGAAGCTGCAGAGTAGACTGAGGAAGCAGGATGGAGAGCAGGAGGAGACCTGGAGGAGGCACATGGAGCCTAGAGACACGTGAAGAAACTGCTTGCCTTTTGGTCATGGACTGGTTGACACAGATGTGGGTGAGAGACCCGGGGGGAGGTGACAATGGCAGTTTTTGTCTTGATTTTGATTTTGCTCTTTTCCTTCTAGACTTGTCTGGTTGTTTCTGATCCTTTTCTGTGAGTCCCCACTGGAAGATGCTTAAAACTTGTGGCAGGCTTTGGGGCCTTGCTCTGGGCCAATTCTCCTTGGGTGGACTTTTACCCACGAGGGGATGGGTGACTTTGGGTGCTTGATTTAGAAACCATATTCTTTGTCCTTTCTGTATTGTTCACTAATTGTATTAAAGTTCCTTCCCACCAAAGTCTCATTTGTTTTGCGTTGATGCAGCAGATGGCAGAACCTATTTAGAGCAGGCAGGTTTGCGGGGTCTGGGATGCCCTCCCTGCCCTGTAACAGATTCACCTAGAATTTAAGCTGAACTTTATTTTCTTGAGACCATGTATCTTGGTGGAACTTAACCACCAAATTCTGTCTCCACCTGTAGACCTTGTCTGGGATTGAACTGAGATGCTGTTAGGCTAGCTCTAAAGCAGATGTCACTTTAGGTCATGATGTTTACCCCCAGGAACTATTCATCTGCATGCCTGAGGAATCGCTTTTCCTGTCAGGCAGAACCTTAACTACCCCTAACCTTCGTACTCTAATACCAGGGATTAATACCTCTAATATCTCTGTTCTGGTAAGTTTAGTTCTGTCTCAACCAGGGCGTATGCAGCCTAGCTCTTAACCAAGGACTTGTAGAAAACCATCAGACAGAGTCCTTAGATCTTCTTCTGTGCAACCACTTTTTCTAGGGGCTCCAGGCTGGAACTCTAAGGGCATATCTGCAGCTAGAATGCCGTAACTTCTGATCTCTCCCTTGTCGGCTCAGAGGATCAGCGTAGATTGGGGCTTATCTTATCTCTTTTCTCTTAAGATTCCCAGACTTATGCCACCTGTTTTCCAAAAATGCTGAAAACATTTGCTCCATGTGTTTTGTCAATTTTTATGATTGTTATATGGTAGGTGCTATAGTAGTTTGCTACCAGTAACTCTGTCATGGCTAGAAAGAAGGTAGAGTATTTTAATGCAAATTTCAGGCATCATCATTTCATTAGCACTGCTCTCTTTCTTCTCCCCTCCCCCTTTATATGTTATTGATTTGTTGGGGGAAAAAAAAGGAAAACAGATTATATGTGTAGAACTTCCCATATTCTGGATTTATTTAATTTCCCCCTCCTAGTGTCATTTTCTCTCCTTTCTGCATTTTCTCTAAACTTGCTGGATGTGGGATGCTTCAGGTTTTCTGTATTGTGCGGGAAGACTTTGTGGAGCGCTAATAGTTTGCTGCATTTTCAGATGAGGTACATGACGCCCTATTGTCCCAATTTTAGTCATACTAAGACTGTTTTAGGTGGTGTTGTAAGAGGGTGGTCCCCAGGAAAAGGGGAGGTCCCAGGTTCCCTGCCTGCCTCACCCAAGGAAGGGTGGAGCTGAGCAGGGAGGGAAAGAAGCTGGAGAGGAGACTGAAGAAAAACAGGATGTATGTTTACTTCTTTTTCTTTTAAAAACTCCATTTTCAGAGTAATAGGTTGATATTCTAATGTCCTCATTGGATATTTAAAAAGTTGGCATTGTTATCGCTTATGGATTTTTATATATGGAGTTCAAGTGTCTGCCATTATTTTTCTTTAACGTTCAAATTAGGCCAGTGGAGCACCTGTTGCTTGGAGGCTTTTGTCCTAAGTTACGTCTAGGGAAACTACTATCTACTTTGCTCAACCTTCGTGTTAGTAGATCTTCGATCGTCTTCTTCCTTACCCCTAATTTGTGATTTTGATAGTTAACATATTCCACCCGATTTCTTCATGAAAGACCTCATATAACAGGTTTTTCTGCTTAAATTCTTCTTTCTCTATGGTAGATTAAATTTTGCAAGCTTTTAGCTAGAACATTGTACTCAGGATAAGTATCATTCTGTAACAAGTTCCCATACTATTTCTAGTTTTTAAAAAAGTGTCACTAGACTGTAAATACATACAAAGCACAGGCATAACCTTATATTTGATACTAGATAGCAAACAAAATATAACAGATGATACTTTCTGACCTCCACTACAGTTTTGCAGATGGCAGAATATTTCATGGTTTCTTTAGTTAAGCAGTTTAACTCTCCTATTATTTCCCCACTGATCAGGTAATCTATGTAAGTTAGCTGATCATCTTTTTCCTCTGACTCCCAGAGTACTTTTTCAATTCCCACACGTGGTTTTGATCTTTCAAGCTGTTCAGGAACAAAGAGAGAAAAATACATAGTTAATCTACTAAAACTGTTAGGGGGAAAGGACATGTCCTTTGCTAATTCCATACAGGCTTTGTGGACCCCACCCCCACTCCAGACTAAAGCCATCAAGACATTGGGAAAGACAAATCCCATCACCACCAAAGGAAAGGTGGCTGGGACCTGAGGGTGGAGTTAAGCAGCCAGGTTTGGTTTAAAAACCAGACACATGGGCCTTGGGGTTGCTCTCTCGCGCACCTCCTGGCTTCACGGCTCACAGCTCCTGGCTCGCGGCCAGCTCTCAGAGTGCCATTTGGGATTCCAGATCAGCGGATCGGGTAGGACGCATTTAAAACTTTGTCTCCCACTTTTCTCCCTGAGTTGTACATTTCCTCATTTCCCCTTCCCTTGTGAATACATCTTCTATTAACCTTTCGTGTGTGCCTGCAGCAGAGGATTAAGTCCCTTTTAAGCGCGCGTGTGAGGAACCACAGTCAGGCAACCCGTTTTATATCGGGGCTGCCCTGTAACAAAACAACCTGATTTATGACTTTTCCCCTTTGGTAGTAATAGATATACATATACATACATACATACATACATACATACATACATACATACATACATATATATATATTGTTTGAGGATACTTATTATTTGCACCTTTTAAAGCAAATGTATTAAATTAGCAGTGATTTAGAAATAATACATACTTAAATACTCTCATCTTTCCCATTTGTCCTATTCAGTCTATCTATACTTGCTTTAGAAAGGCTAAATGACCAACTCAGATAAATGTAACAATTTACTTAATTTCCATATCAAGGATCCATCCTTTAATAGTTTCTCGTCATCTATGGGAAATTGATGGATAGTGTTAAACATTGTGTCTGAAACAGAAGATTGTTGCTTGGATAGTAGCTGCCATTCTAAAAAAACCATCACTACAGTTCTTAACATGGAAAGCTATTCATTCTCAATTCTACAAAGTTTTTAACTAATGCTCACAAATGCATTTAAAAGAAACTCTTCCTTACCTTTACCATTCCTGAAACAATTACATAAATTCCTTGGGGCTCATCACCTTCTTTAAATATATCATTTCCACAATCAAATGTTATAACTCTGGCTTCTTTCTAAGAAATATTATCAAATATATGAGACACAAACCTAAAACAATATTTTAGTAATTAGACACAAACCTAAAACAACTATTTAGTAGTTGGGGAGGATGAAGCTCACATTTTAATAAAGTTTTTATATTTTTATTGTAATTGTAAGATCTGAGGTGTTAATAATAAATTTATAAGAGAAAATGGGATTATGAATAGCAAAGAGAGGTGGGTACTCATGGATAGACACAATTTCTGATGAGGACACAAATCATTTAATCTATTAAAGGTGCATAAATCAGATCACCCTGTGATTTCCAGAACACAAGGCATCCCTTGAAGGTGCCTTGCTCTGACATGAAGAATATTTTGAGCTAAAATCTATGGAATCCTCTGAGGCTGGGGATAAGCTTCTGTCCTTATCTATGTCCTTCACCTTTTGCTAGTCAAAGAAGAGATCAAGTCCTTAGCTTCTGACTCTTTTCCTAGTTGAAGAAGCAATTGTCTCCTTTTTATGACCTATAAGAATGTAGTTGGGGGGGGGTCCTCCAGTTGTAGGTTCATTAGTGAATGTTTCTTCTCTGTCTGAGAAGTTCATCTTTATTCTCAGAGTAACAAACTTGTTTGTCATGTGAAATCTCTCCCTTTTCTCTCCTTGATGCCCTAGGTCGCTTAACACAACGTAGGTATCCCTGGTCTGCCCCATTATTCTTGAGATTTTTACAAAAATAAAAGCTCTCCAAATAAATATCATACATATATTATTAAATTTTGGGTTTTTCTCATACTAATCTGTCTGATGTTCATTTGTCCAATCTTAGAAGAACCAAGACGAGGTGGGGGAAATTTCTTCCTATGCCCCAATACTAGAACAGAATGAAAACATGAAACTATCTCATCTAGATGAAAAATAACTAGGACAGATGCAGGTTAATGGCACATGTATATCTCATACATACTCATGTTCTAAACAGCAGGTTGAAAATATAATTGATTTTAGGGCGCCAAGTAGATATAGAAAAAGAATTGTATAAATACAAGTTATACTCATTTACTTGTTTATTCCATAAATACCTATTGAGCACCTATTATGCAATATACCCAGTGCCAGGGACTGAGTATTCAAAAGATGCATGATTTAGACAAATAGTATTTTTTTTTAGGAAAGAGTTTTAAAGATTATTGTAATGTAATATCATGCTATAATAAAGGTGTGTGAGTGTGTGTGTGTGTGTGTGTGTATATTACATATATATATATATATATTATATATATATATATATATAAAATGGATACAATGGTGAAATCTTTGGTCTTACAGACTCATGATGATTGATGGAAGTCTACTGGTGGGGTGTTTAACCCCAAAGCTCATTTTCTTGAGTATCTTTGGGTGGGTATGTTTCCAGAGAAAATAATAAGCAGGAGGGGTTGAAAAACATGTGAAAACAAAGGACCTTCAAGGAAAGTAAATAGCACTCACAGGAGAATGGAATTAGAAAGCAGTGTAAAGTGATTAGGGCACACTTAGGGGTTCAGTATAAATGGAGTGTGGGTATATGATGAGTGATTAACAGGAGATAAAGATGGAGGGGTGGGCGAGAGGAAGGCTGTGGAAAGATTTTGAGTGTCATTCAAAGGGATTTTGATTGAATCTATTCGCAATAAAAGACACTTAAAGAATTTTAAACTGGAAAGTATTACAATTTAATCTTTATTTTTATTTTTTTTTAATTTTTTTTTTTTTTTAAGATTTATTTATGTATACAAGCACTGGGTACAGTCAGAAGCGCGGGAGGGTGAGAGAATTCACCAGAGCCATAGCGGGGAGCAGAGCAGGCAGAAGGACCGAAGTACACTGCTGAGGGGAGCAGCGGGAGGCAGGAGAGGTCTGCGCGCCATGCGGGACCCGCCTTTGGTGGCCGGGGAGCTGCCAGGGATCGATCTGGCGCCGCAGAGGCTGCAGGCAGCTTCGCAACCCAGCGCTCAACAGCTGCGCCACCGGGGAGGCCCTAATCTTTATTTTTAAAAGGTCATATGTTGGTAAATTAGAAATGGCATTACTAGGAAATAGAAATATTACCAGAATGAAGTGTATAAGATGTTTGTCTTTATCCAGCCATGGAACATGGTATAAGACTTCATCAGCAGAAAGAGGTTCGATAGTAGACTGAAAATTAAGTATATCTCTCTTTTTGATCATTATCAACTATCAATAAAACACAAGATTTGAGAAAAGAGATGAATGAAACTGGTGCTCACCAGATATTTATCACTTTGTATTATTTCTTTTTCTTGCTCTTCTAGAATTTTTATTATCTTACGATAAACTTTATGGAAATCTTATGGAAACCTATTATCCTCTGGAAACTTTTTTCTGTGCTATCATTATTCTGAAGTTATGGGCGAGATTTTAAAAGTTAACCATTTAACTGAATATAGCAGATAAGCAACAAATCTTAAGTGTCCACTCAAAGAACATTCACAATGTGAAAATACCTGTGTAACCCACATCCAGATTAAGATATGAAACATCTACTATACCCTGGAAACCTCCCTTATGGTCTCTTCTAGATATGATTCCTATCTTTAGTTGGGAAAGAATTTTGTTGTTTTAGACACAGCAGTGAATTATCCTATTAATCTTATGCCTTTAAGTTAATTTCCTAGGACTTTAAATTCAAGTCAACAAATAAAGGGAATATTTCTAAATGTTTTGCCAACTAATACAATTCATATTTTTAATAGACATTTTTATCTAATTATCGATGGGACTTTCCTTATTAGCCTTGTAAGATCTTTTCTGAGCATTCTGAATTAGATTTAAATTTCATCAAATGTTTTTCCTTCGTTGATCTCTTAAGTGTCTTGTATAGCTATTTTTGGAGGTAAAACTTTTTCACTTATAGTACATTAAGTTTTTAATATACTTCCAGTTTCAATTAGCTATTATGTTAACAAGATTTGTGTATATAATTACAAGCATAGTATATTTATGTTTTTTTCTTATTCTGTTCTCAAATTTGAGAATAAATTTTATACTTAGATTGATTTGTGTTCCTCTATATCTTATTACAAGCCATGATATCATTTAAATAATTCAGAGATATAAAATTATAATTAATGTTTACCCTATGTTGACTGTTTCTTTATAAACATAGTATTGATGGGAAAATTTTATCAGTGTCAGAGATAATTCCCAGAAATATATTGATAACTACTAGCCCAGGATAAGTAATAGATTCAGGAGAAGTAATAGAGTCATAGTACTCTGTTGTGGGGGCAGATCATAACAGGAGATGGTTCCTCACTATGGTAAGAACAAAAAGAGAAGTTGGCCACTGCAGCTGTGGTAAGGAAGCTCTTTCTAGCACGTACTTTCCTTTATTTGTATTTTATTTGTTTAATATATACATTCCTCTTTACTTAATGCAAGAAACATGTAACACATACAGAAAGAAAATCACTCATCTAAAGGGCCCTGTCCCAAAAAATAATACAGGAGTCACCCACACTGAATGAAATAAGGCTCTGGCTTTAAAGGGGATTTTTCTAGCAACACTTGGAACATGAGCAAGGCTATTGCAAAAATAAAAATTCCTGAACTGAAGGGGTATATCTGTGGGGTAGATATACTTAGATCCACACTTAAGAATATTTAAGTCAGCTCCCACATCCAAAATTCATCAGGACTTTATGAAATGTGTAACTTTTTATTGTGGGTTAAAAATTTTTACCTGCCCATCTTTCTTCTTAGAAAATAGCGATGAGAATTCTCTAAAATATACTATATCCCTTCAAGTTATCAAAAATGCACCTCCTTATAAACAAATGCAATACAATCACCAGTGCTTTGCACACAGAGGAGGAGCAATTTAAGCTCCTTCCTTCAAATTGGTCGTGAAACACTTCTTTAGGCAATTATTTTAAGTTAGATATCCATATCTCATGTGCGGCCATACTGGAAAGAGCCAAAAGCAGGTTTGAAGGTCATGAATGACTATTTGCCAAGTAAAAATTTGCTTCGAAAAACAGTCTGCCTTACCTTATCGATTTCAGCCCCTTCGACTTTATGAAGAATTCCTTTTAGCCTGAAAACCTTAACAATTTGTCTAGCTAAATTGAGCATGAAATGAATCTGCTCCTTTGTTTTCATAGTGATAGCAATTTCTGGGTGATCATACTCCAAGTAGCCTGAAAAATAACAAAGTATTTTCATATGAAATAAGAACATTGTTTAAATATTTCATGCATGCAACAAGCTAATACTGCTGCTCTAATTTATGGAGCTCAACCCTCAACGCAGGGAAATGCATGTATCCTACTATGGCCTCTGCAATCCATTGTAATTCACCAGTGTGTGTTTTCTTGTCACCAGCACGTACCTGTGCCTAAGCCCAGGAAAGATAGACAGCCCCAGTTCAAGGTAAATATCGTATGGATTCACCTGCACTGGACCCAGGACCTAGAGATGCTTCTGAGTTGTAGGTCTGGAATTCTGGACCCTCTTTTCTATGCTGTTTAAATCAGGATTTTTGACTATAGACTATGTGCTTTCATCTGGCTTCATATTAAGCCTCTCTCTCAGGCTAGGTCATTGTCCACTCACCCAGTGTGCGCTTCTAGATGACTCATTATCTATGAACTTTTGCCTGTCTGGCCTGGATTCCTGGATGCCCATGAAAATATGATCCACTTAGTCTACATTTAGATTTTCCCTTGGTCACCACCTCTTGTCTGGCCATAGAAGATCTCTCAACCCAGGCCTCATTCTCAGGCTTGTTGTACCCTTTGCTGCCCACTGTCTGCTAGCAAACACCTTTCTTCCTCTGATACATGCACACTGTACTATAGGGGTATGTCTGTCCCACTCCCAGGATCTTTCCTGAGTTAGGAGCATGACCTGAGACTTGGTTGTTGCCAGGTATTGGTAGTGAGCCTCCCTGCAGTCATCACAAAGATTTGAGACTGTTCTCATGTCAACTCATTATGAAACCTCAGATGGTAGCTCTATGGCAAATGGAGGGAAGAAATAACTTCCTTCCTTGTGTTTCTCAGGGAGGTATTTGCACTCGTGGGTTGGCAGAAAATAATTATGTGGTAACCATGAATTGCTAGGGTGTATCTTTGAAACAGACATTAAAAGGCCTTCATTTGGTATAAAGCAGAGAGAACAAGTGTGGAGAGGTAATATCACAACCCTCCGCTCCAGCCAAAGACACAATAATGTTGATTATTGAAGGTAGTCACTTTATTACTAGTCATAAGTAGGTTTCCTCGAAGATCATTTAGTTATATTAACTATTACTTCTCTAAGGTAGTGATTATAAGAGATGCTTGGACTGAACCTTTAAAGTAAGAGGCACCTACCTAGTTCTTTCATAGCATGTCCTGTATTCTTTTTTACTCTCCCTAATAACATCTATGGAACAAAAGAAGTGTTATTCCTGCTGGAAAACAAATTGATTAAAACATCTTTACATTAGCAATTGATGGATTTTTAACCTAAATTATTAACTTTAAAGAAAAATATGATGGAGAAGAGAGATTAGAGATTAGATTTCAGAGATTGGAATTAAATTTTGTGCAATGAAATCTCTTTTGCTCCAGCAGAATGGAGGAGAGGATAAGAAGTCGCACTACCTAGGCCAATTTGAGAAGCCTGCAAAGCGAGCCATGTGTTTTCCCTTAAAGTAACTCTCTTTAGGATTCTATGGAACCTAAAAACGAAGGCACGGCAAGTGTTTTTCCATTCAAATTTATGGAGGTCTTCAAATTTGGGACATAAGTTCAGTTTTCAACCTTCAGTGAGGTAGGAGGTTTGGATAAGCTGTGCGAGAAGAGAAATGAGAACTAAAACTGAACAGCATCTTGGTGATTCAAATCCTTTTGTACTTTCTACTGTGTACCCTCAAATTTCAGTGTAAGTATGAGTCATTAGAAAAGGTAACAAAATTCTGGATAATAACTTTAAAGTTACAGGTGGTGAAGAGAAGAAAGATACTGTTTTTTTGTGTTTATATGAAACGCTCAATTTTCTCAGCTACTAAACTTTGAACATATAATATAGGGCATCCAGATGTTCTAAATTGCCTTGAAAGGTAATCATTTCATTCCACATATCTGATCAACTTGTGTTACTCTTCCTCAATTAAAAAAAAAAGATATCTAGAACATGGGACCTACCTTTGTGTCTGGGTCTAAAAATGTAATCTCTCTTCATTATTCTCATTTATGTAATGAGGCAGACAGGGTTTCTCTTTAGAAGGGCTACTGTTACTTCTTTCCATCTGCTAGAGCCCTGTCTTTTATTTCTTTTGCTATTTACCATGGCAAAATCCGTGATTTTCAGAAAGAAACAGAAGGAGCCTTTGGGAATCGGGAGGAAGCTCTGTTAGCTCAACACTGCCATCATTCTCACCCTCCTCCCGTACTTCCTCTTTCATGCTTCTGCAACATGACGGTGCCTACAACTTGCATTGGGAAGGAATTAACCAGACATGCAGGTTTCGTGATCACAGGGCTGAAAGGTGCTTTCCAAGTGCCTCTAACCTGTTAATGTGGCGCAGATATTTTCAGCAAGGAGATATTTGAGAAACCTAAATGTAGACGGGTTTAAGTTTTTGCAGAAGTTACTTAGCAAACGGAGAGTCAAAGATCCCACACTTAAATACGCAGAAGGGACACCATGGGTCCTCACCCATGGTGAGGGGTGGGAGTGTAAACCTTTCCTTAGTATTTAAAATTTTCCTCACCTTTTTAACCTGTTTAGAGCTTTCAATCTTATCAATTATTGTCATTATGTCTGATTCACCTTGGACATATCCTTTTAGTATAGCATACTTAAGGGACAACTGATGACTCATCTTTTTATCTATTAATTTCAGGATCTTTGGTGTTACAAGCTGAAAAAAAAAACAACCAGGATTACTGTTTAATATATATATAGTACAAATATTAGTTGTTTACATGCTAATTAGTTTAGCTGAAATGTATAATAAAAAGAAATGACATGCTCTCAGTAGTAATTGTGGTAACCTGTCAAGGCTTTTAGTTATTTTATCCATGGTATACTTATAAATTCATGGTTAGAGTGAATTCCTTGTAGCTTATAATGTCAGGCACTTATGTAAAATGATGACTTTATTCTTTACTTAGCTTCCTTTGGAGAATGGATGCAGTTTTCATCTGGTTTAAATTAGTAGTAAATGATGGGTTTATTCTTTTGGATTTAGGCCATAAAGTAACTATCTATAAGGTATTGCCCTTTTTACTCATTAAATCTCTACTAAACTTCACATTAGATGTTCCTTTGAGTTAGAATTCTTCATCCTCTATGCTCCTTGTTTGGCTCTACAGTTAACTTCTCATTATTTCTTTTCTGAGAGTGTTAAGTCTCCTGGTTTTCTGTTATCATTGTGTACTTTCCAAGCTTCAGCAGACTTGGCTGTTCCCCACGCTCCCTACCTCTGCTCTGCGAGCTCCATACTCTGTCTTCTAACCACCTGCCCTGAATCCTCAAAGAACTTATATTCATTCCACAATATTCATTTCAAGTGTCACCTTAAAAAAAAGGAAGTCTTTTCTATTCCACTAGCTGTCTTTGCACACTACTGCTTTGCACCTACTCTCCTATATGACCTTGGGATATCCAGATTACTTGTCTTTGCCCTTCTTCGTTAAGCTCTCTGGGGGCAGAGACTAAATCTAGTAAGTCTTCATATTCTAAGGTCCGACCATTTGGCGTAAGGGTTCAGAGTTTCCTTTGAACAAGCAAACTTCTCTTAGGCGGTTCGCCAGTTTCTTCATGTAAAATATTTGATAGATTCCGTATGTCCTTGTACCAGAAAGTATTAACTGGTCCCTGGAATACACTGAAATTGCCTTCCTCGGGTGAAATTGTATACTAGCATTAGTGGCAGCCTTATATAATACTGAAAAAGAATACGCTATTAATCATATACTTTTAGACCTGGTTGCTTTATACCTCTCAGTAGCATAAGAATTTTTTAAGCACATGTGAGAAAGATCTAAAAGTAAATATTCTAATCTGTTGGCCTTATCACTTGATGAACTATGTCTTGTTTGGCTTTATATCTCCTAGAGTGCTTATGGGTATATATTTTGTTTGTGTGTGAACAGAGAAGGAGGTAGAAGGGGGGTCAGTGTGTGTGTGTGTGTATTTCATATGCCTTGGGATGGAGTGAGTTTCATGTCATTTAAGTAATCATATAGAATATAAATAACTACATATATCACTTGTTATAGAAAGATGTATTACACAACTGGGGTCATTTTGATTCTTTGATTCTATAACAATATGAAATTATATAATACCTAATGTGTATTTTTTGGTCTGTGTGAATGTATTATGCTTGTTTTGTCATTATGAATGGTTTACATGGTTGTTTTGTTGGTTTTTATATTTTATCACAGGTACCTGTAAGAATGAAGATTGCTTCGGAGCTAATTTTGCGCTCATAGTAATGTGGAATTTTTCATGTGGTCTCAATTCAAAGGAAAAGTGGCAATAAATTCTTTTATGTGCTAAGTGAATTCTAATACAACTTGGATATTTGTAGTATAAAACTTATTTTTAAGGGCCTCCCCAGTGGCGCAGCGGTTGAGCGCTGGGTTGTGAAGCTGCCCGCAGCCTCTGCAGTGCCTGTTCAATCCCCGGCTGCTCCCTGGCCACCGGAGGTACACTGCTCCCCTCAGCAGTGTACTTCGGTCCTTCTGCCTACTCTGCTCCCCGCTCTGGCTCAGTGAATTCTGTCACCCTCCCACGCTTCTGACTGTACCCAGTGCTTGCATAAATAAATAAAATAAATAAATAAAAATAAATCTTTAAAACAAAACAAAACAAAAACCAAACTTATTTTTAAAAGGTAACTAAAGTTTAAAATATAAATATCAGGCTAATGGAAAGTGGAAACCACAAAACTAGTAAACTGATTTTCATTCATATTTCATAAGACAATCAGAAGAAATTTGAAATTGCATAATGTAATAGTTCTTTACCTTCAAAATGCGCAATACACGAAATATTTGAACAATTTTCATAAAGAGTGCTGCTTGATAATAGTCAAAAGCATAATGAAAGAAAGTTGCCTCTGAAAGTATTACATCTATAATGCCAATTAATGTAATTACTAATTCAAATAGGTTCCAAGCATGTAAAAAATATTCCTTCCTCATTGCTGCAATCTGTTCATTAAAAAAGAAATATAGAAACCAAACAAAGGATCAGGAGAAAGACAAAACTTGCAAGCTGACCATTAATCTGAGACATATAACTGGAGGCAAGACCTATTGAATCCCAGCTCAGAGCTCTTTCTCTTAAATGGTTTTTGGGAATCTTCACTCTTACCTTAACTCTATTACAATTCCTAACCCTAATTGCTACATCTCCTCTAAATTCTATGAAATCTCCTACAGTCTTTCCAACGCAATCAGAATTTATCATACACATTGTGATTAGATATGACTTCCCCACCCCACCAAATAACATGGATTTTTAACTTCCCAGTAAAGAGTTGCGGTTCATTATTTTTGTCCCATCCTATAGCAGATCTAATTCTTCTATTTAAATCTGGTTAAAAAATACTTTATATTATAGCTAGTTGATGCATGACATAATAATTATCAGTTTGTGGGAGTTCATTTCCATCATTTAGCAACTACCTGTATACTGAATGTAAAAGATCAAATTATTCATTTAAGTATAAATGAATATCAATCTACCTATTCATCTTTATTTAGTATAAAAATAATAAAATGAACATCCATGTATTTATCACCTGGCTAAGTTTAAAAACATTTACAATACCTTTGAAATTCACTCTGGGTTGCCTTGACACACACCATATTAAAATTTATGTAATAAATCCTTAAAGTATGGATTTTTTTAAAAAAACATTGAAAATTAAAGTTCTTTTGTTTAATGAGTGATGGAGAATTTCATACTCTCTCTTAGAAAACTGTAACTAGTGTTAAAATGAAGGTAGGAAATGCCCGTTAGATACTTAACATGAAAACACTCAAGACACACAGACAGACAGACACACACACACACACTTTAGATTACCTTAATTAGGATCTCCAAAATATAATATGAAAGAAAAATGTAGTTAGAATATTTCAATTCATATTCATACATTTTATTTAACATGGATAGCCACATAATTGTAATAGGAAATAGATTCATTAATATCACAAGGTATCCGGCATACTCAAATTCATCAGTAAATACTATTTTATGGCTTATACGAAGAAAGTAGTATCTGTAAAAAAAAAGGTTTTATTTGATGAAAGAACTACGCTGAATTATTTTCATTATATAGTTCTGTTCTAATTATCTAATTAGAACTGTTCTGTTCTAATTAGCAATAATTACAGAATCCAATTTACTTCTGGTAGTCATCACTACCCCTGGTACATTATGGCATCCTACCTCAGATGTCCTTTCAATTTCCTCATAGGCTAAACGTTTTGAGGACAGTTTTCTTCTTTTTCACCAACCTTGTATATATTCTTACTTTTAATACAAATGCTTTGAACCATAAGACAAGGGCAATTTGAACTGGAAATACTAAAAAATAAAACAAAAGGACTCCTCCCACTTTCCAATTATTTTACTTTTCAGCGAAAACTACTAATAACAGTTTGAATACTGCTCCAATAATTTTGCTTATATAATCCTTATCTATAAATATAAAAGGAGTTATATCAGACATGTTCTGTAGACTTTTTTTCTCCCCTTTTAATATTGTGTCATGAGCATCTTTCCTGGAATAAATTCTGGAATGAATCCCACTATGTGTGGTGGTATTATCTAAAATAATAAACATGCCTTGAAGAGTAGTTTCAATTCTATACCAACTATGCTAGACAGTACAATTGTGTATGAAAGGATAATTTTAATTTTTTAAAATATTCAACTAGCATAATGTACTATCGTTAAAACCTAAATAAAATAATTAATCAACTACCAATTGAAAATGGGTAAGTACTGGATCACTCCCCATTCTCCAGGATTTCTAGGTAATGCAGGTTCTGATCCTTTTTAACATTGGGGTCTTACTTAATAAAAGATGAAATTATGAATATAGAAACATATGATCCTGTTATCACATTTCCAGGACCATCCAGGACCTCAGGCAGTGCCTGTGTGAGGGAGTAATGAGGGAGTAATGAGTGTTAGCCCTGTTACAAATATCACTGCAATACCACCCCTGCCCATCCCAGTCATTTCTCAAGATTGCTTTTCTTTTTTTCCCAACTTATTCCTTTCCATTTTTCTTTTGTTTTTTTAAGATTTATTTATTTATTTATACAAGAACTGGGGTACAGGCCAGATGCGTGGGAGGGTGAGAGGATTCACCAGAGACAGAGTGGGGAACAGAACAGGCAGACTGACGAAATACACTGCTGAGGGGAGCAGCAGGCAAGACAGGAGAGGTCTGCCACACCATGTGGGACCCTCGCCAGCCGGCGGGAGATCCAACCGGCGCTGCAGAGGCTGCAGACAGCTTCACAGCGCTGAGCTCAACCACCTGCGCCACCAGGGGAGGCCCTCCATTTTTCTTTTCTTTTTTTTTTCATATTATTGTGGTATGACAGACATATGAAAGTGTAGCTCAAACTGATTTCAAACAAATCATTCCAGTTCCAACTAGTTCAAACCAAACTAAACTATCTCAAACCAGATCAAACCATTTCTAACTGGCTCAAACCTACTCAAGCTGGTTCCAACCAGCTCAAAGCCGATCAAACCAGTTTCAATCAGTTCAAATTGGTTCCAGCAGTTCAAACTGACTCAAATCAGTTTCATCCAGTTCTAATGCTTCAAACCAGCTCAAACCAGATCAAACTGCATCTTAGAACATACAATCTACCAACCTTGAATCATGAAAAAAATGGAAAATCTCAATAGGCCAATTACTAATGAAGAAATTGAGGTAGCAATCAAAACCTCTAATAGAAGTCCAGGACCAGATGACTTTACTGGTGACTCCTACCATCTATTTAAAAACGAATTAATAACTCTTTCTCAAACACTTCCTAAAAAAAATAAGAGAATATGCCCATATCAATTTTATAAGACCAGCAAATGCCTTTTAACATCTATTGAGATAATCATATGATTTTTATCCTTCATTTTGTGAATAATGAATCACTATTATATTCCTGACCCACATGACCATGATGTACCATCCTTTTAACATATTAAATTTGGTTTGCTAACATTTTGTTGTGGTTTCTTATTGTAGGTCCTTGAAGTATTTAAAGTAGCTGAATTCCATAAGTTGGATGTTATGTTTCCATTTTCTTTTGGTGGAGAAGTTTTTTTATTTCCATTTTTATTTTTTCTTTAACTTATTAATTGTTCAGTAGCATGTTGCTTAACATCTATATACTTGTGAATTTTAGTTTTGTTCTATAATTTTTTTTAGCTTAATACTATGTGGTTAGAAAACATGTTTGATATGAATTCAAAATTCTTAAGTTAATTAAAACTTGTTTTGAGGTCTAATATATGATCAGGTCTAGAGAATGTTCCATATGCACTTGAGAAGAATGTATATTCAGTGGTCTTAGATAGAATGTTCTGTAAATGTATTAAATCCACTCTAATATTGTTTAAATCCAATGCTTCATTACTGATTTTCTGCCTGAATGATCTATCCATTACTGAAACTAGGATACTGAGATCTCCTACTAGCATTGTGGTATTGTCTATTCTCTCCCTTTAGGTCACTTAATGTTTATATATTTAGGTTCTCCTATGTTGGATGCATAAATAATTACAAAGGTTATGTGTTCTTTTTGGAATGATCCCTTTATCATTATATAATGGTATCCCAGCTTTCTTTCAGTTTCCATTTGCAATGAATATTTTTTTCTATTCCTTCACTTTCAGTCTGTATTGTCTTAATATTGAGGTGAGTCTCTTCTATGATTATATAGTTAGGTTATGTATTATCCATTCAGCCACTTTATGTGCTATGATTAGAAAATTTAGTCTACTCACATTTAGTTTAATTATTAATAGTTATGAATTTGCTATTACCATTTGTTGTTTTCTGATTATTTTGCAATACCTTTCCCATTCTCTTACTCTCTTTTTCATTTGATAATTGTATATATGGTATAACTATAAAATTGACTATTATTTAGTCATAAAAAGGAATAGACTATTGGTACATGCTAAAAAGAAGACAAACTTTATATGCTACTGTTATATGCTACAATGTAGATGAAAACAATATACTGACTGAAAGAAGTCAGAAAGAAAAGGTTACATATTATATGGTTTCATTTATATCAAATACTCAGAATAGTAAAATCATATACAGAAAGCAGATTCATGCAACTCAGGAGTCGGGGAGAAGGGAGAATGGAGAATAACTGCTTAATGGTACTATGCTTACCTTTGGGGCAACGAAACTGAAATTTGATAGAGGTTATGATTGTCCAATATTGTGACAGAATAAAATAACATTAAAATAGTACACTTAAAAATCATTGATGTTTATTCATGATATGTGAAATTTTTTTCAATAATAAAACAAGTTTAATTTTAAGTAACTTTTTGTATATATATAAGTAATTTAATTTTATAATAGCTCAAAATACTTTACAAAGTATTTAGGATATAAATTTTAGAATACATACATAGGAAATTACAAATGAACATAATATTTCTAGTAAGGTTTGTTCAAAAGCACTTACCTTGATGGGACCCCTTTTTCTTTTTTAGTATTATATACCCAATTGAGTATTAATTTTCTAGTAAAGTTAAGAAATTTGTTGCCCTCAGAATAACTCTTTATTGTGTCAGGACACAAACATCTAAAGAGCAAAAGAAGAGAACTTTAAAATCTTGGGGATAAACTTAATGCAGCATTGTCAGAAAGCAGGAAGAATGTTTTGTTCAGTGATAGCTGGATTTAAAATACTTTCATAGGCATGATCCAAGTAATGAAATTGTGGCTACAAATAGATATTAAATTATAAAGTTACATTGTGGGGCTCAATCATTAGACAAAATATAAAGCAGGAGATACATGCTTTAAGACAGTAGAGAGTTCAAGATTCAGAGAGAAAACAAACCATGGTTCAAATACATGAGATTCAAGACATCTGGGTTTTCACATTGGATCCCACATTGTTTGGGGTGGCCATGGACAAACTGCCTTATAACCTGTTCGCTTTTTAAAATGAAGATACACATTTCCATGCCAGCCTGAGATGATTAAATGAGAAAATACTTATGAAGCATCTAGCCCATCTCACACATCCTTGCATTTATTTTATCTCCTGGGCAAGTGAGAATTTATAGGAAAGATACATGTGGTAGAGAAAGAGTTAAAATAATTGGAAAAGTCAGGGGTCACCAAACTCCAAAAGACATTTCGGCAGCACTTGTATCAAGTGGTTCATAGGTTTCTGCTGGCTTTTCTATTGAGACAATTCAGCATTATGTGCTGTGATTTGCTCTTACATAGCTATTTCCTTTGGTTCCCAGGAACTTAACTGCTGCTGATCAAATATCTTCATGTCTTCATCAGAAGGAAGATAGGACTCGGTCCTTACATTTGGGGCTTTAACTTAAACTGGCTTAACGGAAGGGCACTGGTAACTTAAATTCAAAGGTGGAACTTTCTTTCCTATTGGTAATGTTTTCACTGAAATCTGGGCAATTATTCTGCCACAGGGATACTGACATAATTTGAAACAAAGAAGTCACTCAGTTCTCTGTAATTCAGTATAATGTGTAAATTATATTGAAAATCACATATGTTTATATGATTTGATTGATTCCAAATTAAAAAAAATGTTGAACACCTATTATGCTTACTTAATTACTGGGAAAGTACACCTAGAGTTGCTGTGGAGATAAATATGAGCACTACTGACACAAAATGAGGGATTTAGTGTACTCTTTGGGATTTGGGAAACCTCCTGAAGGAATTAATATTTAAGTAAGAGCTGATCATTTCACAAGTTATCATAAATCCTAAAATTCCTGATGTCAGTGTGTGGTATTTTATAGTGCAAATTGCTAAGTAATTCAGATCCTCAATTCATATTTATATTAACACATCCATAGTTTAGCTTGACTTAGGAAAACAGTATGATCTCTTTAACTACAGTAAGGCAGCTTAGTTTTTAAACTGATCTCTATAATTTATTAGTTAAATTTGGGTAAATTATTTTTACCTTGGGCAAAAATGGCCTTAGGTAAATTATTTTTCTCTTCATGCCTCGCTTTCCTTCATGCAAAAATGAAAATGATAATAGCATGTATTCAACAGAATCTTTATGACATTACTTTGGTGATATAAGGAAAATATTTAAATCTGTGCCTGGCACATCACTCAATAAATCTAAGTTCTCTATTCAAAGTATTCCCTAGTTGATGTAAATATATATATATAAAAATAATAAATTAATAAATTAATTAAAAAACCAAAGTATTTCCTAGTCAATGACATAGGTCCTTAGTGATGGTCCTGGTGTTCCTGTCCCAACACCCCACGCTTTCCTTAGACTTGTTTTCTTACTATAGTACACCTCAATACAAGAGGTTAAGAATAATCAGCAAACAGCAAAATCAACTCCAAGGCTGCCCAACGAAGAAGCAAGTACTAAATACAAGTTTTCCAGGGATTGAAATAGAAACAGACTTTTTGAAACTTTGAACTCCTACTGCAGTGAGAACATGCTCCAGAGTCTGGCTGCTTCTCCCCCCATGCCTGCCCTCACAGCTTTATCCCTCTTCATCCCTTTTGTGGTACCAAAAGCCAGTGCATATGGGTGAACAACAGACTGGCACGTCTCTTAGGTTCTGGGGTGTGCACACCAAAGTCTGGGGTGAGATGATGGACTATAGGAATAGGCCCAAGAAGGACCTAGAAATGAGCTTAAGATCACTTGAATGGGGATGTTTGGTGGCCTTCATAGCAAAAGTGTGGTCTGAGTTTTAGGTGGATATTGTTGCAAATGCATTGCAGTTTAGCCATTTCTCTGCTTAATTATTTATCTTTCATCGCTCCACAGAGACATTCTAAGGGAGTCCTTAATACATTAATTATGAGGAGCTCAATGCCTACTCTGGAGACTTACATCAAAGGAAATCATCACACGTGTCCTCTGAAGATTAAAAGAGACATGCCTTGGGAAGATGCTACCGGGGTGAAGTGGGAGGGGGGAAGTTGAGAAAGTCTCTACCTTAGTGTGGAATACCTTAGTGTGGTATGTGAATAGCCTAAAAGAAAGAGCAGTTTATCACAGCACAGCTTTGGGGGTTAAAAAAAAAGAAAGAGGAGTGTTTCAGTCAAAAGGAACAACTTGTTCAAATGCACCGAGGTGTTAGTGAGTAGAGCAAATTTGAGAAACAGCAAGTATGTTATTTGTCAGGATGGTGGAGTGCAGAGCAGACAGTGATGGGTACACATAGTACTAGGTGATACCAATTTACTGGATCAAAGCAAGAAAACGCACTTGCACAATTTCCTACATGCTGCACAATTTCCTACATGCAGTGGCTTAGAATGAAAGTTTTCTCTTGACAATATACTTACTTTCCTGTCCTTTCACTACAGCTTCTTGCTGCACCTATCAGCATCTGAACAGCTTTCTGAGACAGAGTCTCATTCTTGTATTGTCTGTGGTAACTTGCCTAAAAGAAATGTCGAGTCAAGTCTTTGGGAAAATAATCTGTGGGAAAGACATTGAAATCCCCAAATAACCTAGTCTCTTTACAAAGGGAGTCCTTCTACGTAGTTCAGACCTAGAGATTAGAGAACATAAAGATTTGGGTAGAATCAAACTGATTCTGCAGAAAACTAGGATTCTGCTAGTTGTTAGTTAGGTTACCAGAAATTAATGGATTTCTGTGGCCAAATAAGTGTGGGACTTACTGCAAAGTGTATGCCCATTTAAAAAATTCAAATAGGATTGAAATATCCCCATCACAAAAGTTTATAATGCATTTTAGAGTATTAGAAGTTCTGAGAAATCCCACAGGATTCTGAGTTACATTATTATTTAATTTTATTTCCAAATATTTTGAGAACAAAACTGTTGTCTCCAGTCTATTATAAGCATTGAGTGAACTGCAGTTACTATGAAGAATACAGTCACACATTTATTCTCCATATATTGAGAGCCCACTCTGCTTCAGGCACTATGTTTGATGCTGGGGAAACTGACAAGGCCTCTGCCTTAGTGTGTTGAACTCTGCTGAGAATCACTGTAAGACCAACTTCCTAAATGGAAAGGTCTGATAAACTAAGGAGTCCTGCATTATAGAGAAAACATTCTGTCTGCACAATCCTTTATGGAGATTAAACATGGTTGTGTTTTTAGGAAGAGATAGAGCTAACTTTGAGAAGAGATAGATACTAGGAAGATACTAGAGATAGATACTAGGATAGATACTAGGAAGAGATAGAGCTAACTTTGAGAATGAGGGATCAAAGACTATTTGTCCACAATTATAGGAATTCAATAGATTAGCATTCCCCTTTTTAAACATCACTAAAATACTTATAAAATAATGAGATTAAAATACCTTCAAAAATAATAAAGTTGATATTCTCAAAGATAAACACTATGAGGAAAATAAGAAAATTGAAAATGATATGTAACTCATGAAAGTTTAGTAACACAAATGGCAAAGCAGTTAGATACTAGCGAAGATAAATTCTAAAATGGTCATTTACACCAAAGTATAGGAAGTGTTTAGAGAATGGTTGGTCTCCAAAAATCACTGCTGCTTATTGAGCTCTCTGTACTACTGAGAACTCTCTGTACTATATATTTAATTCTCATAACTTTATGAGAAAAGTATCTAATCTGTGGTTTATAGATGAGAAAGCTCAGGCTCAAGATTTCATATGAAAGCATACTATCTACATGTAATTGTTAGCAAACTTGGTAGAAACAATTAATGAAATACTGTTTTGGATCCAGAGATGGGCTGTGTCATGGAACTTATCACTTAACACATCTGAAGATCAAGTTCAGTTGTAATTCCTGCTGTTGGGACTGCTGAAATTCCCAATTCCTCATAATAAAAAAAAATTTATTTAACTTGAGAGAATTTCTTTTTTTTTCTTTTCTTTTTCTTTGTAGTTAAGTGGGCTCTAAGACAATGTCAAACTTTGCTTTGCCTTTGTGATCAACCTATTAAGCTACCCCAGGTGCACATAAAAGATGTCTTCAGTGTAATTTTACACTTAAAAATAATTTTAAAATAGGAAAATATGGTACTAACTACTTGTGCTGACAAGAGACGCCTGCTCGCCAGCTGTGTGGCTTCAACGTTAAGGGTATGATCGATTTCCTTGTTACAATCAGGACACTTCACCTTTGGATGTTCTGTTATTGCCTCTTGGCTCAACTAAGTAAAACACGAATCAGAAACAAAAAATAGCACATGAATGTTAACATAATGTTTAGCATTAACCTAACGCAATTCACGTAACAGTTCAGTGTGATAAAGTATAGAAAATCTGTTAGACACAGAAAAATGTTCAGATGAGTCTCATCATTTGGCACAGTTGTTGAGATATAAAATAATTGGCAGTTTGGGGGAGAAAGAGACACATCATATTTTTATCTTTACATGGCATCATTGACAGTTTACAAAAGCTGTCAGACATATGATCGCACTTCAAACCAGTGGATCTGAAAGTGTGATACCTGCCACCGCATCAGCATTGCGGGACTTGTTAGAAGTGCATGTTCTCAGATCGGCCCTTGACATACAGAGTCAGAAAACTGGAAGTAGGGTAGCAATCTCCAGTTTTACAAAAACGTTTAAAAATTCCACTGCAGCTAAAGTTTGACACTCTTTAATCTCTTAAAGTAGACTAGAAAGTGAACATGTTACTAAGAACTGGGAATATGGGTAACCAAATTTCACAGATGAGAAAAACTGAAATTTAGAGAAAAAGAAAAGATTTGCTCAAGACTCAAAACTACCTATTATAAGTCCAGATTTCCTAAGTCCAAGATCAATGTTCAATTTGCAATGCTATAAGATCCCTATGTCTACATCACAAAGAGAAGAATGTGGTATTCAATCATCTGCCTTCAAAACAAGTCAAGCACCTAAGTGCCTCAACACTGACTCTGCATTAGAATCAGCTGAGTAATGATTAAAAATACAGATTCCTGTACACTCCCCAGTATCTACATCAGAATCTCCTGGGTAGAGTCTGGAAATTTATATAGCTATTTCAGTTTCTAGAAATATTTTATTTTTACAGAATTTTAAAATCATTTTTTAAATTAAGGTAAGATTGGTTCATAATACTGTATATGATTCAGATATATAGACTCCTGCCTTTTCAGATGTATATCAATCCCTATTTTTAATGTCTGTGGTTGGGATGCAACCACACCAGCAAAAAGCCATGGTCATGTATTGGGAGTTGTTGGAAGTTATAATTATTGGGTGCTACTAGAAAGAAAACTCTCAATCCTTGTCTCATCCAGAAATCCTGGCTGCATTACTATAGGCAGAAGGCTTGTCTCTAAGTCCCCATAAGGAACCTTAAACAATGTTTAGGAGATATGAAATGAATTTCAGTGAATCCTATTTCACAGGGACCAATTATCTTGCATCCATACTCCTAGAAGTTGGCCCTTTATATTGTGTGATGCAGAAAATCTCTGCACTGGAAACTGAATATGACATAGGAGATGAACACAGCAACAATGGCATTGAGAAAATCCCAGAACAATTTCATTATTTCTTCTTTTTGCAACCATGACTGCCTGGTAAATTACACATGTACTCTTAAATGAATAAAAAGTCTCATTCAGAAATTCTAAGATATAGCATAGAAGCAGGTGATATCTCACCCACATTTATACTTATGACATTGTCTTGGAATTCTATATTTTATTAACAAATAATATTAACTTCAAGCTAGTCTAACAAGTTGCATGTACAATAGCCTAAACAAATGTTGAAAAAGAATAAGGCATCTCTCAATCTGGTCAAACAGGAGTCACAGTTTCTAAGACTCACTCTCCTCTTTTTATGCTATCTTTTAGAGGTGTTCCCAGACACTATGCTTACTTTTGAATTTACAAAATATGTTTTCTATATATTCAAAGGTGTTGTCACTTCTGCTTTGCCCCACAGTGATCACAAAATTCCTTAAGATCCTCTCCTTGCTATTATGGCAAAATGAGTTACCCATACAGCTTTTCTAGCAACTACATGTCTTAAATGGTCAATTTTTATTTATGACATTTGTACTTATTTGAGGACAATCACATCTTTTTGAAGGATAAATTTAAACAACAGATATCACTTACTGCATATGGGTTTTGTAGTTTAATTGCTTGCTCAACAGTGTTCCAATCCGCATTAGCAAGATCTTTATCAAATTTGAGTGCAGAGACTGTAGATTTGGTTAGCTCTTGAAAATGTTGAAATGTATGATGAAATGATTTATATTTTGTTGATATGTCATCATGAAGCCCTTTAATACAAATAGCACAACTTATATGGTAGGGATAGTTTTGATATATATTAAAAGCTTCCTCTCATAATCATTCATTTTTAATCCCAATACAAATTGTTTAATAATGAGGATGCTAACAATTTCAAACTTTTCTAGTTTCATACTCCTCACAAAACCTGGGGTGCTTCATCACCATAGTGAGTATGTATTGAATGCTTGAGCTGGAAAAACACATCTCAATATTTTGCATGCATTAAGTGTTTTGAGGTGAGTTTTTTCACAGGTGAGGAGCAGAGGTGTGTTGATTAATTTTAATGTGTCAACTTAACTTGGTGCTCAGAAATTTGGCTAAACATTTTTCTGGCTATGCCTGTGGAGGTGTTTCTGTATGAGAAGAAAATGTAAATTGGTAAACTAAATAAAGCACATTGCCTTTCCCAATTTGGTCTCTCATCATCCAATCCAGTGGAGGCCTGAACAGAAGAAAAGAGCAAGGAAGAGAAGTTAACTCTCTCTCCTCCTGACGACTCTCTAGCTAGAACATTAGTCGTCTCCTGCCATCACATTTTGATTGGAACTTGTATCATAGGCTTTCCTGGTCTTTAGACTGCAGATCTTGGGACTTCTTATCTTTCATAATAACATGATTGCTATTAAAATAATAGAATGTTAGAATAATCTCTTTATATATAGACATAGATATATATCATATATATATATTTCATCAGAGTTTCTTTGGAAAAGCAAAATGTTCCATGAGCAAATGCTCACTGCTCTCTGTGCAAATAAACACATTCCACAGTGAGAACTTTAGTTTATTTGTCCACTAGTAGAATCTACAATGCTCTTTGTAAAACTTTCCCTCTTTAATCTGTTTTTCCCATTTTATAATGTTAGGGCTCAGAGAAAAAAACCCCAAAGATTTTATTGTAAATATAAAAAGGGAAGGGAAACGGCAGTGTGATATTGTCCACAAAGATGAAGTTTCAGATCAATAAAAAATGCCAGTGGTGTGAAGCTCTGTAACAGAAAGGGAGTTGGAGTTGTTAAGAATGTAATGAATTTAAAGCATCAAGGTTATTTTGCTTCTAGTTCTTTATAACTGCCTTTACCTAGTTTTGTGACCTTTGGGTAGAACTTTGAACTCTCTCGATCTCAATTTCCCAATTGTTAAAATGTTGGGGGGTAAAACAGGCATAGTGAATAATGCAATTGCCTCCTAAACTGCTATTTCCACTTCTATTCTCCTCAAACCCCTTTTAGTCATGCACAGAACTAGAGTTGTCTTTTAAAGAGGATAATTGTGTAACAACACTTACTTGTTTAAAACCAAACAAGGAATTTCTTTTGCCCCTAGAATAAAATACTAAAACCCAAGACTCGCCATGATCTAGCTCCTCCTTACCTCTCCATCTGTCCTTTTTCCAGCACCCGCACTGTTCACAAACCTTTCCTAGAAGGTTTCTAACTTCTCAGTTTCTAGATTCTTCAGGAATGGAGCGCCTATTGTATTTTCTGTCTTATTTATACATGATTTGTTTATTGTCCTGCACACACGACTGATAGTAAATACCTTATTTGTTGTGTTTACTATTTCTCTTCTTTCCAAAATAAACTCCATCAACTCAGAAGTCTTGTCTGTTTTCATAATGCGTCACTATTAGAAGCGCCTGGCGTTTTAGGAGGCTTTTCATAAAAGTTTGCCAGATATTTGAAAAAACTTACTGTATTATTTTATTTACATTTCATTAAACTTATATTTGTTCACTAATATAAATAAGTAATCTTTTATAATATTTAGGCTATTGACTTAAACTATTCCTATGTCTTTAGATAGACATTTAATGAGATATCATTTGATTTGTCCTTATATGATTTCTTTCTTCATTGTTAGCAATTCTTCAGCATACTTAGAATGTTTTTCTCTTTATTAAGAATATTATTTAGGAGGGCTTACCTAGTTTATCAACTGCCATTGGCAAAATAAATCTGCTGATAATCAGGTTAATTAAGCATACTGACACTCCATGAAATAATACCTAGAATTAAAGAAAAAAAATCAATGTAAGTATTCATGACAATGTCAAATGCTATATTGCCTTTTTATAAATGCAAGGGAGGAATTTGGATGTCAGTCCTGATGAAAGTACTATTGAGGATTCTCTTCACCTCCCTGCATGTATTTCATCTAAGCTTTTGTAAGCACACCAAACCCAGGACACGTTTTCACAAGTAAACATACAGACACTGGGAAAAATACCTATCCTTAAATCTGTCACTTTATCTCTTGGGCCATGGGAATATCCCTGCTATATCTTTGTCAGTTTTTTTTCACTATGCATATCTGCTTGTACATAGCACATAGTTCTTTGCTTAACATTACCAATGTATTTCTTTTTATTTATTTATTTATATTTTTATATTCCCCATACAATTGCGACCCCCTTATTTTGACCCCAATCCCTCCCCTCCCCGCACCCCACCCCCCATAGAGTGTCTCTGGTTCATAGTTTTTTTGTTGATTTTGATTTTTACTTTCTTATAGTTATTCTTTTTCCTGGTCCCTTATTTAAGTTTTCTAGATTCCTGCTCTGAGTGAGACCATCCGGTATTTTTCTTTTTCTTTCTGGCTTATTTCGCTGCGCATGATCCCTTCCAGCGCCATCCATGTTGCTGCAAATTGCATGTGTTCATCTTTTTTGAATGCTGAGTAATATTCCATGGTGTATATGTACCACATCTTCTTGATCCAGTCATCTATTTTTGGGCATTTGGGTTGTTTCCAAAGCTTAGCTATTGTAAACAGTGCTGCTATAAACATAGGGGTGCAGGTGCTCTTTGGAATTGATGTTTCTGTGTCCTTTGGGTAAATACCTAGGAGTGGAATTGCTGGATCATATGGAAGCTCTATGTTTAGTAGGTCCAGAAATCTCCACACAGCTCTCCATAGTGGTTGGACCAGTTTGCACTCCCACCAACAGTGCACAAGAGTTCCTTTTTCTCCACATCCTCGCCAACATTTGTTGTTGCTAGTTTTTTTAATATGTGCCATTCTCACTGGTGTGAGATGGTATCTCATGGTAGTTTTGATTTGCATTTCCCTGATTACAATGATGTTGAATATTTTTTCATATTCCTGTTGGCCATTTGCATTTCCTCTTCAGAGAAGTTTCTTTTTAGCTCTTCTGCCCATTTTTTGACTGGATTATTTTCTTTGTTGTTGTTGAGTCTCATCAGCTCTTTGCAGATTTTTGTGATCAGTCCTTTATCATTAGTGTTGGGTGCAAAAATGTTCTCCCAGTTGGTGGGGTTTCTCTTTGTTTTTGTTATTGTCTCTTTTGCTGTGCAGAAGCTCTTTAATTGATGTAGTCCCAGCTGTTTATCTTTCCTTCACTATCACTGCTTTGGGTGATGTGTCTGTAAAGATGTCTTTGATGTGCAAATCCCGTAGTGTTTCGCCTATATTTCCTTCTATGTATTTTATGGTTTCAGGTCTTATGTCTAGTTCTTTAATCCATTTTGAGTTGATTTTTGTGTATGGTGTGAGGTAGTGGTCAAGCTTCATTCTTTTGCATGTAGCGACCCAGTTTTCCCAGCACCATTTATTGAACAAACTTTCTTTGCTCCAATGCATAGTCTTTGCTCCTTTGTCAAAGATTAGTTGATCATAAATCTGCAGCGTTTATTTCTGGATTTTCTATTCGATTCCCTGAGTCAAATGTCTGTTCTTGTCCAATACCATGCAGTTTTTCTGATTATGGCTTGTAGTATAGTTTGAAGTCTGGGGAGTGTGATGCCTCCATCTCTTCTTTTTTTTTTCAGGAGAGCTAACATTTGGGGTTTTTGGTGATTCCATATGAATTTCATCAATAATTGTTCTATTTCTTGAAGAATGACATTGAAATTTTTATTGGAATAGCATTGATCTATATATTGCTTTTGTTGAGGATGGCCATTTAATACTTTACTTCCCAATCTTGAGCAGGGGATGTCTTTCCATTCTTTGTGTCTTCTTCTATTTCTTTTAACAGTGTTTATAGTTTTTTGCATAGGTCCTTTACTTCTTTTGTTTGGAATTATTCCCAAGTATTTGATTTTTTTGGTTTTGATAATAAATGGATGGTTTTTTTGATTTCTTCTTCTTCAGATGTATTGTTTGTGTATAGGAAGGCTACTGACTTTTGCATGTTGATTTTGGTATCCTGCACTTTACGACTGAACTGATTGATGAGTTGAATTAGCGGGCTGTGGATTTTTGGGGTTCTCTACGTATATATGGGACCATCTGCAAATAGTGATAGCTGGGGATTCTTCTTTTTCCTATTTGGATTCTTGGATGTCTTTCTCTTGTCTTATTGCTGTGGCTAGGATTCCAGTATTATTTGAAAAGCAGTGGTGAAAGTGGACATCCTTGTCTTGTTCCAGATCTTAATGAAATGCTTTCAGCTTTTCACCATTTGAGTAATATACTGGCTGTGGCTTGTCATAGATGGCCTTTATTGATGTTGAGGTATGTTCCTTGTATCCCAAGAATTTCCAGGGCTTTTATCATGAATGGGTGGTTGCACTTTGTTGAAAGCTTTCTCCAGCATCTATTGATATTTCATATGGTTTTTATATTTCTTTTTGTTGATGTGTTGGATAACATTGATTGATTTTGGATGTTGAACCATCCTTGTTGTCCCTGGAATGAATCCTACTTGGTCGTGGTGAATTATCTTATGGATACATTGTTGGATTCTGATAGCTAAAATTTTATTGAGGATTTTGCATCAGTGTTCATTAGGGAATTGGCCTGTAGTTTCTTTTTTGTGTGTCCTTGTTCGTTTTATTACCAATATATATCTGTCAAGTGATTCTCACCTGGGAAAAGAGAGCAACTCTGATGCTTTAATATGCTTGCTCAACCTCGTACTTTGCCTCCATCACTGTCATTAAAGAGGAGTAGTTAGTGTCTTTGGTGTGTGACTTCTTCTTCCTCCACCTCTATCCAAGTTGTTGTCCAGGTGAGTGGAGCAATACTTATCATTCTCACACTATTCATTTCTGCTGAGTTACAAATTTTTTTTTTTTAAAGATTTATTTATTTATTTATACAAGCACTGGGTACAGTCAGAAGCGCGGGAGGGTGAGAGAATTCACCAGAGCCAGAGCAGGGAGCAGAGTAGGCAGAAGGGACCGAAGTACACTGTGAGGGGAGCAGCGGGCGGCAGGAGAGTCTGCGCGCCATGTGGGACCTCCTCCAGTGGCCGGGGAGCAACCGGGGTCGAACTTAGCTGCAGAGGCCTGCAGCGTTGCAACCCAGCGCTCAACTGCTGCACCACCGGGGAGGCCCTGAGTTACAAAATTTTGACTTTCATTAAGTTATGCTAATGCCCTTGCTGGTTCTCTGCTCTATTGTTACAGATAGAGGTTAGGTAGGGACAGAGTGTGAAACCACATCAAAGGCTTTGAAGCTTGCACAAAACTAACACTTGGGAGAGGCTAAAGCATTGGTGGCCTGGGAGGCTTCATTGAATATTCTGATTTAATTCTTCAAAGAGGTAGTCCAAACATTGGTACTTAGAAAAACCAAAGTAAAACCTACATTCATTGAAATGTACTTGTGTACTATTTGATGTCTTGATGGTGCATACATTCATAAAATCCTCAATCTTATTAACATGTAGAATATTTTCATATGTCTTGAAAAATTCTCTAATGCCCTTCCCAATCAAAGCCCCACAACAGAATTCTGAATTCTGGACCTATAGATAAGAATTGCTAATTTTTTTTTTAAAAATTTATTTATTTATTTATACAAGCACTGGGTACAGTCAGAAGCGCGGGAGGGTGAGAGAATTCACCAGAGCCAGAGCAGAGCAGGCAGAACGACCGAAGTACACTGCTGAGGGGAGCAGCGGGCGGCAGGAGAGGTCTGCGCGCCATGTGGGACCCTCCTCCAGTGGCCGGGGAGCAGCTGGGGATCGAACCGGGGATCGAACTGGTGCTGCCGAGGCCTCGGGCAGCTTTGCAACCCAGCGCTCAACCGCTGTGCCACTGGGAGGCCCAAGAATTGCTAATTCTTAAACCTTCATGTAAATGGAATTCTATGTCTCTGTAGCGGCAGGAAGGTCACAGAGCAGGATATCTAGGATCCGAGCAGACCGAGTAAAGGAGAGTCGTGGAGCCTTGGTGGCTTTCTTAGGATTTTATTGAGCTTTACATACATGCATTGCAGCAACCAGGTACAGGGCACGCAGGGGTACCCCGGGGCCCAGGGACAGGCCCCAGGCAAATCTTCACTTTGGGCTTCTCTGGCCTCTTTGTTTCCTTCTCTCTCCTGCTTCTGCTTTTCTTGGTGACTATCTCAATACTCCTCCCATGGCCCACAGAAGCAAGTAAGATAACTTGCAACAATGTAACAATGGCAGGTACCCCATCAGGCAGAGCAATTTTAACAGTGGGAGGGCACAAAAGCCTGAAAAACAATTTACCTTACAATCCACCCCCTCAGGGTTTTCTGCCACACAATATATATACAAGTATATACAAGTTTCCTTTAACAAACAAACACAGCAGCCATGGCCCACAAAGAAAATACAACAGAACACAAATAATCCCAGGCAGGGTACCAACCTAGTGGCAAAAGTCGATTATTGGCACCAGCAGATGATCCACCACTTCTGCTGTGGAAGGCACTGCTCATACGAGGAAGCAACCATCCGGCTGAGGTCTCTCCACAAGCCACACACCGCATCCACCCCCAGGATGCATTCACTCCTGGATTTTGCGATTCTGTACTCTTTGGGGGTAATTGCCCAATCTTCAGGGTTTTCTGTCTGCGGCCACTCAAACACTCGGCTTTCATAGCCACCAATGCGACACGCAGACCCCTGCACTCAGGCCAACCCATTGCACAAGCACATGGGTCCGGATCCATGGATACAAGCTCCACATGTGGCCTCTCTTGGGTCCCCACTTTGGCTGTGGGCTCCACTCCAAGCCATGTTCCCCACCTATCCCCCACGGACGGGTTCCTCAACTCCTCACCCTTACTCAGCAGTGAGCAAGGCATCACCCACAGGTGATTTTAAGAGACTCGCTGGCCTTCTTTACTTAGGCTGCTTAACAGCCGTTCAGGGATTCCCAATCTCAGCACCAGCTTTTGCCTTTCTAAATAGGCTTTTTCCCTCTGCCTAGCTGCTGGGCAGTACACAGGCTGCTTTTGGCCATCAAGGCCCACTGGCCACCCCCAGATTCCCATGTCCGGGGGTGTACAAACAATACCATCCTCCCCCAGGGTCCCCAAAACAGAACATTACCCTGCCGAAATTCCTCCACCTTCTGGCAGGATTGTAAGTCCAAGTCCATTAGCCTTTCCCTGCATCAGCACTGGCGAGCTCGGAATCGTGGTCCTTTCTTCCCCGAGGATCTGCTGCCTCAGGGGTTGTTGGCTGGTACTCGTAGGGCCCCTCCTCCTCCACTTGAGGTCTTGTCCTGCAGCTCCCAGATCTTGTTCACCTCCTGTGCTCCTGCAGTGTCTTCAGACCTTCTCGCAGCTCCTGATTTCTGGTCACGACCTGTGCTGCCATGACCTGTCCAGCGTTGTCTCACAGTCTGCTCCTCAATCTCTTCTGAGGTCTTCAGAGGGCTCCACACCCGTCTGCATCAGACCATCCCGCCGACTTATGCCAATTGTAGTGGCAGGAAGGCAATAGATCAGGATATCTAGGATCCAAGCAGACCAGGTAAAGGAGAGTCGTGGTGCCTCGGTGGCTTTCTCAGGCTTTTATTGAGCTTTACATGCATTGCAGCAACCAGGTACACTGCACACAGGGGTGCGGGGGCCAGGAGGCCAGTGGGCCTCCAGGTCCCAGGCAAGTCTTCACTCTGGCGTTCTCTGGCTGCTTGCTGTCCTTTTCTCTCCTGCCTCTCTCCTGCTTCTGCTTCTCTTGGTGACCATCTCAATACTCCTCCCATGGCCCACAGAGGCAAACAACACAACAATGTAACAACTGCAGGTGCCCCATCAGGCAGGGCAATCCTAATGGTGGGAGGGTAGAAAAGCCTGAAAACCATTTACCCTACAGTCTCTTATTGTAGTTGTAATTTGAATTTCCCTGAAGTAATGGTGTTGAGCACTTTTAACGTGATTAAGTGAAATATATTATTCTTTTTGAAGCATGTATTTAATTCTTTTGCTTATTTAAAACACTGGGTTGTTTTTATTACAAAATTGTAGAAATTTGGAAAATTTATTTTGTCTGTGTATATGTAAAATATATATGAATCCTGGATATATTTTCTCAGTTTGTGCTTATCACCCATTCTGTAAAATTAACTTTTGGTGAGCAAATATTTTTAATATTGATGAAGTTCAAATTTATTTTTTATGTTTAAGAAGCTTTTGTTTACCCCAAGATTATAAAGGTATTTTCTTATGTTTTTTCCCAAAGTTTTAGAGCTTTAAGTTTTATATTTAAGTCTATGGTCCATCCTAAATCAGTTTTACATGTAACTTGAGATTAAAATAACTTTTATTTTTTCTAAATGAATACCCAGTTCTTCAGCACCATTTATCAAACAGACTCTCCTTTCCCTGATTGAACTGCTTTGGTATATTTGTTAAAAACAATTGACTCTATGTGAGTCCTGGCTGGATTATTTTATTTTATTTATGTATTTTTATGACAACCTAATCAACTTAAATACCATATCTTTGTGATAAGTCCTGATATTAAGTAATATAAGTCTTCTAATTTTGTTCTTACCCAATATTTCACAGCTATTCTAGGAGTAAAAGTAAAAACATTTGTTGACTTCATATTCTGTATCAGATATTTTTTCAATGATTCCTAAGCTTTAATTCATTTAATATTTATTATAGACCTATTGATAGGAATGTGGTGAAGGAATTTAAAGATCCATAAGGTAGAATAGGGAAGAGGAAAGTTGTTTTTCTTTCCTCCCAATCTTGTCATCATAGCTAAGTCTCCACCACAGCCCAAGTAGAGTTGAACTACCTATTTACAAAAATTTATATTAGCACAGTAACAGTTTTTATAAAATATTTCAAAAAATATAGTTTCCTTTACTTGAGATTTTTCTCTCTCAGATCCAAGAGCAGTGTCAGAGTAGGCAAACAGAAGGGCCATATTTATATTAGGTGTCCCTTTCATTTCACTCCAGACCACAATGAATGCCCAGCGCCAGCTGAAGCCATGACCAAGTCGAGACAAAAGAGGACTCATGAATAAGAAAACCACAAGTCTAAAAGACAAAAAAAAAAAAAAAAATTATGCCTGTCATAGAAATTCCTTTCTAGTTTATGCCTATCAATTCCCTGTAGAATCACCCACTTGAAGACAAATAAGCTATCTTTCACAGACATTTTGGCATGGCACCAAAGGAGGGCAGAGGACATTCCACAGAGAGACATGCCAAGAGAAGGACATTATTCATTGTTCCTTCTGCTAGGTGAGCTGTACAGCAATGCAAGTCATCATTCAGTGGTGCATCTTAATGGTGCAAAAAAAGAAGGGCTAGAGAGGTTTTGTAGCTCTATTCTGAATCCCAAGAAGAAATAAAAGCAAACTGATTGAATGAGAGAAAAATTTCCTCCTTTTCTTTTTTTCTATAGGTTATAGTCTTGCTGAGTCTGTCCAATATAGTTTATTTCTATTTATTCTTTCAGTCACACTTCGTTTCCAAGTAATTTGGAATTACCATACCAAGTAATTTCCACTTATTTGGCACCAACTGACTTGATGTCAACTCCCAACTAATTTTCTTAGTGGAAGTAGAATGTTAGTAACTTGAGTGATGGAGATAAAAGAACTGTGAAACTCCAGTTATGGCGTTTATCCTTTTATCTCATTTTCGGTTACTTGGGTAGATTCTTTCCTTAACATTGCAAAAAGGGGGTTATAAAAATCATTTAAAAAGGAGACATTTACAGAGATTTCCTTATCACTGAAAAAAATCTAGTTCCAACTATAATTTAATTAATAGGAAATTATTTGTTATACAGTATTAAGCAAAACAAGCTAAATTTTTATTTTATGATTGATTTGTTTAACTTCATGAAATTTCATAGAGAAAAAAACACTGGACAAGTGTATATAGATATTAATAGTGGTTTTTTTGTTAGTGAGATTATGAACTTTTTTCTTCATAATTTCAAAAAAAGTTAATGTACTTGCTTGCATTGCTTTGAAATAGTTTAAAATAAAAAAATTACTAAGCACTAATTTGCTGATAATTTCTTGGAAAGTGTTAAGAGTCAACTTTTCATTCAAACGTATGAAACATTTTTATTATATAAAATAATATAGTCAGGTTTACTCAATTTCTTACAAATCCAAAAGTTCAAAAATCACTCTTACCTTAAAACAGTAAGTGTGAAATAGATGTTTAATGAATAATATATATCAGAAAATGATATATATAGGTAGGTACGTGCAGGAATTAGAAGTCCAATGAAAGTGAAAACCATAAGAAAAGCAACAAATGAGAGACAATTCCAGAATCTGCATTTTCAGAAAAAAAAGTTAATTGTAGCTAATTAATCTAACATATTGCAAAGCTTATCTTTGCATTGTGCTAAGAATTATATCAAGAAAATAAAGATACATATAAAGATACATTTACCAACTCTGTGTGAGCTTGTAATTTAACTGGGGAGAAAGCAATAAAGTAAGTAAATAATTTTAAAACAATTTAAGCCAGTTTATATTGCAAGTAAGTCAGTGTTTTTCTTTTTGAAGTCACTGAAAGAGATGGATAGGTTGCGGCTATGCTACTTGACAGAACTCAATTGGCACCAGGGTTGACATAGCTGAAAATACTGGCTATATGCAGTCCTTGTATCATTGCAAAGGGTTAAAACCATTTATTAAAAAAAAAAGTGTACTGAACTGCTAGTTTGATTTACATAGTGATAAAATTAAACACTGGCCTAAAATCTAGCTAGCACTTAAAATATGTGAATTAATCTTTTATTCACATTAATGCCCTTTGTCAATTCTTTGAGATTTATGAGCATGTGCTTTTTTCAAATACTCCAGAACCCAGGAAGACTCTGCATCAATCTCAGGCAAAGCAATTTGAGAAAGTGCACTCACATATCAATATTGATCAGTTTTGGGTGTTTGTACCATAGCAAGCTACTTAAAACTTACTTCTTGTTATTCTATATATTTCATGTGTTTAAAGTCAACATGTTAGTTATATTTATAGCAAAATAAATAGAAAAGATTTAAAAGGCATGTGAATAACATCTTATGAAAGCAGGGTAGCTTGTTTTACCTGTATACGGCCAAGCTCTGTTCCTGAAACCCTTTCAAGATAATTTTGCCCCTTCTACAGAAGGACTGGCCGCTTCTGCCAGTATACAGAGAAAGAACACTAATATATTGAGTAAGCACATTTCAAGAATAGAAACACAAGAGCACAAAGCCAAATAGGCACTGTGTTTGAGGCATGTCTTGAGACTAGTAAAGTCTCTTCATAATCTTAATTTCAAGAAACTTACTAACGGTGTGGCTAGAGCAGGGTGGGAGAGGTAGGAGAGGTAGAAATGAATCACAGATGTAACAAGTGGGGCATATAAGAGAATTCTGTCTGCCATTAAAAAGCTGACTTGTAGCCAAATAAAATGAAAATTTATTATATGGCTTTAAACAAAATAAGTGATCTGGGTAAGAACGAAGTGAGGCAGGATCAGTGAAAAACCATTAACCGATGCATTATCATTTCAGTGTGCTTGCAGAAATGTTAGAAGTGGAGTGCAGACCTAAAGGGGATAAGTGGAAACGAGGTGGAGGATGCATCTCCCCTTCAGGGAGCAGTGTGAACCTGCTGTAGATTGTTGCAGGAGATAGTGGATTTACTACTCTTGTCTTAGATTTCTACTATCTTGGAGAGCAGCAGCTGGTACATATCATATTTTAGATAGTAAGTTTCTTGAAATTAAGATTATGAAGTGGTTCTTTCTTTTTTAAAAAATATTTTTATTTATTATTGTTACTAGCAATAAAATATAATTGCTAGCCCTGTGCACAGGTGTTTGAGGGAGGCTTGATTCCGTGGGATTCAATGACCACACCGTATTAAAGGAAAAAGGATTTATTGTGAACAACAGAGGCGATGTGCGAGCAAAATTATAAACAGTGCCCCAAACCCAACCAAACCGATGAATATGCATACATACTGTACAGTTTCCTCAGAAATCAACATCACGGAGGCAAAGAGTCAGCACTTCGGAGAACAGCACGGGAGACGTATTCAAGTCCAGCAGCTGCGAACCGCAGCAGCTAGACGACCACTGTGTTTTTATCTCCCGAGGTCGGATATGGCCAGTATCCAAGCTCAGGGATTCATGGTGGGCTGGTCACGTTTCTGTGCACGACACCCCGGAGTTACATAACCAGCCATGTTTCTTGGTGGTCCTGGACATCGCGAACAGTTACATAACCAGCCCTATCTTTTGGCTCCTGGTCCGGGCGCTGGCCAGGCTCCTGGATCAAGGGGCCAAAAGGTTGTCGCACATCTTCCGATGTCCCCGGCAAAACGACATTAACACTTTATTTTCCTACAATTATTTATATATTTTTTAAGATTTTTTTTTTTATTTATACAAGAGCTGGGGTACAGGCTAGAGGCTTAGGGGGGTGAGACGATTCACCAGAGACAGAGTGGGGAACAGAACAGGCAGACTGACGAAATACACTGCTGAGGGGAGCAGCCGGTGAGGCAGGAGAGGTCTGCTGAGCCATGTGGGAATCTCCCTACTGGCTAGGAATCAAAGACGCGCTGCAGAGGCTGCGGACAGCTTCACAGCGCTGTGCTCAACCTGCTGCGTCACCAGGGAGGCCCAGAAGTGGTTCTTTCTATGACCATGTAAGTGGATGGCTGCTGAAGTATGGCGGTAGATCTGTTCTTAGAGGAAAGAAGGTCCAGGAACTGAAAGAGGAGGGAACGGAAGAATCACCTATCGCCTGACATCACTAAGAATGGTGATAGGGTAATGATGGGGAAAGTTACCAGGACAGAGGAGCCAAAATCTTTATAAATTGAAAGGTGTTGACTAAGTGACTTTAGAGATTATTAGAGTCAAGACAGTGAAGATGGTATAATCTGATATCATGAACTTTGAAAGTGGGTTCTTCTGTGGAATAAGGAGAAAGAATAAAACTTTGAGGTACAGGGAAGTCACCTACCTCAACTCTAAATTCAGAGTGCCAGGGAGGCAGATGCGAAAGAAATCATGACTTGTAAAGAATACATGGAAAGTGATATCTTCAGGGGAGATGCAGCTTTCAGTTGGAGCAAAAAGGGGACGGGAGCTTTCAGAATCATTTCCCTTGGATAAACAATTTCACAAGATTCTTAATTCTTCCTATGAATTTAACCCAATTCTATTTAGCTGCTGGTGCAATTGACTGCCACTGTAATTGCCATGATATTTTAGTGAGGTGATCCAAAATTTTCTAAGACCTAACACTTCTAAGCTTCTGACTTATGAATTTATTCTATCTTTTATAACATTCTCCCAACCTCCAAAAAACATTGATAACATTAGGGGTTGTGGTAACACATATGTTGCCATTGTGTGATTTATGTCAAGTTCCCACCTTGTGTATAGGAGCATTACAGAAAGCACCCTTGTAGACTGACATATATCCCTCTAACCCTTCAGCTAGGTGCCCTTGAGCAGGGACAATTTGTACATTTCTAGTGAAATATGTCTTACTTACATTTAATTTGACTATCCTTTCTTTAATAGCACTGCCAAACTTCATCAAATGCCCTAGATTCATTGTTTAATTTGTTTTGCATGCCACCTTTTCATTGTTTGTAAAATATTTGTCTTCCATTCTAGTAGCAGTGCCATGCTGAGATAAATTGGACCCTATGTCAAAAAGAATTATCTGTGATATTTATCTCATCTTTATTTACATTTTTAAAAATACTTTCACCATGGCTTTTTGCATTTATTTTAATTTTTAAAGAAAATATCACATTAAAATATTTATCTTGATTACTGATTTTTTTTTGTCATCCTATTAAATTTTGTGTTTGTGAGGAGTGTCCCATTTGCTTGAGACTTGAGAATCAACATGAACTCCAGGTGAATTTATAAAATTTTGCTAAAATACGAAGATTTGAGGCACAAGCAATAGTTTTCAGTTAGTATCTTACTTACACCATGCAGATATAGATAGTTACTATTACAGTATTATTGCTTCCAATGTATTGAATATAAAACCAAGTGAAAATGTCAGTCACTCACTCAAGAAGAAATGTTTCAACTCCTGGTTTAAGACTTGCAGAATTTAAAAAGAGTCCCATGATTGCCAGGGTGAATATTCCAGACATTCCAACTAGTTCACCTATTTTTAAAAAGAAATGAAGTGTTAATTTGACATCAATAGTGGCAACAATTTTATCAGAGGTAAAAATAGCACACATCTTGATAGTACTGTGACTTTATAGAGAAGTTACTAATTGGTTTCAATAGGGTAATACTACAAATTATTGTTACCCATCTTCACCCTACTCCCTCCTTCCACTCCACCTCCTTCTTATCTGCTCTTCTGGATGGAAGAACATTTTGAATTGTTTTATAAAATTTCTAAGCCAAAATAAATCTTTGGTATCATTGTGTGTGAGTCATATAATGATACATTTTAATTTGATGAAATTAGATATAATAGTATTATTATCAAACTGTTGGGTCTTCCCATCCAGCAATGGGAAATTACAAGATTTGTATTTTTTTAGTCCTGGCTGTAATTGGTTTTTAAACTAGAAACAAACATTTTTGTTAGTCATTTTGAGTAATTAAAGAAGGGGAAACAACTGCAGACATAGGTATTTGAAGGACATCAAGTACTGGACTACTGATAGTACTGTGTCAGGTAATGGTGGAATTTGGAAAATATTTATGATTATTATCTTAAAGGTACTAGTAACAAATACTAAGTTAGAGCGGCATGAAAGTCCTTTTATATTAGGATTATATTACTCTGTCCTCAGTTCATGAAACTCTGCCTTAAAAATTTTCTTACTAATATATTATTGAGATGATATTTTGACTTTAAAAATTTTATATAATTTCCTTGGATATAACCCTTAATCTTAAGTCTATGTTTACTGACTAAAGGAATTAGAAGAAATTATATTTGCTGCGATATATTTTTGTAGGCATTTGGGTGTAGACATTTGAAGTATCATATGATGAGTATACTTGTATTGACTAATCATTCCTGTAACCCTACTAGATTATAATTGACTTTAATTAATTAGGAAGCCTTGAGATCCTATGTTCTACCTTCCTTCCTCAGATATGAAAATAATGAATATTTTTGCTCTAGAATTTCTAATAAGTTTATCTCTGTCTCAACTTACTCAATTTTGTATTTTGCAGCAAACATTTGTAGTTTTCTATGTTTAAGTCCAAACTCTTAAATTTCTCTCTTTATACTTTGTAGTTTTTTACCAATATAAAGAGAATCAAATTTTCATTATATTTTCTAAGTAGTTACTGCTAGTTCCTAAGAATTCTACTCAATTGAGAGTGTGTGTGTGTGTGTGTGTGTGTGTGTGTGTGTGTGTCGGTGTGTGGTATCTTACTCAAACTATTCAAGAGCCTTGATGCTTTACTTTACTAAGTAACTCACTTGGGTTTTCTATGTAATCTAAAATGTATGAACATCATTTTCCCCCTTATTGCATTATTTAGTGTTTCCAGATTAATTTTAATCATGAATATAAAAAGTTGATTTTATTCCAAAATGTAATGGAAAGACAGACATGGTCTAGGTGTTACTGCACATGCTAACTCCAAATCATTTCTATGAATTAACAGCTGAGTTGAACTTGATCTGATTCTGAAACAGTGATGTGGCTAATTATCAATATTAGTGATACTTCTCTGATGAGGGAGTGGTAGTAAATGGATTAATAACATTAATAATTTTTCTAATATTTAGTGTCACTCAATCTGTAACTTGAATATTGATTTCTGATGTGATTGAAGAGTAACCCAGAAAAAATATAATTTAATTTCAGGCACTTCAAATAATTTTTTAAGGCCATCCTTTTCAAATCAGCATTTAATAACATTGTGATTAAACAATGTTTGGAATTTTATTGAAATATTCTTCTAGTCTAGTCATTTCTAGAAATGATCTACATGTATATTGTAAAGAAGATGCATTCTTCTTTGGAGGTAGAATTCTTTATGTATCTTATGAAATAAGCTTTTACCTGTTTATCTTTTACAATACCTATACTTATATTTTGCCCAATTGGTTATAAAATTCTCTGGGAAAGTCATGACAAATTATCTCATTGTAATAATGGTTTTGTCAAATTCTTTTGTCTGTTGTAATGGTATTTGATATATATATGTGTGTGATATACATATATATCGGTGTATTGTTTTTTGTAGTGCAAGATGAATATTTTCCATGTTTTGATGAATTATTTTAACAAAAATATTCCTTCCAGATTAGTTGAATATTTTTTGACCAAGTTTTCCTTGATGTATATTACCCCATAATTTTATTTTGAAATTTTCTATGTCATTTGACTTCAGGAATAGGCCCCTCACTTACTAATATAAAAGATAAGGTACATAGTTGAAGAGCTGAAATTTATATGATGGACATCATCAACAAAAGCAGTAGCCATCCACCGTTGAATCAGATTTGAACCTATCATTCCAAATAATGCACTTGCTATAAAATTTGACCAAGTGCTCTCCACGACTTTATAGGCTGCAAGAGAGAAAAGAAAAAATAATTAAGAACGTAAATGCCCTTATTTTAAGAGATATTCTGGGTCAACTTTTCTTTCTGTCATTATCTTTACAAATGGTTCATTGCCTTTGGAGTAGATTTCTGTATTTTCTTATTCCTAAATTGGAGTTTCTTTACAAATGCTGATAATCACACTTAAATCTGTAAAATTTAATTAGTTTATTTTAAGAGATTTTTCCAGTCAATATGTAAGGAATATATATATTTATTCATTGCCAACCAGTATAATAAATTTTGGAGCTATGGTAATGAACAAGAAGTAGAACATCTTTAAACTCAGGGAACTTGCCTTCTAGATCTAACAACACACACAGGAAACAGGTGACTGAACCTCCTGTACTACCTTGACCACCACACTGACTGGCTCACTATTTCTGGGCACTTCATTTGTTTCCAATTCATTTCCATGACAAACAATGCTGCAGTGTGTGATCCTGAAGAAGAAATACTCCACGAATAGATTGTTGCTCTTTTGTTGATATTGCTATATTTTGCCAAATTGCTTTCTATGATCATGTTGTTGCTCTTCCCAGGGAATAGGAAGCCTAAGTAAACCCTTCCTTGATAGCCTCAGAATCAGGCAAACATAGTGAGATGAAGTCCTTTATTTATTTATTTATTTGTTTATTTGTTTATTTATTTATTTATTTTTGTGGGACCCTCACCGGAGGCCGGGGAATGAACCGGTGCCTCAGAGGCTGCGGGCAGCGCCACCAGGGGAGGCCCAAGGAGCAAAATTTGATTCCCAGAGGAAAGTGGGTCCTGGAGTCAGCAAGACCTGAAGGGTCTACTCCCACAGAACAGGTGGAGAGCACGATCAAAGCCCACACAAGACCCGCTGGCAAAAAAGCAGCAAGAACCACCACAACAAAAATAAAGCTCAGTTTGGGGAAGTAAACCCTAGCACTGAGCTCAGAGGTGGCAAATTGTAGTAGAAAGAATCCTTTCATGAATTCTTGTCCATAAATGTCTACTAGTGGGGAGAACACTAAGAGAGCTGAGAAGATTTAGATTCTTATCTGTCTTATCCCAAGGCTGAATGAGAGCCATGATTTCTAGATTGGTCAAGAAAGCTGTATCACCTGTACAGATAGTGTGAACCTGGGAGGAATTTTATGAATGAAGCTCTAGGACACATCTGCTTTAGGCATGGAGATGGGCATGGTGATAATTTTGGGAGTTCAGCACCTCCTACAACTGAAACATAAGGATGGAGACTGACTTGGGTTTCAGAAGGATGCAGGGAACTGGAGGTAGAAGGACCAGCTTGAAGGGTGTTTGCTCCTTTAAAAAAGGAAAATAGTTTTTAATCAGTAAAGACTTTGTCGGCTGGATTTATTAGGTCAGGACAAACCTCAAAGCAAATACATTATTTCTTACAATGTCCCTAACCTGGAAGAAGCTGGAGTGGAGACTAGAAAAGGAAGGAAGCAGGATGGAGAGCAATGAGGAGACCTGAAGGAGGCACATGGAGCAGAGACAGATGTATGAAGCAGATGCACTTGCTTCTTGGTCCTGGACTGGTTGAAACAGATGTGGGTCAGAGACTGTGGGGAAGTTAACAATGGCAGCTTTTATCTTAATTTTGATTTTGCTCTTTTCCTCCCAGACTTGTCTGACTGTTTCTGACCCTTTTCTGTGGGTCCCTGCCAGAAGGTGCTTTAGACTTGTGGTAGGCTTTCAGGTCTTGCTCTTGGCCAATCCCATTTGGGTGGACTTTTACCCACGAGGGGATGGGTAACTTTGAGTGCTTGGTTTAAAACTATATTCTTTGTCTTTTCTGTATTGTTCACAAATTAAAGTTCCTTTCCATTAAAAAACAAAACAAAACCAAAAAAACAATGTCTCTGATCTCCTAATTCTCAAGTTGGAAAGGTAAGAATTCTTAGTGCAGTGATTCTTTTTATTTTTCCCTTATTATGAAATTGTGTTAACTTCAAAGATTAAGCAACACTGTTTAAATAACTATATGTTACAAAAATAATAGTTCCTATGAAAATTGTTGGTTTAGGATGATGTAATTGATATAAATAAAATGCAAATGAAATACCAGTAAATTATATCAGGCATATTTTTTTAATTTAATTTATTTTTAATCTATTTTCTTTTTACATCATTGATCAATTTTAAACAATATTTGCTTCCCCCCATCCCTTCAGGTTGAGTCCCCATAGAATTTCCTTCACTAATGCACCCATGAACCATCACCAGAGTCCCCTGTTCTCCTCCCTCCTCCTCCCCTGCAGTATGTCTCTGATTTATAATTTCTGTTTTTGCTTTGTTGTGTTTGGTACTATTATTTTTTTTACACTGATGTCTTATTTGGTTCCCCTATATTCCTGTTAAAAGTGAAACCATCCGATATTTTTCTTTTTCCTTCTGGCTTATTTCACTGAGCATAATTCCTTCTAGCTCCATCCATGTTGCTGTGAATGGCATGAGTTTATCTTTTTTTTTTGATTGCTGAATAATATTCCATGGTGTATATATACCACATCTTCTTGATCCAGTCATCTATTTTTGGGCATTTGGGTTGTTTCCAGGTTTTGCTTATTGTAAATAGTGCTGCAATAAACATAGGGGTACATTTGTTCTTTTGAATCAAAGTTTTTGTATCCTTTGGGTAGATCCCTAGGAGTGGAATTGCCAGGTTGTATGGTAGCTCCATTTTCAGTAGACTGAGGAACCTCCAGACAGCTTTCCATAGTGATTAGACAAGTTTACACTCCCACCAGCAATGTAGGAGAGTTCTTTTTTCACCACATCTTCGCTAACATTTGTTGTTGCTTGTTTTTTTGATATGTGCCATTCTTACTGGTGTAAGGTAGTATCTCAGTATGGTTTTGATTCGCATTTCCCTGATTATAAGGGATGTTGAACATTTTTTCATATGCCTGGTAGCCATTTGCATTTCCTCTTTGGAGAAACATCTTTTAAGTTCTTCTGCCCATTTCTTGACTGGATTGTTTATTTTGTTTTTGTTGAGCTGTGTAAGTTCTTTGTATATCTTTGTGATCAGTCCCTTATCAGTTGAATGGAGTACAAAGATTTTTTTCCCAATCAGTGGGGTGTCTCTCTGTTTTGGTTAATGTCTCCTTTGCTGTACAGAAGCTTTTCAGTTTGATGTAATCCCAGGTGTTTATCTTTGCCTTCACTATCACTGCTTTGGGTGATGAGTCTTTACAGATATTTCTGAGATGTATGTCTTGTAGTGTTTTACCTATATTTTCTTCTATATATTTTATGGTTTCAGGTCTTATGTCCAGTTCTTTTATCCATTTTGAGTTGACTTTTGTGCACGGTGAGAAGTAGTGGTCTAGTTTCATTTTTTTGCATGTGGCCGTCCAGTTCTCCCAGCACTATTTATTGAACAAACTGTCTGTGTTCCATTGCATATTCTTTGCTCCTTTGTCAAAGATTAGTTGTCCATATAAGTGTGGTTTTATTTCTGGGGTCTCTATTCGGTTCCATTGGTCTGTGTCTGTTTTTGTTCCAATACCAAACTGTTTCAATTATTATGGCTTTGTAGTATAGCTTGAAGTTTGGAAGTGTGATACCTCTTTTCTCCTTTCATCAGTAGGGCTTTGGCTATTTGTATTTTTTTGTGGTTCCATATGAATTTCATCAGTATTTGTTCTATTTCTTTGAAGAATGTCATTGAGATTTTTATTGGAATAGCATAGAATCTGTATATTGTTTTTGGGAGGATGGCCATTTTAATAATGTTAATTCTTCCAATACATGAACAGGGGATTTCTTTCCATTTCTTTGAGGCTTCCTCAATTTCTTCTAACAGTGTTTTATAATTTTCTTTGTATAGGTCTTTCACCTGTTTTGTTAGGTTTATTCCCAAGTATTTGATTTTTTTTGTTTCAATTATAAAAGGCATGGTTTTCTTGATTTCTTCTTCTTCTGGTTGATTGTGTATAGGAAGGCTACTGATTTTTGTGTGTTGATTTTGTATCCTGCTACTTTATTGAACTGATTATTTTGAGTAGTTTTTCTATGGAGTTTTTAGGGTTCTCTATGTATATTATCATATTGTCTGCAAATAGTGATAGTTTTATTTCTTCTTTCCCTGTTTGGATTCCTTGTATGTCTTTCTTTTGTCTTATTGCCCTGGCTAGGACCTCCAGTATTATATTGAAGAGCAGTGGTGAGAGAGGACATCCTTGTCTTGTTCCTGATCTTAAAGGAAAGGTCTTCAGCTTTTCACCATTGAGAATAATATTGGCAGTGGGTTTGTCATATATGGTTTTTATCATGTTAAGGAACCTTAACATGTTCCTTCTATCCCGAGAATTTCAAGGGCCTGATAATTGTTCAGAGTATCCTCATACTGCTTCATTTGCACTTCTCTCTCCTTTTCTCTTTTGGCTCTTTTTATTTCTGTATCTTCAATAGCACTGATCCGTTCTTCTATTTCATTGATTCTGTTTTCATTGCTTTTCCCAGAGTTCTTTATCTCCTCTAGTAATCTTTTAATCTCCTGCATTTCTTTCCTTTCTTAAGGTCTCAATTTCATTCTTCAGTGCAGTGATAATTTGTCTCAAATAATTTTTTTTCCTTTTTGTTTTCTTTCTGCTTTTTAATCATGATGATCATTAATTCTTTATCTGATAGGCCGAGAAGTTCTTCTATGTCATTGTTGAGCTCTGGTGATTGTATTTCTTTTTGTGGTGTGTCCTTCTCCTGTGGGCTTGCTTGGTAATTTGTATTTTTCCTTCTCCCTGCTGTTTGCTTTCTAATTAGTTTTATGCGTTGGGATGTTGTGCCACTGGTGTTGGTGGGCATCTCTTTGGATTGCTCCTTCAGGGGTGTCGGAAACTTTACCAGACTGAGACCAGCACTGGTAGGCCAAAACTCCACGAGGGTGTTGATGCTGTGTTGCTGGGCACTGTCCCTTAACATTGCCTTCCCTCTGTATTTACTGAGTTCCATCAGGGAATCAGCTAGCTGGTGATTTTGTTCTGGTCACTAGGTGGTGCCAGAGACCCATACTTGCTGACCTGTGCTTTTTCCCAGTGGTTCTCTGAGAAATGGGGGGGGGGGGGGGGCGAAGGGTAGCACCTCAACACAGGGGCATTTATTCAAGCTGGGTGCTGTGTCTGCCCCGTTCACCCAGGGCTGTACCTGCAGCTGTATGGATCCCACGCCCTGAATTCTGTGCTCTAGGTCTCAGTTCCAGGGCTATCAGATCCAAAATGCTGGCTGTCACCCTGTGAAGTGCCCACTGCTATGGCGCGTCCCAAGCCCCGGATCTTGCACTAGGCTCTCAGTTCCAGAATGGGGTCTTACTCCACGCCTTGTTTCCCTTCTTACCCCCATTTGCGTGGCCCACCCTCTCTCAGAATCTGAGGGTGTTTTGGGGATCCCTGGTTTCCAACTATCAGGATGTTGGTGATTTTGTTCTGGTCACTAGGTGGCACCAGAGATTTTTTCCTAGTGTCCTTCCAGAACTGTTTCCCCCACCCCAAAAGGTCACCGGGGAACAGAGTGGGGGTGGCGTGGAGCTCCTCAATGGTGTGGGGGTGCTGTGTCTGCCCTGTGCCTTGCCATCGTGGGGATCACATGCCCCGAATCTCATGCCCTGAGACTCAGTTCCGAAACCCTCAGATACAGGATGTGGGTTGTAGCCCAGTTCAGTGTCTGCAGAAATGGGTCCTTTTGCACCCCGCTCCCATGCCCGGGCACCTGGTTTCTGATTATTCAGTGAGGGGCATTCACCTCAGTGACAGCTCCCACGTGTCTCCCCACCAACCTAGGTCACAAGCACAGGGACCTGGGCAGCTGCGATCCGTGTATGCTTTTCAAGCGTGTGCTGCTTTTCTGAACAAGCTTACCTGCTGGCCTTGAGCTATTTTCAGGTCTCTCCATGGAGTCCTTGTTTTCCTCTAATGGCACCTGGAGCAGATCCTCACTCAAGGATTTAAAGTGCACTCATTCCAATTACAGGGCCTCGAAAGAAGGCCCTGTTATTTTTCATCAGTACCTCCCTGGGTCGGGAGTGGGTAATTTGCATGTCTGCCGCCTTCCTTGGATATGGTAGCCATTTCTCAGGCTCCCTCTCCGGACTCAAACCCTGATTCCCATCACCCGTGGTCACCATGGTAGGCATGGCGACTACCATAGAAAGTTGATAAGGCAGACATTTGAATGGGTCGTCGCCGCCATGGAGGGCATGCGATCCGGCCGAGGTTATCTAGAGTCACCAAAGCTGCTGGCGCCCACTGCCCTGCCGGCAGGAGCCGAAGACTGACCAGGTTGGTTTGGGTCTGGTAAACGCATGTGTCCCCCTCTAGAAAGGGGGTCGGCGCCTGTGGGCATGTATTAGCTCTAGACTTACCACAGTTATCCAAGTAGGAGAGGATTGAGGACCAAAGGAACCATAACTGATTTAATGAGCCATTTGCAGTTTCACTGCACTGGCCATGCGTACTTAGACATGCATGGCTTAATCTTTGAGACAAGCATATGCTACTGGCAGGATCAACCAGGTATCAAGCACATTTCTTAAGAGAGAATTTTCTGGGCTTCCCTGGTGGTGCAGGGGATAAGATGCAACCTATGAAGTTATCTGCAGCCACTGCAGCATGAGTTCGATCCCCAGCCAGGGAGCTACCCACATGGTGCAGCAGACCTCTCCTGTCTCACCCACTGCTCCCCTCAGCAGTGTATTTCAGTCAATCTGCCTGTTCTGTTCCCCACTCTGTCTCTGGTGAATCCTCTCACCCTCCCACGCCTCTGGCCTGTACCCCAGTTCTTGTATGCATAAATGAATAAATCTTTTTTTTAAAAAAAGAATTTTAAGTTACCAAGAATGTGGAGAAATTCTGACAGTTAAGAGAATAAGGGCACTGTGCTCTTCCTCTACACCTTACCCCCTCTTTTTTTTCAGGGGGATGGCAGATAGAACAATATCATGCTGCAGAAGACCATAGAATACGAAAGACACCCTGTGAATGGAGTAATATATGTAAATAATTTTCTCAAGCAAGACTGTAATCATTGCTTTTCCAAAAGCAGTGCAACTGGTAACATATAACAAAGGTAAAAATGCTTTTCAGCAATATTATGGAAATATTTTCACTTCTTGGACACCCTGAAAGGGTCCTGCAGTGAAAGAACACCTTCCCTCCTCCCCATCCCAGAGACTACACTCTGAGAATCACAGTTGCAGGAGGGAGATATGGGTTTGATCAGGAGGAGCCCATAAGGTGCTTCTGGGTTACTGGTAATATGTTATTTCTTGTCCTTGGTGATAATTAGCCATCTGCATGCTTTATAATTTTCCACTGTAGTGTGCATATATTACTGATTTTATGCACATGCATACACACACAATAAAGGGAAAAAATGGTCCAGAGCTCTCTGAACGGGGTAACTTGCCATCTCTCTGCTTACAAACACTGCCCTCAGGCCCTGTGAAAGGCCAGGGGAGGCACACTTCCTTCTGGTGCTGTTAGCTTTCTGGGTTGCCTGCAGGGAGCTACAATGGAAAGGGTGTTCAGAAGGAAAACTGCTCCCTCACCACAGGTGGAGACACTACCTGGCTTATCTTCTGAGTTCGTTTCCAACACAGGAAAAGCAGTATTTCTTATTCTAGCTGTCAAGCATTTGGGTTTACTGCAGGCCCATGGAATGTTGTTCTTTTTTTTTTTTTAACATTTTTTTTTTTTTTAAGAGGCACGTATTTTTATTTATTTGTTTGTTTTGTTTATACATGCACTGGATACAGTCAGAAGCGCGGGAGGGTGAGAAAATTCACCAGAGCCAGAGCAGGGAGCAGAGCAGGCAGAAGGACTGAAGTACACTGCTGAGGGGAGCAGCGGGCGGCAGGAGAGGTCTGCGTGCCATGTGGGACCCTCCTCCGGTGGCCGGTGGCCAGGGAGCAGCAGGGGATCGAACTGGTGCCGCAGAGGCCGTGGTCAGCTTCACAACCCAGCGCTCAACCACTGTGCCACCGGGGAGGCCCGGAATGTTGTTCTTATAAGTATCTTCATGAGAAGGCCCAACCCAGGCTCACCACAAAATTACAACTAATGTTAAACAAGGATGTCTGGTAGTATATTTGCTTTGAGTCTTATCGTGACCTAATAAATCTATTCAACAAATATTTTATTGTTTAAAATCTATTTCATCTTTTTTAAAAGGGTAAATCACTATATTAATACTATTGAGTTTGTACAAGAATATCTTGTGGTAAAATAATACAAAACCCATATCAACTTTCAGAACACACACAATTCTGGTTTTTTGAAATTAAGTACAAAATAGGTCCTTACCTATGGAGCTGTTCACATGAGATTTTAGGGTGGTGTTAATTTCCACAATACTGGTATACAAAACGAAAGAAAGTACAGAAGTTATCAGACTTTCTCCACTAATTAAATCAACGAGACTTCTAGAAAGACCTACAAAAAGCAAAATACTTTTTTTAAAGGTAGGACAAACTTCATTAATATTAAAGTATTTTATTAACAGGTAGGAGGATATTTTTAGGTATGGATTTATGTAACATAGCTTCCCCTACAATTTTAAATAGAACTTTTACAAGAGCATACAAGAGCTGGGGTACAGGCCAGAGATGCGGGGGTGAGAGGATTCACCAGAGACAGAGTGGGGAGCAGAACAGGCAGATTGACTGGAATACACTGCTGAGGGGAGCAGTGGGCGAGTCAGGAGAGGTCTGCTGCACCATGTGGGTTGCTCCCTGGCCTGCTGGGGGATCGAAGTCGTGCTGCAGAGGCTTTGGATTGCTTTGTAGTGCTGTGCTTAACCCCTTGCGCCACCAGGGGGACCCTTAAATAAAACTTGGATTATGTTTGGAAACTCTCTTGAAGGAAATTTGATTATATATTAGCTATAAGTAAAATCTAAACTATCATAATATGACAACAATTAGCTGTGGTCAATAATGGTTTTTACAAATGAGATCATCTATGTGAGCTCTCATTCATCATTTCAAAGCAGAGATGGAAACATGAAATTCGTTATTTATTAAATTCAGTAATCTGGCCTATAAAAAACACATGCATCAAAAAGTCAGATGTATTTAAGATAAGACAAAAAAAGAAAGATGATGGAGAGACAAAGTAAATTCATAAATTAAGGCTTTAAAACATGGCATCTATTAAGGCAATTGTCCAATCAGTCTCACTGTAATTATACGGTGTCTCCCACCAGATACTATCTACTTCCAGCACCAGATATTATCTATTTCCATCTTAATCCTCCATTTATTGTGATTATTTAAGTTAAATATCCATCCTTTGTCATTATTTTCTGCTGTTAAATGTGCTGGTAATGGTAAAACTGTAACTTGGAGCATGTGTACTGATTTTGTAAATGTCCATAGGAAGGAAGTGCTATTACAAGGTAAAAGCCTTTCTTGTGAAACAAAGACTGAACAGCTGTGATCACAAGCACTGTGATCACAACCTAAGTACAATTAAGAGAAGGAAAGCAAGACAGACTGTTCCTATAGGAGCTCAATGGCCATGATGGTCAGTTCTTCCCTTCTCTCTGTATCTTGTTTTTTTGTAGGACTTTGCAGTTTCTGTTATCAAGAAAGATTTCTGGCTCCTCTCCTTTCCCCCTGCCACCATCATGGCAGTATACTCTGGCTACCCTAATGGAGGGAATGTGAGAAATATGTGGAACTGGGCCTCCCTGGTGGCGCAAGGGGTTAAGTACGGCATTATAAAGCAATCTGCAGCCTCTGCAGATCCCTGGCTGGCCAGGGAGCAACCCACATGGCGCAGCAGACCTCTCCTGTCTTGCCCGCTGCTCCCCTTAGCAGTGTATTTCAGTCAGTCTACCTGTTCTGTTTCCTACTCTCTCTCTGGTGAATCCTCTCACCGCCCTGCCCTCCCCCCTTGCAACTCTGGCCTATACCCTAGCTTTTGTATGCATAAATAAATAAATCTTTGGGGAAAAAAAAGAAATATGTGGAATAAAGATACATCTTTCAGTTGAGGCTATCCTAAATCACTTAGCATCCAGATGACCTGCTGAGTGATTGTAGATTCACTAGGGATGTTCAGCCAAGTTCAACCAAGCTGAATCCTTATCATCAGAACTGCCAGAAATAAGAATGAAAAATAAGAAATAAGAAATAATTGTTTTAAACTACTGTGTTTTGGAGCCAATTATTACTTATAAAAAACATAACTGATACAGTGTATAATATTTCACTTTAGAAAATGGGACTATAATAACATGTGAATATTTGGAAATAGGGAATAGATAGGGGTCTATGAGGAGTCCACAAACCATAAAAAGCTCAAGATAATGTACATGGACTCAAGGACTCACTCATAGGTCTAATCAGATTTTTTTTAATTGATTTACCATTGGGTTACAATGTCATGTAAGTTTCAGAAGTAAATCACACCTTGGTATGTGCCTATACCACAGCGAGCGTGCCCACTACTGAAGTTCTAATGCTGTTCACTCTCAAACTGTCTTCTCTGCCTGTTCCTCCCACCCTGTTCCCCTCCCCCTCTGAGATATTTTTTAAGGATAAAATAAAAATATATAAAAAATCTTTCTTTGATAGTGCAGGCAGAGATGTTACCAAGACAAAAATACTTTGTTTTAAATGATTCAAAGTGAAGAGAAAAATAATTCAAAAGTAATGACAGACTGGCCCCAATTTATTAGAATAATCTTATAAATTAACATCCAGAAATGACTTAAATTCAACAATGGCAGGCTGGAAAATCAGGTGAATACTAACTCATATGAGATTAAACAGTTAAGAGAAGTATGGAAGGCTCTCAGGAAGCAGAAAAAAGTTTCAGCAGAAAGGGAGCTGGTACTGACATAATCACAAAGAGTTTGGGTTGGTGATAAATGTTGGCACTTTCTTTGTCTAAAGTTGTACCTCACAATCCCCTTGCTTTGAAGACTTTCCTTTAGTTGTATATTTACACATGATGTGTCTCCCCTGAGAATGTGAGCAAATACATGGGTGTGCTATATTTCAACTCTATTTTCAAATAAATATTCAAGTTCTCATTAGTAAAAAGTGGCTGTTATGTTAACTTAATGTGTATTTTGTTTTTAAATATAGATTTTTTTTCTCCTAAAACAGTACACTCTGAAAACATTGATTAGTGATTTTAATGTCTTAACAGAAAAATTAAAGGATTTTGGTCCTAATGATGACATAGCTTCAAAGGCATTTTTTTGTGTTTAATTTTTTTTTACAAATGGCATTATCCTAATGAATGTTTTCAAAGGAAAAGAAATGTTGGGCAATATAAATGTGACCCCAATGTATATGCAGCATTATAATCCCTATAGAACTGTTCTATTGGCTCAGGTAGAAGTATGTGTGAAGTCATTGGTTCCATACAACTCCCTGACCTAGTCTACAATTGGATAAAAGACTGAAAAGAATATAAAGTAAGCACATCACTGGCCTTTCTTTTGTTCTTAGCATTACCACTCTTGACTCTATGCTCAATCCCCCTCCAATTCACAAAGTGAAAAGCTAGTGAACAAAAGATCTTAAAACTAGACAAGTAAAATATGTAAAATGATATTTTAAATATAGAAAAATAAGAAAATATACCAACCAAGGTCTCTTATAGCAGTTGCAGTCAGCATGGGATCTGAACTCATGAGGATAGTTGAAAATAACAACCGTGGGGTGGGTTGCAAAAGTAATTTATCCACAGATGACAGATACCAAAGAATTAATAGATAATTCACCAAAAAGCCAGGAATTGAAATTAACAGTAACTGCAAAGAAATTTTAGAGATAGAAAAATCAGATGCCTTTATATTCCATTTTTAAAGCAGATAATCAGGATTATTGGCGAGGTAGAGCCATACTCTACCCATGAATGGGGAAATTTAAAGATTAATAATTTTGTTATTTTATTTGCCAAATCTGGAAATAAGGGACAAATATTGCAATGAGATTCCTAGGGCCTAAGAAATATAGTTATAGAAAATCCTATCTTATTACCTAGTTTGGAGCAAGATTAAAAAAAAAAACACCAATAAAACTCAACATATAGCAGATCATGAGTGAATGATATTGAAAAAGAATACTTCTCTTACCTGCCAGAATAATTTCTGAAGCATGTATATATCCATCTCAAATGCAACAGTAAAGATAATTACTGGTGTAAATATACCAAAAAATAAGTCTGGGCTCATTGATTGTATGGCATCTGCATACCTTTGTACCTAATAATATAAAAATATGTCATTTTCTTATTTATCCATATTTCTGTTAGCAAAGAATTATATGCCAGGCACTTCTATCTCTAGCACAAGAGAAAGAAGACATCACAATGTAACAAATGTGTTACCTTTGTTGGATTTTCATACTTTTTCATCACATTATGATCAATTATAATAAAAAGTTAATGCACATATCTATACCCACTTTTTTTTTTTTAAGGAGAAGGTATAGGAAGTACATTGACATATGCTGAAATAAGCACATAACATATTGTTGGCAAAAGTAGTAGCAGTAATTTTGTTCCCTAAATCCATACCATTGGGTAGTTATCTCCCATAACTCCCAAAAGATGTAGGAAATTTTCAGGCATACAAGAGGAAGAAAAGGGTTTAATGTAGATGGATTGTCATATACAAAATCCACAAAGGAGTAAACAATCATATCAAATTTCAGAAGCTACAAATAATTATTCAAGTCTTCTATAGAAGATGTATGTAGAAAAATAACAGGGAAAAGGCCTGGGAAATTACCACAGATCATTAAGCAACTAATTGATGGTGCTTATTACAAATAATTTAGTAGACATTTTAAAACCTTATAGTGGGCATCCACTCAATATTCATTGATGAAGGAAATGCTGAGTTCCTACTATATTAGGAAATATCTGCGTTTGGAAGATCATTTTCCATGGGTCTCTTGGAATTTCTCCATGTCTTATGAGTGGAGGCTCTGATTGCTTTTCTTCCAGACTATCTTTTCAAGATTATTCTGATGGCCATCAAATTTCGAAGATACAGCAAGTGTCTCTATCTTTGATCCTCCAGAGCAAAGAACAGGTATTCTATACTGTCCATTGTATTAAAGTTTCCCTCTGGGACAAGAGGGAAGATGAGTCTACAGCCCATCATAAAACAGTCTCTAAGTTCTGCTTTCTTCTCCTATAACCATCCCAGTGTGTATGTGTGTGCACATTTCCCCTGGTCATCTACTTCTTCTTACGGAAACTGGGGCTCATGGAACAGACACAAGAAAATTCTGATACTCTATCTACTACTATTTCTGGGAGTTACAAAACTTGTTTATGACAAAGTAGTAACCTGCTTCTGGTTCTTACGTGAACATGCTTTCCATAACTGGCCGAGCAATAAAGAGAAAAATAATTTTATAAATTTTCCTAAGCCATTTTTGTATTATTATGAATCACATATATATTACAAAATACTCATATTTACTAAACATACCTGATCAGATGTAAAACTTAGCATTTCAAAACTGCATCCAATTAAAAATAATATCACAGGGAGAGGAATTGGAAAGTCTTTCAAGTGTAGGTTCAAAAATGCTGTAAAAAAATGTCTTTACTGAAAGGCAGTTAAACATCACACTTATAAAAATTTAATGTGATAGGATTTCTTAATAGTTAGAACAATATGATACTGTTTCTTTTCTTCCTGTATTCCTGCAACTGAAACCCTCCTTCACATAAGGAATCAGTATAACTATGAATCCACTGGTTTCCTGCTTTACCTCTTCTATGAGGTATCTCATTTCTTTAGAATTGTTAGTAAATATTGCTAGCATCATTGGCTCTTATTACTACTAAAATATTTATAACAGTTTTCTACATGCAATCAATCAGATAGTTTCTTCAGCACTCCTAGAATAAGAAGTTAATACACAACTGATCTTTAATGAAGTTGACTGATTCCCAAGATAATACTGAGAAACTATTTATAATAATTTGCCCAATGAGAAATCTATTGTTAGCTTCACATTATATATGAAGATAGACTATAATGAATATTTAACTTTGTTCATCATTATTTTCAAAGTGCAATAAGCAATATTACAACTCTTTCTACAAGTTAATGCTTCCCACTTTATAAAATAATTCCAAATCAAGTTTAAGGATGCCAAAAAAAAGTTTCTTTCTTTTGATGTGTACAATGCTATTTTCTTCTCTTCAGAGCTAGGCATAAACTATCATTTAAATAACAGAACACACTACTAAATGTTCAGAAAGTAATAACCCATTCAGAGGAACTATTATTTTGAACATTGTTTATCTAAGTGCAGAAAGCAGTGGGAGAGGTAAATTCAAGATATGATTGAAACTATAATTTATAACACAGATAACAGTAAATTCTCCAAGTCTTGATTTTCTGCTTCAATTCTCCCCATCCATTAAATCTAGCCACATGGTTGATCAAGTAAGAAGTTGTGAATACTTTCAACCCAACTGAGGTAAGGAATAATGCTCAGATATTACAAATCTCTTCTAGGATCAGATTATTTTTTGTATTCATTTGATTGAAAATCTAGGGATGAAATTATGAATTTAGAACACAATTTTAATTTCTTACTACTGTTACTTTCCTTTATTCTAAATGATAGCACATGTTAGATATAGTCATAGAATAAACTCAAAGAAAGTTATACCTACCTCCAACTGCACAGATCAAAGACAATATTAGAATGATTTCAGGGAGGTCGTCAGCAGTTTTCATGAACAAAACCCTGAAAAACTTCACCCATGAACCACTCAGTCCTTTTCTAAGAAAGTTTAATTTGTGTTGCAAGGCCATCTTGTGGTTTATCACAATCCAGCTGAATCCAACTCTTATGACTTAGCAAAACTCACACGGGATCAAAAGAATGTAAGATTTGCCTTTGTGGTGGTCCTCCAGTGCTTTCTAAAACTAAGTAAAAGAAAACAAAAAAGATCATACTTCTCCTTTATTATTATATTACTAGTGATATCTTAGGGTTGGACAAAATTAGGGATGCCTCCCCTTTCTGTGATGCTTTCAGATTAAATGAGATAGAAATTGTATAATCCCAAGTGACAGAAACTAGCCAGTGTCTTACTTATAATGCCAACTACTATTTAGCTATTATTCATGCTGCACCTAACCAAGTGTCTGAAATGATTTTTAAAATCTAACTATTCACTGACACCACAAACCAGTAGAGATTACTTAACTCTGTGGATGAACAACTGAGGGACTTGGCCTCACATTATCTTAACCTCTGGAATTATGTTCTGGCAGCTCTTCCAAAGTGGGGGTGAGATGGAGGTAGAATATTTGGATTTTTTTGTTGTTGTTCTATTCTGACAGGTTAATAGACCATGAGGACATTTATTTGATCTCATTTGGAAAGCTGAAAGGCCAGAGTTTCCCTAAAATTTGATGCATACTTCCTCTCATACTAGCAGCTGCACATTTTCTAGAGTCTGCTATTAGCATCTTATTTGGATGCCTTGTTGAGCAATCATTTATCACTCAACTTTCTCTCATAAATCAGCAGTTTCATATATATAATTTCTAAACAGAAAGTTAAATGAATACATGATTAGTGTGAATATAGAAAATGATCCAGAATCACATCATCTAGTTACTCTTACAAGTTTTATTTACATTTGAGCTCATCCTTACATAATTATACTTTATGCTCTTTCCATTTGGCATTGTATCACCAGCCTCACAAAGCCTTGTAAGGGCCTCCCCGGTGGTGCAGTGGTTGAGCGCTGGCCTGTGAAGCTGCCCACAGCCTCTGCAGCACTGGTTCCATCCACGGCCACCGGCAAGCGTCCTACATGGTGTGCAGACCTTTCCTGTCGCCTGCTACTCCCCTCAGCAGTGTACTTCGTCAGTCTGCCTGTTCTGTTTCCCGCTCTGGCTCTGGTGAATTCTCTCACCCTCCCACGCTTCTGACTATACCCAGTGCTTGTATAAATAAATAAATCTAAAAAAAAAAAAACCTTTAAAAAAAAAAAAACCTTGTAAACAACATTTATAAAGGTTATGTCGTATTAGCACTGATGTAATAGCTTCCTAGTGTGTAATTTCTCTTATCATATGTATTAAGAATCAGATAGGGAGCAATAACGGATAGGGAGCAATATGTGTGGCCTGGGTCTTATTTACACTTAAATCAGTCTGGGTGGCTGCCTGGGCTCCCCAGGCAATTTTATTGTGTGGCCAATGTGAGCAACTCACCAAATTAAAGGCAACATTGCTCACTTTCTAGTCTCAAAATCAGCTCCTTTCCACTATTCTTAAGTAGGGATTTGAAAAAAAGGGTATCATTGTTCTTTAGGAGAAGACCACCAGACACTCATCTGAGGTTGACCACGTTTAATTTATGGTTTGTTGCAATGAAGGAGAACATTCACCTTGGGGAACTGTGGTATGTTTTAATATAAGAGATGAGCTGAGTAATTCTGAAGAGGGTCTAAGGAAGTGAGGATTGACTAGTTTGGCTGCTGTCAGAAAGTAAGTTCATTTTTGTGCTTGGTTATCTCAATAAATCTTATCTTTAGGGAGGACAGACTAGAATGAAGCTAAAACTGTGATGGCTTTCAGAAGCAGAAGCCACTCATTTTCATAAAGGGAGGGGATGTTTGGAATTGTATTAGGGTTGCTCCAGGGCTTTGTTAAAGTCTCATCTTATTATGGTCTCAGTTACCTCATCTGATGTTGATGTTCTGTTAGTTTATGTCCAACAGAAAAACATGGACTAGCTGTGAGCACAGATCAGCTTGTAGTAACCTGGAGCAAGACCTAGTACTGAATGTCTGAAAATGTCAGAGCTGGTTTATTAGTTATTCATTTTGTTTTGTTTTTCCCTAAAGGATTCCTAAATTCTTTAACCTCACTTTAACATAGCAAGAGCTGGAGGTAGACTGGGGGATTTTGCTAGTAATACAAGTAGTGGCAAGTTCAGCCACCACTCTAAGACAGAGATTCTCAATCTTGGCTACACAATGGAATCACTTAGAGAATTAAAAAAATTCAAATGCTTCTCTCTCTCTCTCTCTGTGTGTGTGTGTGTGTGGGGGTGGGGCCACCCACAGTGGTGAATTGAGTTGGCCTGAAATACAGCCTGGATTTTGGAAAGCTGCCCTATGATTCTACTGAGCAACCATAACTTATAAGCACTGCTGTAGGAGAAGTCCATGTCATGAAAAAACATTATGATAGACTAGTGATATTTGATCTGAGTTAACACTAAACTATTTTGGAATACATTGTCATTGTCACCTATTAATTTGCCCACTGTTACTCCAAGACTAAGTAAGCATCCTGGAGCAAACATGCTTGACTGAAAAAAGTATTTTTTGCATCACAGCTATGCATCTTACATTCATTCACTCCTTTCAAAACTTAACATAGTTAGGAAACTTACAGTTTTCCAAACTTAAAGTAGGGTACCTGTTCCCACAGGCATTTTTCTCATTTCTAAAATTGTTATCTAAAAACTTTCATAGTAAGTGTTTACAATCCTACTAAATATTAATCAGTCTCATGTTTTAAGACAGGAGTAAAGAATTAGCAGTGAGAATAAACAACTGGGGTTGGATTGTCTTCTCCATAAATGCTCCTATCACACAACACAGCTGTGGTCTTACAAACACTGAGGAGTGCTTTCTGTAGTCTTAATGCTTCTTCATTCAGATTAAGCCCTTTCTCCTCCTCAGATCAGCTCCATATACCTGAGGAGATTCAATGTCCCGGTGTGCTTTCCTGTCAGTGCCTTACTAAGGCCTAAAGGGGACAGACACAAGCCAGGGGAAGAGTTTGGAAAGTTGGCATGGGAAAAGCAATGGAGGAGAGAGGGGTCAAAGGGGTAGAAATTCACATTGAGAGGCTGGTTGATCTTTGGGTCCTTGATAGCTCCAACAGGGATGGTGGGAACTTCAAAAAGGAAAGGCTAGCTGAACCTGTAGCTGGAATACCATGGGAGCTTTCGTTGCTCTCCAGAGGATGAGAAAGTGTCAGAAAGGAAGGAGGATCTTCTTCTATGGGAAACTAAAGGAGGACTCACCATCCAGAGCCTCTGGAGGAGTACGTTTGCCATGTAAAGGAGAGAGGAGGCTAGCTATTGTTCTCACCGCACAGCCTTCACAGCCAACTGCAACCAAGCTGGCAGTTACTTACTCCAGGTCCCGCCCCTGATCTGCACCAATTGGCTTTGTGTTCATTACCCCTGATTTGATTGGCTGATGAAATACAATCTAGACGGAGTTCCACAGCGTCATTGCCCCTTCACCCCTAAGCTAACACTTGAATCATTAAGGACCTAAAAATAAAGGACTTTTCAGGTGAAAAGAAACCTCTTTCACTTAATCTGACTCATTATAAATAAACTTATTTACCGCAATTATATACAAGATAATGGTCAAAAGAGGTGTTGGTGGTGTTAAAACAGTCCTCATAAAAGCACTAATTCTAATTTCTCTCCTAGCCATAAGCCATAGTCATAACACTCACATAAGAAAAGCTAATTAAATTTTCTTGAGAGTCAACCTTTTAGTTTTCTTAGCTTGTCCGTGAGTCATCATGACAGCTACAGAATAACAAGCAGGTATTTCAGGAAAACTATATTCATTTACCTAAAACTGTTAGAATCATTATGTATTATTGTTATATATCAAGCAGACAAGGAAGTAGTATTAAAGTGTGCATGATGACTAGCGTAAATGGTTTTCAGACTTTTCTGCCCTCCCACCATTAGGATTGCCCTGTCTGATGGGGCACCTGCAGTTGTTACATTGTTATAGCTGTGTTGTTTACTTCTGTGGGCCATGACTGCAGTATTGAGATAATGGCCCAGAGAAGGGGAGAAAGAAAGCCAGTGAAGCCCAGAGTGAAGACTTGCCTGGGGGCTTGGAGGCCTTCTGGCCGGAGCATCCCTGCCTGCTGCGTACCCGGTTGCTGCACTACATTTTTATTTTTGTATTTTTTTAAGATTTATTTATTCATTTATACAGGCACTGGGTACAGTCAGAAGCAGGGGAGGGTGAGAGGATTCACCAGAGCCAGAGTGGGGAGCCAGAAAAGGCAGACTGACAACGTACACTGCTGAGGGGAGCAGCGAGTGCAGCTGTTGTGCCACGTTGCACTACATTTAAAGCGCAATAAAAAGACTGATAAGGCCAGGAGGGCTCCAGGACTCCTTCTTGGCCCATCCTGCCACTACAAGACCTTGCCAAATATGGTTAATACATAAACCAGAATTGAGGAAATTGGGAGACTGGTCTTTTTTTCATTTCAGTGTTAGAGCTGTGTTTGAACATGAAGTATGAGGACTTTGTCATCAAATCTCATGAATTTTCTATTCCATCCCATTCTTCAGTTGTTCATACTTTCCAGCTGGGTGCAAGGATCAGGTAACTCTTCACTTTTTCTCTTAAATGCACTTAGCTGAAGATTAATGTTAAACAAATAGCAGATTGTGGTCTAATTTTATAAAATTAGGTGAACAGGGCATTATGTTTGGATCTTGTGTTAACCATGTAGCCCTCCCATGTTGTAGGCATTTAGCAAAAGTTTAATTGAAGCATATTTGAAATAGTGAATTAGCAAACAGAGAAGGAAAGAAAGGTAACTGGGACTGCTTCTGAAGTGCTTCCAAGTGGGTCACACTAGAGAGGACTTAAGCCAGAAGGAAAGAAATGAGTTCTTTACAAATGAGTTAGTTTTGCATATTTCTTGCAGTCTCTTTGCCTTTGAAATTGAGTTTGACTTGTTTTGAGGCTCATCCTGTTTATTAAGAAGTTACTTGTTTTTATATTGTCAAATATTTGTTTCCTTTGTGGATTTGCTTTTTTACCTAAAAATAAAGTCAAGAATGAGAGACAGTTAAATATTTATTTGGGAAAAAATAATTTTAATTTGGGGCACACAGTTTCATCGAGAAGTCCAAAAGTAGTCTGAGATGGGATGAAAGTTGAGGGGTTTTATGGGAAGAAAAGAAAAAGATGAGGTAAAGTGTTAATTTGGGCTAAGAGGTTTAATCTATTCTTGGATATACATAGTTACTAATTCTATTCTCTACCAAAAATGCACAATCATAAATTTTGTGACAAGGATGTTCATTTACCTGTTGACTTTTCAAACAATGTTAAGGATAATTTCTGCTCACCTAGTCTTTTGCCACATTACAGATAACAAACTTTTTCCAACATGACATGGCTGATCCTATTTTATAATGGCTCCACTATATCTGTTTCACATAGATGATTTTTCAAGTTGAGGTACTCCTGAAACACATTAAGGATTTAATAAAATATTCAAGTCTTGTTATTGTCTAGCCATTTAAAAACTATTTGATTAAAGCTATTTAACTTGAATCCCTCTAAAAGCATTTTGGTTCATGGTACAGGCAACCCACATGGCGAAGCGGACCTCTCCTGTCTCACCAGCTGCTCCCCTCAGCAGCGTATTTTGTCAGTCTGCCTGTTCTGTTCCCCACTCTGTCTCTGGTGAATCCTCTCACCCTCCGGCACATATGGCCTATACCCTGGTTCTTGCATAAATCTTTTTTTAAAAAAAAGGAATGAAAGGAAAGCTAACAGGAACTAAAGTGGAGGTCACCATTGTTCTACCTACATGGGTTAAGTTTCTGATAAAGTGTTTTCTTCTGGAGAATAGGTCTTCTAATGGAAAATTCACTAGACTTACTTCAACATGGTTACTTTGTTTTCCCTTTATACAAGATATGAGGTGTTTTTTCCTGGCTCGCAGCATGAGACTAGTAGGCTTCCTGCTGCTAAAACCTACACAATTTTTAGTCCTCCATCAAACTGGAGTCATCAGGAATTTGTCACTCTCAAGTCAGTTCAGCTCAGTCTCCAATTCATTAATATTACCACTGATCATCTCATATTGGTTAATTTATATTTCAATTTTACATTCACAAATATTTGTTGATTAGTAGAACTATCCCAGAAACACATCTAGAAATGAGTTATCAATAGTGAAGAAGGTTAGACAGTTTATTTTCTTGTGAAGAAGAGATCCAAAAAAAAAAGTAATTATAACCCAGAGTTAAGTGCTATTATAGGATTAAGTCCAGGGGAGTTTGAAAGTAAATTTCTTTTAATCCATACTGGGTCTCATTTTCAGATTCTGCACGTGGGATAAAGCACAAAAGTAATGAGACAGCTGTATTGGGAGGAAATGTGACAATTTTCTGCAATTTGACATCTCCAGAAGAGATTATACAAATTACTTGGCAGAAGATCCAAAACTCATTACCATACAATATTGGCACATACAGCAGTAAATATGGAGAAAGGATTCTTCCACCATATATAAATCGACTGCACTGCAAGTCCATCGAACCCAATTCCTCATTCATAACTATCCGTGAAGTGACATTTGAGGATGAAGCCTGCTACAAGTGTCTGTTTAACGTGTTCCCACGTGGCAGCCATGGAGGACAAATCTGCCTTAACATTTTTAGTATGTAAATGTTTTGTGTAGATTCAAAATCATGGAAATGTAACTTTTAAGGTTTAAGTCCAGAATAAGAATGTTAGAGAAGGAAAGATCCAGGCAAATTCTTACTATGCAAAAGAAAAAAAAAAGCAATTATGGTTACACGACTTGCCCATTTTCAGAAAGTGCTGGACCAGCCATAGTACTTAGGTCTTCTGTGCTCTCATCTAACTTTTTTGCACTGCACTGCACTGGTTTTGTCCGGTGCATAAAATACATGAATGGCATCTAGTTTTTCCCTATAAAAGATAGGAAAAGAAAAAGAGAGCAGACGTGAACAAGAACACTTTAACAAAACTAGAATTTCTCAGTCTTCAAATTCACAAAGTGTTTAAGGACTAGTGATAGAGTCACAGTGTTGCCCATTGTGTTGCTATAAATGTAAAGTATTGTGGATGTATCCAGTGCAATTTTAAGACTGAATGAAAGTGGAGATATCAATTGTTCCTCTCAGTCTGGAGGATAGATGGTATAGGCGATGGAATTGTTGAGTAAAATACAAGGAGAGGTAATGTGAGGACATATTTTCAGTAATTTAGCTTCACACTGAAAGATTGGGAAGTCCCTATTTAATACAGTAGAAAAGTGAGTGTGACATATTTTTATATTTAATTTTCTTCTTCTTCATTTCTTTTTTTTTTTTTTTGCCTAGCTGAACCTGAATTAAAAACTGAACTCCAAACCAACCTTGACTCTGCAGGTTTTGTTAGGTTTATTTACTCAGCAGTGGGTAAACCTGCTCCTCAGATATCTCTTTTCCCTGCACAACTCCTGGTGAATCTGTCAGAGGAATACCATGCTCAGAACCCAAACGGCATAGTGACTGTCATGAAAAAGTATAACATCTCCGTGGAGATAGTCAAGTCCCTGAGTCTCCCGTACCTGATTGTGAAAATGGTTCATCCTGTGAAGCACGAGGAGAAGATTGTCACTCTGCCATTGCAAGAAGAACGTAAGTACAGTGGTAATCAACAAGGGAAATATTTACATATAAAATTCACAACCAGGGCCTCCCTGATGGTGCAAGAGGTTAAGCACCGCACTATGAAGCAATCCACAGCCTCTGCAGCATGAGTTCGATCCCTGGCCAGGGAGAAAACCACATGGTGAGGCAGAATTCTCCTGTCTCACCCGCTGCTCCCCTCATCAGTGTATTTCAGTCAGCCTGCCTGTTCTGTTCCCTCCTCTGTCTCTGGTGATTTCTCTCACCCCCTGTATCTCTGGCCTGTACCCTGGCTTTTGTATGCATAAAGAAATAAATCTTAAAAAAAAAAAATTCACAACCAGAAGTGTAGTCCTCTAATTTTGAAAATGTAAGTCAATGGAAAACACCCACATGGTGGAAAGAATCAAACAATGAGACAAAGAAGTCCCCTGCCCCAGCCCTGCTTCTAGGGTAACTCTTCTTACATGGCTAATTTTCAGTTGATTTCCTGTATGTGCTTCCTACTGAATTTCTGCCACAGTTCATGAAAATTAGGCTCATTTATAACTCCTTCAATGTTTCCTCCTCCCAATAAATTTCTTTTCTTCCCACTAGAGTTGCTTTTCTGCTTCCCCCTGTAACTTTTAGCAGCCTGGTTAAGCCTGCTTTGTCCTCTCCTATCTTAGCTGCCTTTTCCTTCATTCACCTTCCTCCCAAGCTCTTCCAAACACATCTTCTGTTTCAAAACCATAGTTAAACAGGGTGTGGTTCCTATAGGATACATTTTTTTAAAAAAAAAAGATTTTTTTTTTTTTTTCAAAGATTTATTTATTTATTTATACAAGCACTGGGTACAGTCAGAAGCACGGGAGGGTGAGAGAATTCACCAGAGCCAGAGCGGGGAGCAGAGCTGAGGGGAGCAGCGGGCCGCAGGAGAGGTCTGCGCGCCATGTGGGACCCTCCTCCAGTGGCCGGGGAGCAGCCGGGGATCAAACTGGTGCCTCAGAGGCTGCGAGCAGCTTCGCAACCCAGCGCTCAACTGCTGCGCCACTGGGGAGGCCCCCCAAAAAAAGATTTATTTATTTATACAAGAACCGGGGCAGGCCAGATGTGCAGGAGTGTGAAAGGATTCACCAGAGATAGAGTGGGGAACAGAACAGGCAGACTGACAAAATACACTGCTGAGGGGAGCAGCAGGCCAGACAGGAGAGGTCTGCTGCACCATGTGGGTTGCTTCACAGACAGCGGGGATCAAACTGGCACTGCAGAGGCTACAGACAGCTTCACAGTGCTGTGCTCAACCACCTGCGCCACTGGGAAGGCCCTCTATACTTTTAAAAGTGAAAAAAATCATCCTACCTAGTCATTTTTATAAACTAGAGCATTTAGTCTCTATATTTAGTATCAATACAGATGTACTTAGGTTTTAATATCATTTTCAGTTATGTGATCTGTTTTATGTCCCTTTTTTGTCTTCCTGACTTCTTGTGAATTAATCATTTATTTTTATATCACCTCTCCCCAGTTAAACTATACTTTCATATTTCCTTCTTACATGGTTAACTTGGAGATTATAACCTATATCTTGACTTATCAGAGTTTAATATAATTTAGTACATTCACTTCTTCCTGGATAATGTAATAGCATTTATCAATTCTTATCTTTTGTGTTACTCCTCTTTTGTGCAATTTAATTCCTTATATATATTTAATACAAAGATACATTATTACTGTTGTCATTCTTGTTGTCTGTAGTAATATTCCTTTCTACTATGTATAATCTTTACTTTATTCTTTCTGCTGTTTTTCTTTGTCATGTTAAAAGTTTTGTTTTTTTTCTGCCTAAAGAATTCTTATTTTTTCTTTTTAAGAGCTTTTTTTTTTTCTCCTCAGTGCAGGCATACAGGTGGCCAATATTTTTTATTTCAGTTGCGAATTGTTTTGATTTTTGAACACCATGTTTGCAAGATTCATATTTCCAATTTCATAGGCTTAGTTCATCACTTCGACAGTGTTTTTCCACTGATTTCTTACCTTCATTACTTTTGCTGGAAAGATCTCTCAGTTTCACTGCTGCTCATTTGAAAGAAACGTGCCCTTTCCCTTCTCAGTTACATTTAAAATTTTCTCATTGTATTTGTTTTATAAGTTTTATTATTGTGTACCTTGGTGTCATTTTCTTTGTATGTATGCTGCTTCAGTTTTCCCAAAATTCTTGAGTCTGAGTTAAGTCCTTCATTATTTTCAAAAGATTCTTGCCTATCATTTCTTCAAATATTGCTTGTATTCTAAACTCTTACCTTTTTCTGGGACACAAATTACAAATGTGTATTTAATGTATGAAATAATTACATGATATATATTTTAAATTCTGTGTCTGAGAATTCTAATATCTGAATATTTAGTGGGTCACTTCCTATTGTCTATTATTTTAAAATCAGGTTTAAGTCAAAATGAATTTTTGGGTATAATTATCTTTGACTACATGCTATACCTTTGGTCATAGTTTTATAGAAATATAATTCACAGGAAATTCATCTATTTAAAATATATAATTCAATGATTTTTGTATATTGACAAGATTCATGCAGCCATCAGCAAATCATATGTAGAACATTTTTACTACCACAAAGAAACTCCAGACTCCTTAGTGAGAACTTTGAGTTTCAGCACACTGTGGTCCTAGCCTTAGGATCCCACTGATACTTTATGTCCCTATATATTTACCTATTCTGTCATTTCATGTAAATGAACTCATACAATAGGTGTCTTTTGTGATAGGTGCTTTTATATCCAGAAATCATTAAGTTTTGCTTCATTTAGCTAAAAACGGAGATGATCTGAAATAGACATTAGTCCTTAAAAAGTCAAGTGCATATCTGATTGAATCTAATCAAAATAGAGTTCCAGTGCTTCCCTGGTGGCGCAGGCGGTTGAGCGCTGCGCTGTGAAACTGTCCACAGCCTTTGCAGCACAGGTTTGATCCTGGCCAGCCAGGGAGAATCCCATGTGGCGAAGCCCTCTGTCCTGTCTTGCCCGCTGCTCCCCTCAGCAGTGTATTCTTTAGTCTGCCTGTTCTGTTCGCTTCTCTGTCTCTGGTAAATCCTCTCACCCTCCCAGGATCTGGCCTGTACCCCGGTTCTTGTATAAAATAGTAAAATAATAAATCTTTAAAAAAAAATAGAGTTCCAGTTTTAGCCTATAGTGGATACCAGAACATTTTGTCCTTGGCAAGTTTTTATCTCCAATTTTTATTACCCTAACCCTTTTTAATTGTTGAAATTCATATTCAGCTTCTCAGTATTTTAGCACATGCCCAACTTCTCAGCACTTTCACTGTAATTGTTCACATTTTTATTTGGGCAAAAGTATATGCAGATGCCTGGCTTACTTTTCTTGGCTTCCCATTTTTACTGGATCTTGGCCCTTGAATTCTTAATAAACTTGAAACTTTTTGTGCATTCAGAATTTTAACAATAATTTGTCTAATTTTTGTGTGTGTGTTCTCAGGAGGAGGATTGGTCTTAAACACCCTGAATCATTGCATTTTCAAGTCCATTAAATTTTTTTTCTTAATCCCATCTCTTGAACTTCCTTTACAAATGTTTTTAAACTATGGGCTACATATCTGACTTCTGGTAATTAAGGAAGACATGTACATGTTCTACTGAAATTACCTCTTCTATTAAAGCTTTAACCTTTTTAAGTCACATATTGCCATAAAACATAATGGGTTAAACAATATCATCCCTCTTTTCCTTCCTGCTAAATTCCCTGGTGATTTCCCCTGAAATCTTGTTTGATTTGCCCAAGTGATGTCTGTCAATCTTTCAGTGCATATTTAATACTGAAATTTGTGCTGTGTATGTGCAGGTTGACATCTGATATGGGACAGACACAAAGACCCCAGACTCATAATGCCTATATTGCATGCTTGGGGATGTAGAAATGGGTGATTTTTTAAATTATTTAATTATTTATTTTTTAAATGATTTATTTATTTATACAAGAACTGGGGTACAGGTGAGAGAATTCACCAGGGAAATCGGGGAGCAGAACAGGCAGACAGACCAAAGACACTGCTGAGGGGAGCAGGGGGCCAGGCAGGAGAGGTCTGCCATGCCATGTGGGTTTCTCCCTGGCCGGCCGGGAATCGAACCTGCGCTGCAGAGGCTGCGGACAGCTTCACAGCGCAGCGCTCAACCTGCTGCACCACTGGGGAGACCCAGGGGTGATTTTGACTGTGATGTTTATTCTGTGATTCTTTTGCCATCTGAGTCCTGAGCCTTTCCGGAGTCTACATCACTTTCTCTGAAGCCGTGGCCTCCTGTGTGCACACACATACTTGCAGCCTCTTTCATCCTGCTCCTTCATAAGCATTCTTCTGTCCACTTTATGTCTTTCACAACTTTCTTTTAAGTTTCTTGCTAATTTTGAAGGCCACGCTTCCATTTGCTTGTTTTTCACTTAGGCATTTTCTTTTTGTAATTTAATTTAAAGGAGTTTCAGGAAGTAAAGGTAATTTTTTTGTGTGTGTCTTGAAACTAATGTTAATAAGTTGATATTTCCTGTATCTTTCCATAAATCATGGATGAGAATATGTCAAACGAGTGTCATATCTATTTCCCATCAACGTATTGACTAGATTACTCTGGTTAACTTGGCTTCTCACTGAGATAGTCTATAAAGAAGTAACATCAATTAGTGGGTTCATCCCTGTTTAGCTTTGTAGTAAATATCAGGGATATAAATCCCTGATTCTGCTGAAAACATAAGGAGTTTCCCTCTCCTACCCCATTGACCCCTGGACTGTGTTCATAATTTAGTGTTAAATTCCTCTTATTATGCCTCCTCCACCTGTGTTAAATGAGTTATGAACGTCTCATTGAAAAAAGACCATAATTAAAACCAGGAACTGAGACAAAGTGCTGTACATTCTAAAATATGTGGCACAAACTTCACCTAAAATGCAGACTTTCCTAATCTACCCAAAGGACACAAATACATTAATTCAAAAGGATACCTGTTTATCGCAGCCTATTTGCAATAGGTAAGATATGAAAACAACCCAAATGCCAAAAAATAGATGACTGGATCAAGAAGATATATACACAATGGAACACTATTCAGCAATCAAAAAAAGATAAACTATCCTATTTGCAGCAACATGGATGGAGCTGGAAGGGATCATGCTCAGTGAAATAAGCCAGAAGGAAAAAGAAAAATATTGGATGGTTTCACTTACAGGAGGAATGTAGGGGAACCAAATGAGGGACTGCCGACGACCAGCCTCGGCAAAATGTCGTGAGAAGACACTGACACTTGATGAAGTACAAGTATCTTCTACTGAGGGACTCAGCAGGTCTTTATTCATTTTTTGCAAGCAGTGAGATGACATCATCATATGCATAGAAGCAAAGCAGAAACAATCAGTGCTTTCTTTTCCCATAGACTACTGGCTCCTACGGGTCTCAGCAAGATGGTAGCCTTCAAGGTTAATAGATAAAAAAACTAAACCTCACACTAAAACTCATTATTTTAGTTTAGACAATTACCTAAGACAGTTGATAGTGGTTAGTACACTCTATCAGCTAAAGCCTAAGCATCAAAAGATTCTTCTTATTTGCATGGCCTTCAGCTGAAGACCGGCTGTTTTCTGGTTATCAGCTAACAGGGTTTTCTACCTACAAACTTCTTAACACAGTTAATTTCATTTAAAAACTTTCCCAAGAAACTTCTAAAAAAAAGCAAAAGAAGGACTTACTATAATTGTTGTGCTGGATTGCTTGTCAGGCATGTACAATAAATTGCCTCCCATTGTCAAGTGGGCCAAGTTGTTTAATAACTAATTTTTAAACAGATAATTTTCCATACCATTTACTTACAGTATGCCGGTACATATAATTTATTGCCCAATGTATTTTCTGAGAGGTTTTTCTCTTTTTGTGACCATGATCAAGAACAAAAAACAAAGGGATGTATACAGGTTATAGATTAATCTTTAGCCCCACAGTGTGAGGCACAAGGAATCTTCAGCTCCACGGTGTGAGGCCCTTTTTCTTCAGCCCCACAGTGTGAGGCCCTTTTTCTTTTCTTTTTTTTTAGATTTATTTATTTATTAATACAAGCACCGGGTACAGTCAGAAGCGTGGGAGGGTGAGAGAATTCACCAGAGCCAGAGCGGGGAGCAGAGCAGGGAGGCTGAGGTACACTGCTGATGGGAGCAGCGGGCGGCAGGAGAGGTCTGTGAGCCATGTGGGACCCTCCTGCGGTGCTCCGGGGAGGAGCCGGGGATCGAACTGGTGCTGCAGAGGCTGCAGGCAGCTTTGCAACGCAGCGATCAACTGCTGCGCCACCGGGGAGGCCCAGTGAGGCCCTTTTTCTTAGCTGCTTGCCAGTGTCTTATCTGGCTGGGGCAGCAAGACCCCTCACAAGGGACCAGGAAAAAATTATAATAAATTAAAAAACAAAATTAACAGGCAACCATTAATCAGAGACACTCTGCAGGGGAGGGGAAGGGAGAGGGACCAAATCAGGGGAGGGAATGTGTTCTTACACAAGGGACTATGGTGATGTGCAGAGGTGAACTGGTGGTGGGAATTTTGTGGGGACTACACTTGAGAGGAGAAAGCATGCATTGTACAAAAAGGAAGAATGATGTAAAAAATATATATAATCAAATTAAAATTTTTAAAAATGCAGACATTCCTAATAGTATCTCAGGGAAGAAGTAATTGCTAACAAGAATTTCTCTTTTCCTTCAGTGGTAATTAAAAAATTCAAAGTAGCAAAGTAAAAAACGGTGAGAGGTGAAAGTGAACAAAGAAATAATATCAGTCTGACAATTACAAAGAGGACAAGAACACCTATCACGAGCAGACCTATGAATGTAAAATGTACAATAGTTCATGCCGCTTAATGTAAGCACAAATTTCTTTAAGGTTTATTTACAAAGAATAAAGATTCATTTTTATAGTATCTCTAAGAACTATCACTGATAATCAAATAGTGGCCTTTTGCTAAACTTCAGTTGTAATGAAAAATGCAAGTTATGTTCAGAAAGCTACAAACAAGTAAAATTTGTATTGTAACCTAGGAACTTTGTAGTCAAAATAACTGGTAAAAATGTTGATAATCAAAATTTACCATTTTCTTTTCATATGCATGCAGGCTCTGGAGTAAGAATTGTACTCATTTCACTGTTTTGCCACCTAATTAATCTCTGTTTATCATTGAAATTTTCTGAACATCTGAGTTTTCATTTATCAACTATACCTAATAATTATAGTGACCTAGGTGATGTAAATAATCCTTACAAAATGCTTATCACATTGTTTAGAACATTAATCTTATACACTGTATATGTTCAAGGAGTACTGGCTCACACCTCTTCGCATGTGTGTTACTGCACCATGCCCACCACAAAAGTGCCAGTAACCCTCCATCACATTTCACTGGACCCCTCTACCTTTCCTGTTCTCACCCCCACACCCTCTGGGAACCTGGTAACCTCAGTTCTGCAGTTAGAATCCAAAGGTGTGTTTTGGCTTGGTCTGTGCCTTTTCTTTTTAAAATATTAATCTTAAATACATATTATAATTAAAAATTAATTTCTGAGGTTATTACAGACCATTGGACATTTCAGTTTTGACTATATTTTGCCTAACATTACATTGTGATGAATATTTTGTGGTTGTATCCTTTTTCTTATTCTTGAGAGTGGTAAGATGATATTGATGAGCGTATTCTTCAATAAAATGGAATATGGCACTTAATCTTTTTTTTTAAAGATTTATTTATTTATACAAGAACTGGGGTACAGGCCAGATGCGTGGGAGGATGAGAGGATTCACCAGAGACAGAGCAGGGAGCAGATCAGGCAGATGGACTGAATAAACTGCTGAGGGGAGCAGCGGGCCCAACCAGAGATGTCTGCTGCGCCATGTGGGATTCTCGCTAGCCAGCCGGGTTCGAACCCGCGCTGCAGAGGCTGCGGACAGCTTCACAGTGTGGTGCCCAACTGCCTGCACCACCAGGGAGGTCCTGGCACATAATCTTATATCAATTTGAATGTCAACAACAATGAAAAATCAAAAGAGCACTGAGATTTATGGAACAGTGTCTAGAAATGAAGTATAGTTATAAATGGTATTCTTCTGGTTTGTCTTTTTCAGATCCTCCTGATTCTCCTATTATTTGGGCAATTACTTTTGTTGTTGTACTCATAGTTGCTCTATTGCTTGCTATTTTTCTTTTTTGGAGATGCAAAAAGAAAAAGAAAATGTAAGTGAAATTATTGCCTGTCTGTGATAGAGCTCAGGTGTGTAAAATGGGAGTGGTTTCAAATCTGAAAAGAAAAATCCAAGTGCTTTGGCAATATTAATCATGGAGAGCGAGTCATCGTGGGAAACTGTCCATATCCTTGGTCACTCCTGCAGTCAGGATTTGTCCTAATTAAAATGATACCCTACATAGTATTGTCATGGAATACACTGTTAGTAATAATTCATCTTCATGGTAAATTGAGTTTAGGATTCTTTCTTAAGGACAGATTTTGTTAGGAGAGAGCTTATGAACTTCAGATTATTCGAGAGGGTTGAAAAAGTCTAAGATTGGAAATTTAAGGTAAATTTTTCTGACATACCATAGTAAGATGAAAGTGATCGTATTTTAAAAGACTCAAAAAGTAAAATTTGTACTCATTAATCAAGTACTTCTTTAGTGCCTATATATGGCTATGCGTTGTTCTCATAGACGTGACTACAACAAATAATTCTTTCCCTTCAGAAGCTTATGTCCTAACCTGGAGAGAGAAACAATAGAAAAATACAAGGAAACAAAATAATAGTGGTAGTTATAAGCCTATTTCAGAAAGTTAGCAGAGTGATATAATGAAAGAGACTAATGGACTAATTCAGGTTGAGTGATAGCTCTGAGGAGGTGACATTTAAATTGAAGAAGGAGTAAGAAAAAAAGTTGTGAGGGAAGTTCTGGATGAAGAGTGTGAGACAAAAAAGGAGGGTTCATGTAGGTATCAAGGCAGAAATGAGGTTGGGTGTTCCAAGAAAAGAAAGAGATCATTTGGCTAAAATGATTTAAAAACACAGATGGGGATCAGAACAGGTAATGACCATAGGCTTGGAAAGGCTTTTGACTTTTCACTATCTACAATGTTAATTCCTGTAAGTATTTAAAACAACAGTACAAGAATTCAATTTACACTTTGAAAGGATTTCTCTGGCTGGAATGTGGACATGTGGTGTTTTAAAAGTCAAAGATGAAAGGGGAGTTTGAAAGAAGACTGTAGCAGTCAAGGTGGGGATAATGGTGGTGTGGACTAGGGTGGTAGCAATGGGGACTGAGTGGCTAAGGAGATGTTCAGGAGAACAAGATGTGTTGATGGATCAGATAGGGGGAAAATAGAGTGAACAGGAAGAATTATCCTGATGATACTAAACTTTTTCTTATAGATGAAGGGTCCTTTCATAAAAATGGGAAAGATTAGCAGAACAACAGACTTTGGAGAAGGATAAAGAGTTCTATTTTGAACATGTTAAGTTTGGAATGCACAGTTGATATCCAAGAGTATATGTTATTTATCTATATATGAGAATCTGGAATTTGCAAAGCAGATAAAGACCTGCAGCATACATATGAGAATATGGTGGATATGTTCTCCCAGAGGACAAACTATAAATGATAACTGACTTAGAGTAGAAATAACATGCAAGTTCTTTATTTGGAGTACTTTTGTGTTGAATTAAGCATTGGAAGATACTTTGATTAATCTCTCAAGAGAATTTGAATCTGAATCTCCCAATATTTTTATTCCCAGTACACTCTAACAATAATCTGCTCTTAGGGGGAATGTTTGGCTATAGTCATCTTATGGGTACATCGATATCGTTACAGGAGTAAAAATAAGGATGACCATAAGCCTGATGATACTGAACAAGACACACCCTTGCAAGGCATGACAGGGGCATCTAAATGAAAGACTTTGTTCTTGCACACAGGTAACTGTGGTGTGTAATTTTTGCTGCCATTTGTGTATAAGTCAAATGTATGATAACCTTCCATATCAAACCATATATTTAATAGTAACATCCATCATTTTTGAAACAACGTTTCATTTATATAATCCAGTTTCGTGAACTTGTGGTTTCAAGTGAAGGTATATTAATATTAATGTCTTTGAATGTTTCTCTTATCCTGTGATTCAGGACCCCTCCCACCATCACCATTTGAGTGGTTTTTTTTTTTTCTGATTTTAGTAAGTATGAGCATATCTTCACATACTTGTTAGCCATTCAGTTTTCCCCTTGTGTGAAGTTCTTGTCTACATCTTCATATGATTTTTGGTTGGTTGTCTATATTTGCAGAAATTCATAATACCCTAAACGGTGTACACTAGATGCTATTTCTATTTGGCATCACTTCATTAAATTTCTGTTATATCCTTGAAAGACAAATGCCTAATGCTTTAGTGTTGTTAAATCCATCAATTCCTCACCTAATAGTTTGAGCTTGGGATCTTATTTATAAGTTCTCGTCCACTTAAATTCACAAATTGCCCTCTTATAATTACTAGATTTATATTTTTCTACTACATATTTAGGTATTTAGAACTTCATACATAATGTAGGATTGATACATAATTTTCATCATATAAGGAGCCTGATTACCTAACATCTGCTACTATATATTATTTTTTCATTGATGAGATCAATTTTTCAACTCTCTCCAGTAGAAATGTTCCCAAAGATAAATTTTAGGTTTCTTCATAATTGCACAATTTTTATTACTAGGGTTGTTTTGTTATGTGTTGAAAGGTAGTAGGGAAAAATAATTTCTCTCTTTTATTTCTAATTTGAAATATCTATTCAGGGTTACAAATGCACGTACATCATGAAACCAGTATATTAAATTCTTTGAAAATACAGCAAGAATTTGGTTCACCCAATTTATAGATTAATATGGGAGTATTGATTTTGGGAGAATTTTCAGTATAATAATAATTTGTTAAGTGACTTCGATACTTTAAATTTGTTCACTATAATATAGAATGCTATCTTATTTTAAATAAATTTTAAATGAAATTTTCTTAGTTTTATTTATTTAAAAAAAATTTTTTTTTATAGAGGCATGTTTTATTTATTTGTTTGTTTGTTTGTTTGTTTGTTTGCTTATACATGCACTGGGTACAGTCAGAAGCGCAGGAGGGTGAGAGAATTCACCAGAGCTAGAGCAGGGAGCAGAGCAGGCAGAAGGACCGAAGTACACTGCTGAGGGGAGCAGTGGGCAGCAGGAGAGGTCTGTGCGCCATGCGGGACCCTCCTCCAATGGCCAGGGAGCAGCTGGGGATCGAACTGGCGCTGCAGAGGCTGCGGGCAGCTTCACAACCCAGCACTCAACTGCTGCACCACCGGGGAGGACCAAATTTTCTTATTTTTAATGAAAAAATAAGACATTTTAATGAAATGAAAATCTTTCTTTTAGAAATAAAAACATCATTTTTATTTAGTAGTTTAGGAACATTTCTGAATTTTGCAAGTTAACCTGGATTTCAAAACTTGGTTAAACCCTATTAATTCAGTTTTTCTAATGAGCTAATGGTTTTCCATATAATGATTATCTATCCTGTATAAGATGACAGTTTTGCTTTCCTTCCTGGTCTTTAGACCTCCTGTTGGTATTAACTAACAATAAAAACCAACCAATAATAAAAACCATCTTATTTCTAAATTTAAAGGTTTATCTTTAAATTTAAATTTCTCCGTGGAATAGAGGTATCACACGCCCAGACTTCAAACTATACTACAGAGCCATAATAATTAACAAAGTATGGTACTGGCCTCCCCAGTGGTGCAGCGGTTGAGCGCTGGGTTGTGAAGCTGCCCACAGCCTTTGCAGTGCCGGTTCGATCCCCGGCTGCTCCCAGCACCAGAGGAGGGTCCGACATGGCACGCAGACCTCTCCTGCAGCCCGCTGCTCCCCTCAGCAGTGTACCTCGGTCCTTCTGCCTGTTCTGCTCCCCGCTCTGGCTCTGGTGAATTCTCTCACCCTCCCCGCGCTTCTGACTGTACCCAGTGCATGTATAAACAAACAAACAAAATAAATAAATAAATAAAACATGCCTCTAAAAAAAAAAAATAAATAAGTATGGTACTAAAACAAAAACTAGACATAAAGACAAATGGAATTAAATAGAAAGCCCAGAAATAAAGCCACACATATATGGAAGACTAATCTTTGACAAAGGAACAAAGACTATGCACTGGAATAAGGACAGTTTGTTCAAGAAATGGTGCTGGGAACACTGACAACCACATACCAAATAATGAAACTAGACACTATCTCACACCATGCACAAAAATCAACTCAAAATGGATAAAGGAATTGGACATAAGACCTATAACTACCATGGGGATTAAATTGGTAATCAAAAACTTTTCAACAAAAAAATGCCAGGAATAGAAGGTTTCACTTGTGAATTTTACCAAACTTTTCACAAAATTATGGATAGCTTCTCAAACTCTTGCAAGAATATAAAGGGGAGGGAATATGCCTAAGTCATTTTATGAGTGCAGTATTACCTTGATATCAAAGCCAAAGATACCACAGGAAACAAAATAATGGGTTAACATGCCTAAATAATACAAATGCAAAAAATATCATCAACAAAATACCAGCAAACCAAATCTAACGTATCTAAAAGGATCATACAACATGACCAAGTAGGCTTTGTCCCTGGAATGCAAGAATGGTTCAACATCTGAAAAATTAATGTTACACAACACATTAACAGAATAAAGGCTAAAAATCACACCATTATCCAAATAGACGTAGAAAAAAATTGACAAAATTCAACACATTGTCAAAATAAATATTCCCAACAAACCAAGACTAAAAGGAAGTATCACAACATGATAAAGATCATATATGAAAAGTTGATAGTTATCAATACACTTAACAGTAAAAAACTGAAAGCTTTAAAGACCAAGGCAAGGATGCCTACTCTTGCCACTTCTTTTCAACATAACACTGAAATTTCTAGCCAAAGCAAATAGGCAAGAAAAGGAAAAGGCATCAAAATCAGAAGGAAGAATTGTCCTTTTGGCTGACATGATTTTATAGGTCAAAACCCCTAAAGATTCTGTAAAAAATTATTAGATCAATATAAACAAATTCAGTAAAGTTATAGAATACAAAATCAAGTTGTGCTTCTACACATTAACAATGAAATACCTGAAAAAGAAACCAGGGAAACAATTTTATTTATAATAATATTCCCCAAATTACTTAGGAATAAAATTAACTAAGGTGATGAAAGATTTGTATACTAAAACCCAAAACAAAGGAAGATACAAACAAATAGAACAACATCCATGTCCATTTATGGGATGATTTAATATTGTTAAATATTAATTTAAAAATTTTATGACCCATTTGTTCCTTTTAGAATTTTATACATTTTGTGGTGAAAAGTTGAAAGCATTTCCATTAAGAGCTGGAACAAGACAAGGATGTCCACTCTCACCACTGAGTTTTCAATATAATAATGGAAGTCCTAGCCAGAGCAATAAGACAAGAGAAAGACATACAAGGAATCCAAATAGGGAAGGAAGAAGTCAAACTATCACTATTCACAGATGATATGATAATATACATAGCGAACCCCAAAAACTCCACATAAAAACTAATCAAACTAATCAATCAGTAAAGTAGCAGGATACAAAATCAATGCAAAAATCGGTAGCCTTCCTATACACAAACAATAAATCTGAAGAAGAAGAAATCAAGAAAACCATCTTGCAGCAACCTGGATGGAGCTGGAAGGGAACATGCTCAGTGAAATAAGCCAGAAAGAAAAAGACAAATACCGAATGGTCTCACTCATAGCAGGAATTTAGAAAACCTAAATAAGGGACCAGGAAAAAGACTAATTATAATAAAGTAAAAATCAAAATCAACAAGCAACCATAAACCGGAGACACACTGCCCGGGGTAGGGGGAGGGTGGAGAGAAGGGAATAGGATCAAAACAAGGGTGGTGGGAATTTTTAGGTACCATAACAATGAAAATGAAAATGCATACATTGTGCAAAAATTAAAAATGATGTAAAAAATAGAGGGGAGGGATTGGGGTCAGAATGGGGGGTTGCAATTGTATGGGGAATATAAAAATAAAATTTATTATTTAAAAAAAAGATGTAAAAAATATATAAATAAACAAGCAAAAAAAAGTAGAACTGCAAAATTATATAGTTGTAGATTCCCTAAAAAAAAGAGGTTTATCCATTTTGTATAAGTTTTAAAATTATTATGATTGCTCATACTAGTGTTCTCATTTTTTCTATGTCAGTATTCTTATTATACTATATTTCTTTTTCTCTTAGACACTCTTGCTATAGGCTTGTTCAATTAATCTCTAAAAATGTCTTTTTATATTTATTCAATTTTGTTTATTTTTAATTGTTTTTGTCTTCAGTTTTATTTTATCTGCCCTACTTATCTTACTGAAACCACTGTTTGCTTCTTTGTTCAATATTGGTATCTGATAAATATAGTTAAGGGCCTCCTCGGTGGCTCAGGCGGTTGAGCGCCACACTGTGAAGCTGTCCGCAGCCTCTGCAGTGTGGGTTCGATGCCAGCGGGCCAGCAAAAAATCCCACATGGTGCAGCAGACCTCTCCCCTTAGCAGTGTATTTTGTCAGTCTGCCTGTTTTGTTCCCTGCTCTATCTCTGATGAATCCTCTCACCCTCCCGTGCATCCGGGCTGCACCCCAGTTCTTGTATAAATAAAATAAATCTTTAAAAAAAATATATATATAGTTAAGATGATTAAATTAGATCTGGGTGCTGCTTTAACTGTCCAAGAATTTTAAATATTTTTTCTTTTTTGCAAAGTGTTACTTAAGTTATATGAGTGCATTCCTTTTTTTCCCTCAAAGAATATTTAAACAATGTTTATGTTCCAGGAATATTTTCACATTTTGTTCACTATAATATTTGTGTTTTAAACCTGCTGTCATAATTACTCATAAGTGTCATAATTACTGATATGACATTTTTATTTCCTTTCATTATTAACTTTCATATTTCATATTAGTAATATTTTCTTTCTTCTTAAGTAAAATATATTTTAATTTTTTCTCTTTAGGTCATCTAACATTATTGTAAAAATTATTCTAATAATATTGTTATTAGTTTGTGCCATAGTTTATGCCTATTCTTCTAATACATTCCCCTAACTTACTTAAGGTATTACTTACGTTTATTTTTATGTTGATTTCTTAAATATAACACATTAACATAATTCTCACTTATCTCTCATGCTCTCATTTCCTAACCCTTGTCTTCCTTCCATGTAAGTTTCATTATTGAATTATTTTATTTAATGACAATTTTAGAGACCTCTCTTCTTCTAAGCAATTATGAACTTTGATGTTATTTATTCTTTCTGCATATTTTCCTGTGTAACCTTCTCCTGGATTAAATTTTAATTTTATGAAAATACCACTTTTGAAATTTTTTTCAAATTCGGTCATGACAACACATTTGCTGAGAATTACATGTTTGACAATATCTTAATTTTTTTCTATTCTCTTATAATCTAGGACAGAGTTTTTCAGTGGATTTAAAAAATTGAGGTCAAACATAATATCAAGGTTAAGCAAAATATCACCTACCAAATATTATCTATATATAGGAAAAAATAGGAAAGATTAAAAATAAAGCAATAGGAAAAGCTATATTTGGCAACAATAAAAAATTATCTAATGTAATAATACATATTCACAAAAATCATGTAGGAGAATGTTTGTAGAACACTACTAAAAATAACTCAAGCTGGAAAACAAACAAATAATCTAAAAGAGAGACTTATTTTAAGGATTGTTTGTTAAATATGCAATAATATCATACCCTAACATAAAATAATAGTGACATTATTGATCTTACTATGTAGCAGGAATTACCCTCAGAATCTGCATGTTCAACTAGCATCAGATTGAAAACATGAACTATAGGGCCTCCCTGGTGGTGCAAGGGGTTAAGCATCAGCATTATGAAGCTAGCAGCAGAAACTGCAGCACGAGTTCAATTCCCTGCCAGGGAGGTGACCCACATGGCACAGCAGACCTCTCCTGACTCCCCTGCTGCTCCCCTCAGCAGTGTACTTTGGTCAATCTGCCTGTTCTGTTCCCCACTCTGTCTCTGGTGAATCCTCTCATCCCCCAGACCTCTGGCCTCTACCCCAGCTCTTGTATGCATAAATAAATCTTTTTTTAAAAATTAAAAAAAAAAAAGAAAACATGAACTATATAGTTTAGTTTCAAATGGTTTTGTCTGTACTGAACATATACAGACTCCTCCTCCCCATCGTTAACCCCAAAACAAAATGATATAACAACTATTTATAAGACATTTACATTGCATTAGGTATTATAAAATCTAGAGATGATTTACAGTATTTGGGAGGATGTGCATAGGTGATATGCAAACTCTAAGTCATTTTAATAAAGAACTTAAGCATCCAGGGATTCTGGTCTACTGAGGGTCCTGGAGTCAATCCCCCTGGATAGTGAGGGACAACTGTACTTAATTGTTACAAGAGGTTATGAATTTGTTACATTTCCATTTGGCTCCTCTGCCTGAAACATGGAGTAATTCAACAACTTACCCAAGATCTCATAGCTGCTCAGCGAACATATAGATGGGCTCCAGTAGTGAATTTCTGTAGTGCCCCCTTAATCACGGTTTGCTTTTCAAGGTTCTGTTACCTGTGGTCAACTGCAGTCTGAAAATAACAGGTACAGTTAGATATTTTGAGAGCCAGAGAGTACATTTATTATAGTTAATTGTTATACTATTAGCTATTACTGTTAATCTATTACTGTGTCAAATTCATAAATTAAACTTTGTCAGGGGTATGTAAGTACTGGAAAACTTTTTGTTTTTAAAGATTTATTTATTTATACAAGAACCGGGGTACAGGCCAGATGGGGAGAGTGAGAGGATCCACCAGAGACAGAGCGGGGAACAGAACAGGAAGACTGACAAAATACACTGCTGAGGGGAGCAGCGGGCGAGACAGGAGAGGTCTGCTTTGCTTGTAGGTTGCTCCGCAGCCAGTAAGGATCTATCCTGCACTGCAGAGGCTGCGGACAGCTTCACAGCGCTGCCCTCAACCGCCTGCACCACCAGGGAGGCCCAGTACTGGACAACTTAAGGTATAAATAAGTTTTGATACCTCCATGGTTTCAGGCATCCAGTGGGGGGCGGGTCTTGAACAATATACTCCATGGCTAAGGTGGACTCCTGTGTAACCACCCATTGTCTTGGGTGCTGTTTTTGTGGGACACATAAAAAAGATTCCCTCTGACTAACTTTTTAACTCATTTTAATTTGTGACTCATTTTCCCACACATTCATTTTCATATGTAAAATAAATGTGAACATAAGTAATGGTGGTCCCCTAACACATAGATCATTTGTCTAACTGTAAAAGTAACAGGAAAATGTTGGGGGGAAATTATGTGTCAAAGTAAAAATTTCCAAATGTCTGTGGTATTTCAGTTTCATTTTTAAGGCCCTTTTAGCCTATGCCAAACAGGGGGACATGGATTCACCCCCATTTGAAAAACCGCCTCTGAAGGTGGTGGCAGGAAAACAGAAAAGGCTGTAGGAGGTGAACATTTCATTGATCTGGGTGTTTGTTTTGTTTTGCTTTTTTCATTTTTTTTTTTTTTTAAGATTCAAGAAATGTGGAACTTGTCAGACTAAGAATATTCATCATCCTTACAAGTGGAAGAAAATCCCCACAATAATAAGGAAAAGTCGGGTTATAAAAGAGGAGCATTACAGAAATCATTTCATTTTGTAGAAAATAAAACTTCTTTTGCCTTTAAAAAAAGTGTATATTGGTCAAATTCAACTTCAAAACGTTTTACATTTCATAGGTGACATGAATAGCATTTCTTAAAAATCATTTCTAACATGCCTGTTTGTAGTGCGGCTTGTCTGTCCACCAAATGCTGAGGCAGTGACGTAATCCACACGCCCCCTCCCTCCCCTTTCTACTATAAAAACGGAATAAAGAATATATTGTTTTTCTCAACACGTTTTCAGCTCGCCCACTGAACTTCTGAAAGATGCACAGGCTAGAATGAGTACAAGTAAACTGGAAATTCACTTTGCCTTCGTGCCTTTGCAGAGGGTGATGGGGAGCCCGAGGTGGGGAGCTTAAAAGGAGGGGCTGCAGGAGGCACTGGTGCCCGCTAGTGGGCCGTGTAGCGGGGTGGGGCTTCGCGGCGAGCAGAGGGCCCCGGTGGGGGAGCCCACCGTCGTCTTTTTACGCCTCGGCGCTCCACGGGAAACCAGGATGAATTCGCTCCAGACACTGGTGAGCCGGGACGCGCGCGCCAGGGTGAGGGCGCGGGGCGGGGGTCGCGCGGGGGGTCCCGGGGGGCGGCGGCTCCCCACAATGGACTCCGGAGCTTGGTCGTGGGGTTTCTCTGCCCTTTCGCTCTCAGAGTTTAAACCTCGCTGAGAAGCAGATGTTGCCTTCTGAGAAATGATTTGCGGGTGGTCAATCAAAAGCCCTAGAAAAAGGCTGTTGCTCGGCAGGTTGCTCGGTGGTCTTTGTTATTCGAGGGGAGAGCTGGGCAGGAGGCGCTTACAGCTACCAGGGTATTGGCTAAGTGTTGCCACAAAAGCTGGGGTGGGGTTGCAGAATTAAGGGTTCAGTTTCCGCGGTAGCTTCCTTCCTCCTTAATGCTGAGGGGGTCTCTCTATCTTCTGGGTTTTTGAGTTCAGAAGCCTTAAAGGATCAGTGAAACCCAAATTTCCAAAAGTGACACACGTTGTGTTTATTCAGGATCTGTTTACATGACTCCAAAGGAAGAGAAGGGCTTTTATTTATACTGATAGAACTAACCAGAAAAAATTAGCAATTAAAAAAAAATTAATATCGAATTGCATTAAGATAATTCGAGGTGTTTTTTTTTTTTTTAACAAGCAATTTATTGGCAAGATCTGTACACAGCCAGTTATTTCAGTATCTTGCCACGAGGTATTTTTTCCATACACAGTTTATGGGCAAGAGGACACAGCCAGTTATTTTAGTGTCTTGCATCGAGGTGTCTTTTTTCATAAACAACTTTATTGGTCACACCTCACAGCCAGTGATTTCAGTATCTTTCTTCGCAAAGGAGAGGGGCGGACTGCTATCCACTGTCCACTGCATTCCAGATGTTTATAATCTTCATTAGGATCCTTCAAAGCAGGACTTTACAAATAAGGAAATAATTTTTCCAAGTCCATGCACTAGATCAGGATTTGTTTTAAAAACATTGAGAGGGAAAGGTATATAGAGAGTAATGCCAGATGGGCAGCTGTCAGATAAGAGGGAAGACCTTTGGGACCCCCGTTTTGGCAAATGATTGAAGTGGAGCCTCCATTTCCATATTTACATTCCTTGTATATGATTAATGTTTTTATTTTTTGCTACCCCTTATTAGCATTTAGTATATCTTAGGCACTGCATGGAGTGCTTTCAATGCTTAATCCTCATAGTTACTCAAATAACAACACTTACTGAGTGCTAATTTTATCAGTCACTATTCTAGGAGACCTTTTAACAAACAGGCTGTACTCTTCTGTTTCCTGTATGTCAAGAAGTGTAGGATGATTTGATAAAGTTCACACATCCAGAATTTTTGATAGTTCAAACTCAAGGCAACCAGAAAAAGCATTAGCAAGGCTTCCTTTCTCTTACTGCTTCAATCACTGTGTATTTCTTTCGGAATTAAACATTGCTGGCTCCTAGTTCACATGTCGTTTGTTTTGGTGAGCCTCTGCTTCCTCTTTTGTCTGAACACAGAATTCTTACTGTGAGAGCCAGTCCATGCTGCATTCCTCATCATAGTCTTTGCTGGAGTCTGGGTTTCCATGTGAGAGAGAGGCATTATGATTTTTTAGAAAATGGTGTGGAATTAAATTGCCAGGGAAGACATTAGTTTCAAAAGCCAACGTTTTGAGATAGTAAGAGCCTAAGTTTTTGAGTTTTAAATGTCTAAAGCTGCAACACCAAGGTCTTAATATTTATTAAAAAAAAAAAAAAGAGTTGAGGGCCTCCTTGGTAGTGCATGGGTTAAAGACAGCACTATCAAGCTATTGCTGCCACTGCAGCAATTGTTCATCCCTGGCCAGCCAGGGAATAACCCAAGGTCTGCAACAGACCTCTCCTGTCTTGCCCACTGCTCACCTCAGCCATGTATTTCAGCCAGTCTGCCTGTTTTGTCCTACTCTGTCTCTGGTGAGTCCTCTCACCCCCAACCCGCACCAGAAATCTGGCCTGCACCCCAGTTCTTGTATGCATAAATAAATAAATCTTTCAAACAAATTAAATAAATGAAAAGAGATGATGGGAAGAATACAGAGTGGTGGGAGAACGAACTTTTCTGACCTTATGTGAAATAAGCATTTTTTAAGCTGGGAGGTGGAAGAGGGACTGACCAATACCTTTGTTCAGACCCCAGTGTCCTGTTCAAGAGGATAGTAAATAGGACTTAAAGGTGGGTGTTAAAATTCAAGATCAGAAAGCACCTGTTTCTGGGGGGAAACTGTGGGAAGTGGCAAGCCTACCCATCATGGCTAGGAAGAAGAAAAACAGAGAGAGACACATACATGGCAGTGAGGTAGAGGGCCTTAGAGAATTTACCTTTGCTCAGCATAGGGAGAGTCCAGGAACATGGAACTGGGAGAGTGGAGAGAACATGGGAGAATGAGAGAGAGACAACATCGTAAGTGCATTTTAGTGGCACATACCAAGTACAGAGATAACCATATTCAAAGAGGAATACAGTTATCTTAGGAAATGCCAATGTGGACAAATGATTGTAAGTGAAGATCTGTAGTCCTATAACCTGGCATCAAAGCCCCAGAATTTAGATGTGATGCTAAAAGATTGAGGCAGTCATGAAGCTTTGGTGATGGGGGTTATTTCACAGATTATGTGGAATTGACTTAAATCTGTACCTCTACTTGGAATGGCTACATCAAATCAAAATGAAGTTCAGTTAAATAAAAATAGAGGGGAAACCTATACGTCTTAAATACCTGTTACAGAAAAATAGAGAAAAATAGGGAAAAGTTACATATCTTGCCTATACCCCTTAGAATGAACACAGACAGGTAGAACAGGGGGAGGGATCCTGGGGTTACTGTGAAAAGTTCATCTGTCTATATTTCTTTGTGTACCTGTAAGGCCTGGTGAGGGCCCCAGGCCGCAGGCACAAGGAGGCGCAGAGAGGAATTCCACCTTTGCCTCAGCTCCTGGAACCAGAGGCCTCTACCCCACACAAACAGGACCTGAGGGTAACGATCAACCAGAAGTTACCAAAAAAAACTTTAGTTCGCATACCCAGTTTCCTGCCTAACCTTTCCTCACCCTATAAAAGGACATCTCCCCCCACAACTGGCACGACTTCTCTGACCCCTATGTGGGTCAGTGAACCTTGCCTGTAGGTGCAATAAAGTTCCTGCCTGTCAGAAACTTGGCCTGGCTCTCCTCTTTACCGTGGTAATCCTTTTACTACCCTCTCATTTTACAATGATTCCCAGAATTCCATTCCTTTAAACACCACTGTGATTTGTAAAAAGGGCAAGGAAATTTTGTGCAGGCACTTGAAAATAAAGTAATGAAAGAAAAAAAAAAGCAATAAAGCCATTACTGGTGTTTGAAAGGTACAATTTATGTAAAATTTGCAGAATTTGCTGGAAAATCTGCCTACAAAAGTCAAGGTAGTCACATTCCTGAAGTGGTTACTTCTGAGTTCCACTTTAAATATGATCAGAAGTGGATTATTTTACAAGTGAGTGCTCTGAACATTTGTGGTCTCTGTTCTCTGTGTATATTCCTGGCAGTTTGTTTTTTCCAGAAATCCATTGTCTTGGAGACTTTGTTTTTGACTATGGTGGCTTTGGGAGGAAGGCTTCAAATTGCTAAAGATTGCTCTATTGAAGGAGCCATGTGGTTGCTGTTCCCTCTCATATCCCCAGCACAGTCTGTTATTTCTTCCATTTATAGCCTCTGGGTCTGTTTCCCCAAACCAAACTCCTGCAGTTAAAATGTTAGTTGCAAGACTCCTAGAAATAGTGATCAGACTGCAGCTTCCATGGCTTTGTCCACACCCAGACCCCCATTGTTGTACTTTCTGTCCTCAGGTGCTCAGAAGGCCTTTCTTTCCTTTGCCTATCTACACACTGATTTGGATGTTGGCAGTGATGAGGCTGTGCAAGACACAAGGTAAAGATACATGATACCCCTGCTAGAACTCAACAAACACAATTTCTGGAGTGGAGATGTTTGACCACTGTTTATGCTGTGCTTGTTCATTTGTCTGCATGGATTATTAAACATGTAATTTGCTTGAAGGGAGTGGGAGTGGTTCTTTCTGCTTTCCACATTTTGTCTTGAGTGTGGAAGCATATTTGGCTATTTAGAAACTGTTTCCATGGATAAAACCAGACATGAAAAATGTTTTTTCTAAATTAAGATGTTGTTTTTCACATTTGGATCAAATAACTTTTAAAAATAGTAATTTCTTAGTTTTTTTTGGCTATGGGAACACTTGAAGGAGTATGAGAAATACAACTGTTTGGGAGGTGATCTGAGAGTAAGCCTTAGCAATGAGTGTGGCTGTCTTTTACAGCATGCATATAGCTATCTACTTACTACCTACCTACCTACTACCTACCTATCTATCATATCATCTATCTATAAAATAATGAAATCACATGTTACCTGATTTCACATGTTCTATTACATGAAATAAGTCTCTGTATGTACCTCCCAAATTCTTAGTTGTGCAGACCTTCTGCTCTGTCCATGGAAAGCCACCCCTCACTTTCCCGTTGCCTTTCATCACCTTCCCAGGGTGCTATGCGGTGAAGGAAGGGCAGACTTCGCACCATCTACAACACAGGATTTACTGACTGACTGAAAGATCTAAATAAAATTCCATATAAGCAGCAAAGTCGTATAAACTTTCTACCAAATCATTTCTTCCATAGTTCAAGAGAAAAAATACCCAAGAAGTCAAAATTTTAGTTTTTTCTCCCTTTTAGTCTCCATCCTAAAAGCAGCAATTTTTTTCAAATCTTTCTTCTTAATATTTCAACAAACATTAGGAAATACAATCCAAACAGCACGTACTGTTTCTGGAAATTTCACAACTATCAAGAGCACACCTCATTCAACCTACACTTATGCACCACTCTGAGGTTTCAATGTGTACTTGTTACCAGGCCCATTATTTCATTTTTATTGTTCTTGGGGGTGTGTGAGAGGATATTTAAGGAAATACAATCCAAACAGCACATACTGTTCCTGGAAATTTCACAACTACCAAGAGTACACACCTCATTCAACCTGCACTTATGCACCACTCTGAGGTTTCAATGTGTACTTGTTACCAGGCCCATTATTTCATTTCTAATGTTCTTGGGGTTGTTGAGAGGATATTTTTGCTTTTTGTGTTACATTCTTTTTTTCTCTGAATACATTAATCAATATTTTTTTAAAAACCCAGAATTTTGTATTTGATTAACTCAACATTTCGTGTACCATTTTATTAATGTGTGCTTTTATTTTTATTAATTCACTCCCATTGTGGATTTTTTTTTCCTAATGAGAAGTTAGGATTGACTGTTTCCCTCTGAGAACTGCTTTATCAATTTCCATAGATATTAATATGTTGCATTCTAGTTGTCATTTATAGAATTATATAATTCTTATATAATATTTGGTATAATTAAAGAGTGAAAAGAAATATGTACATTTCTTTTTTTTTTTTTACATTGTGATCAATGTTCCAGGTATGAGTAGCAAATTTTCTTTTATCCTCATTCAAGTTCAATTTTAGGAATGTTTCACATGTGTTTGAAAAGATTTGTCCTTTTTGGGTAAAAGTTTATAAACACACACTTACATATACATTTATATAAATTATATCTTTAATTTATAAATATTTATCAAATCTTTTATATTTGACTTACCTCATGTATTTTTTCAATGTATGGAATTGAAAATTCTGAGAGAATTATTGAAACCTCTCCCATTATGATTGTGGGTTCATGCATTTTTCTTTGTAGCTTTTTATATATATCAGAGTTATGTTGTTAGGTGAATGTATGTGCATGATTAACAGATCTTATTTTAGATTGCTCCTTTTATCATTTAAAAAAATAATTTTTGTCCCTGGTGGATTTTTGTCTTCATTTTTATCCCTTTTCTTTCCTTTCAAAAGTCTTTCTGGACTGATGATTGAACCGTCACAGATTTTTGAATTTTAAAAAATTATTTATTTATGTAATATTTTATTAAGGCAACACTGGCTTCAAACACTGTATATGATTAAGATATAGAGAATCCCACCTCTTTAGGTGTGTGATAATACACCATACCCACCCCCCACCCCCACCAAGTCAATTGGACCAGTGCTCCCTTTCTACTCCTCTTCTCTTCTCCCCTCTGGTAGCCTGCTTTACAGTTAGATTTCTAGGGATTTTGGTTTGGTGCTTTCTGACTCTGTTTCTTTATATTCCACATATGGGTGAAACCATTTCAAATTTGTATTTCTCCTGATTTATTTTGCTTCCCAGAATGCAAATGTTGTCACAAATGCCAAGTGTTCATCTTTTCTTATAGCTGAGTAGTATTTCATTGGGTATATGTACCACATCTTCTTAGTCCATTCATCTGTTCTTGGGCACATAGGTTGCTTCTCTAACTTGGCTGTTGTAAATTGTGCTGCAAAGAACATAGGCATGTATATATCCCTTCAAATCAGTGCTTTTGCATTATTAAGGTAAATACCAAGGAGTGGAAATGCTGAATCCTAGGGAAGATCTATTTTTAATATTTTGAGAAACCACCATATTGTTTTCCATAGGAGCTGAATCAGTCTATATTCTCACCAACAGTGTACAACAGTTCATTTTGAGAACACTTTTCCAGAGTACACATACATGAACAACAGGTACATGAAAACATGCTCATCATCACTTGTCATTAGAGAAATGCCAATCAAAATCACAATGAGATACCAATATGAGTACCCAACATTGGAAATGGAAAAAATTATTACCATGCCTTATATTCTGAACTATACTTCTTTACCTATTTCCCCTGTATTCACCACTGCTTCCTCGAGACAAACAAAATTGTCACTGCTCCTGTCTTTGTAGAATATTGTGTGAACCATATAAGACTACTACATTTCCTCATTAAGCTAATCTGTTGGCCTATTGATCTTTGGCCCTTCCCTGCCCCTGGCATCTATCTTTCTGGGCATAAAAAACACTTCATTGCTTCTAACTTATTTGGCACTTTCTATCTTCAACCTTATTCCACCTACTTTTTAGCTTAAAGAAATTATTTACATAATTTCTGGTCACTGAGAATTGGCTTTCTTGTTTTTGTATTCTGCTACTTTGAAAGATTCAACAAATATTTGAATTTATATTTCTCTAGCAACATCAGGAATGTAGATAAATGTTGTTTTCTTCTTTAAGTTTTTCTCTAACTTTTCTACATTTGACTTTGAATATGTATTTTTTTAATCAGAAAAATACTTATTTGTGTATGCACTAAAGTTTTAAAATATAAATATTCTTTTGTGATTCCATGCTTAAAGTGTTCACTGAAAATAAAAGAGAGCTGTTGAACACACCTGCTTCCTTAAGATGCTCTCTGAAAACTTCTAAGGAAGTGTTGATTGTGACATGGCAGAAAGTCAAGGCTGGAAGCCCAGAAAACATGGTTACCTTCAGCGATAAACATGGGGTTGTAGTCCAACCTCCTTACCAGGACAAGATAAACATCACCCAGCTGGAACTCAAAAACTCAACCATTACCTTCTGGAATACCACCCTGGAGGATGAGGGATGTTACAAGTGCCTCTTCAATACCTTTGGTGCTGGGACGATCTCGGGAGAAACCTGCCTTACCCTCTCTGGTGAGAGTCTCTGAAATACATTGCCTCTGGCTAGAAATGTCATTTTCAAGAGAGCTTGCGACATGATGGTAGTGTAGTTTTTCATGATCCCAACCCAAGAAGGGATCATGAGAAAATATTTAGTCTTTCATGTTTACTCTAGCTAAGTGGTTATGATTATTTGGAGACATCGGAGAGTTGCATTGAGTCTCCGCTAGAGTGAACTTTGCTCTGAGGAAGCCTATTGTAAGCAATTGAAGACCATGGGAAGGGCTAATTCTCCATAAGCAATGACATGATTCAGACCTTGTTTTCATTAGCAAACCTGTGACCCCAGAAGAGTCCTGACCACTGTCTTCAAAGAATTTGTTTGAAAAATGAATGTGAAACAGATCATCTTTATGGCCTCTAAACGCTTTAACTTTGGGGGGATTTAAGGACAGAGCCAGATTGGGTAACCTGGAACCAGTTGGGATAGTTCCTCTCATTTTGCATCAGTGCAGTTCCCCAGGATTGACCAGGAAGCATGTAGCCGAGGCTCATCCTACTTGATGTTTATTAGTGATGTAACTGGAGAGTAAGCATTCTTTCAAAATTAAAAAGGGTTGGTTTGACAAGATTAATTTTCTCAACTGACACATGGCTGAGATCAACAGTTGAGAAATAGAAATAAGGAGTAATTTTGGAACGTGGTTTTAGGTAGAGAAGGCTAACTTAGACAGGGTTGTTAGGAAAAAGTGAGAACTTGAGTATGCCAAGAATAGTAGAGGAGACTCAGTAGATAAGAATGTTAGGGAGTTATGATAACCACAAATACAAGCTTTTTTCACTTATGTTGCCTTTAATGAGTCTATTCTACAGGGTATTCCACAGGCTCTCTTCATGCCAGGGCACCACTTCAGTCTAGTCCTCCCTTTCTCTTTGCTTTTTGCCTCTTCTTTCCTCCACTTCTACCTACTCCCCTCCCTTCTGTGTACTAATCTCATTTTATTGTTTTCCTTCTTGTCATATTTTTTCACTTCTGTCTCGTTTTCTCTTCTGTCTTTTTTTTTCTCTCTCATCTTTCTCTCTCTTCCTATTTCCCCCTCCATTGTTTATAATATTTTGCATTATTTTTCACCTGAAAACAACACACCTTGAGTCTTCCAACTAGTAATACTATTGCAGTTTTCCATACTGACCCTTTCTAGTCACACCATACAGCTTTCATCTAAGTCATTTTCGATACTCCTGAGGACCTTGCCACCTATCCTGGCCATATCAACCAAACTTCTCTTCCTTTTATCTTTCTTCACCCAGTGCTCATGGGCATCAGTAATCTAGACACTGTTTGGATAGTCATCGTTTAAAGCCCTCTATCCTCCAACCCACTACCATCATATCTTGAAACTCTAAGGAAAGACCAGGCTTTCATTTAGCACTGCCCTCTAATTATCTTGTGGATTCTAAAACCAGCCACAGAAAGGCAAGTCTGCATTTGCACAGCAGAGATAAGGTCATATTATAACGGAAAGTGAACTCATTAGTCATAGGACTTTTAAAAACCTCAAAATATTGTCTTTTTCCCATAAGCTAGTTATTTTTTCTTAACTCCATAAGGTGATCGCCAAGATCCCTCTAACTGTTCTTATGTGATTTTCTGGTAATGATTATGGGTTCCATTTTGTGTAGATTCCAAAAAGGGATTTTCTACCCATCTCATTCACTGGTGCCAATCCAAGAAGAAAGAGGCTCTCTCTTTACAGCAGCCCCTAGATTGGCTCTTAGCTCTGGTTTGAGGTGCTGATTGTGGAGGTATCATAAAGCTCTTTAGAGGAATATTCAGAGGAAAGCAAAAATGTGGCATTGCCTATGGAAATGGAGGCCTTTTGGGAGAGAAGATTACCTCTGTCCATTCAGCTAATGGGTTCTTTCTTGTCTCAGGTTGTAGTAGTTCAATTTCCATCCTACAGTATAGTAAATTAGACACTGCAAGAATTAGATGCAGGAGAAGGTCCTAGTTGGAATTGGAATGCCACCTTAATTTTCTGGCCCCCACAGCCTTTCTCTAAGTTTCTTTCTCTTAACTCTCTGAAGAAAGTGTGGGACTCAGGTCAGGTGCTGAACTGATGGCAGACCACCTTTGCTTTTTGTCCCAGTACAGCCCACAGTATCCCTTCACTATAAATTCTTTCAAGACCACCTAAATATCACTTGCTCTGCCAATGCCCGCCCAGCTCCCGTGATCTCCTGGAAGGTCTCAGGGTCAGGGATGGAGAACAGTACTGAGATTCTCTCACATCCCAATGGGACCACGTCTGTCACCAGCATCCTCTATGTCAAAGATCCCAAGAGTCAAGTGGGGAAAGAGGTGACCTGTCAGGTGCTGCACCTGGGGACTGAGACCAACTTTACGCAAACCGTGAACAAAGGTAAGAGAAGGTGGGCAATGACGGCTGTGTGCACATACCTGGACATTGTTGAATGCCCTGCATAAACAGTTAGCCTCTTAGCAAAGGTGCTAGTTGGGGCAAGAATGGAGTAGATAGGGAACAAAAGGAAGCAAGTAAAGCCAATTTTACTTTAGTTTGGTGTATACTACTTGCATACCAAGTACTGTTGCTGACAGCCACTCATTCATTAATCGTCCACATTTATTGTCTGTTGTGTGCCAGGTTTTGTGTCACTGAAATTTGACAGTAAGCAAGACTCAGTCCCTGCACTCAGAGAGCTTCTACTCTACTATGAATATAGAGAAGGGAGTGGGCATTCTCACACTGCGTGTCAAATGCTTTGATGAAAAAGCTCTGGTGCACCATGGGAGGACTGAGGGTGGGAGGAGCTTGATCTGGAAGGACTAGGAAGATTTCCCAGAAGTGGCATCTGTGATGAAACCTTTGCATAATCCACACTGTGCAAAAGGTGCCATAGACTTTTTAGGCAAGGGGCTGATCGGTGCTGTTTTTCTCATCCTTTTAAAAACATGCTGTCTCTTGTATCACTTGTATCACTCTTGTATACAAGGAGTGAGCATCAAAAAAAAAAAAAAGAAGAAAAGTGAGCATCATGGGTGAGAGAACAAAGGGGGCAGCCTGGGAGACAGAACATGTTCATGATAACAGCTATAGCTTTCCCCCCTCTATGTAGTAGTGAAGTAGTTTCTCTGGATGAGTAATAAGCCTCCCAAAGTGATATTGCTGCTTTCGTCAGAAGGGACACCTTGAACAATAAAACCTGGATAACTTTTCCCAGTTATGTGTGATTATGAGACGAACTCTCCTGTAGTCATTTCTGGGGTCCTTGAAAAAACAGGCTAATCAAAAAGTCAGCATTGAGATACATTTGGTCAAAAGGTTTGTGGTATTATATTTGGACATTTGTGAAGAAATGCTTGATTCAGCCAGAGCACAAGGTAAATTTCCCTAAAATACAAGAACATGAAAAGGAGTGTTTTCTCTTCTAAAAAAATACCAAAATGGACTTGAATTTCCTGTGTTTATATGTCATTTGCATTATTGTTCATTCTGTGAACAGTTATGAAAAAGCTTTGATGTTTAAAGCACTATATCAAGCATTACAATTATTGAGATTGGACAGATGCAGGTCTAAAGGTGCTTAGCTATATTATGATGTGACAGATTCCATTATGGCATACAGAGAAGATGTTGGGGATTCCCAGATCAGGGATCTCTTCCTCTGCCTATTGCAAAGTGACACCAAGGAGCTTATACTCAGGCTGATTTGCATTTATTGCCTATTGAAAAGAGAGTTAATAACAAAGGCATATATCTGAAGAAATACAATGAAAACATAGAGATGAGTTATTTTGGGGGGGAGGTTTGAATCATGGTATTTGAGATTTATGTTTTTTCCTTTATACTTCTATGTATTTTCCAAAAATTGACTCTTGAACAACTTTGGGGTTAGGATGACTGACCACCTCCCTCCAAAAGTTGAAAATCTGAGTCTAACTTTTAACACTCCCAACACTTAACTGCTTGTAGCCTACTATTGGCCAGTGGCCTTAACCAATAACATAAAGTTGATTAATACGTATTTTTTTATGTTTTATGTGCTATATTCTGTTATGACAGTAAAGTAAGCTACAGAAGAGAAATTGTTATTGAGAATATCATAAGGAAAAGAAAAAAAATTTACAGTTCTGTATTTATCAATACTGTAAGTTTACAAGAAAATTCATAACCAAGTGGATCCACACAGCTCAAATCTGAGTTGTTCAGGGTCAACTCTACTTTAATAGACAAGGAATATAGCATCGGAGGCAAACAAACCTTTGGCCAAATCTCGGTTCTATTACTTAGTACTTTGATTTGTACTTCCTTGTCTGAGTGTCAAGGTTAGATGATAATTAATTAGTTAGATGATAATAATAGTACCTAACCTGGGCTATTTTTACTTAAGACATTCCGATTTTATTTCACAGTAACCACATAAACCATTAGTGATTATTATTTGATTATTATCTCAGTGTTATTTATAATATGAAGTCACAAATATAGACCTCCATATGTATGTTGATGTGTGTATCGTCATGATTTTTTGCTCTGTGACTTTGTGTTTCCTTTTCTCTTTGATATCTATAGGCTTCTGGTTTTCAGTTCCATTATTGTTAAGTATTGTTTCCTTGCTAATTCTTCTGGTCTTAATCTCAATCTTATTATACTGGAAACGTCATCGGCACCAGGACCGAGGTGAGTTGTCACAGGAAGTACAAAGAAGGAAACAAATGATTGATCAATGGCAATCTGGGGATCATCTGAAGATAAAAATAAGGGGATGGCAACAAAGTGTTTTGTTTGCTGTTTCCAAAATGCATAAATGTTGATGCTTTTTTAGAGCACTTCCATGCCATCTTCTTGCAATTGGATATTAAGCTGGACTTTCATGTTTTTCATTTGCTGAGGGCATTTAAGAGCTAATTATTTTCATAATAGAGTAAAAAATGATAGGAAATATGGGAATACTTATCTGATCATTAGGAATTCATCTAATGGCAAAACCAGAGAATGAAAACTCAGAATCAAGTCTTTGCTCTTTCTATGCTATAGTGAGGACAAACTCTTCTCTTTCACAGCATTCTACAGGCCAGCTGCCCAATTTAAGAGACTGTGCAATTTAAGAGATTATCCAATATGGTCACTAATAAAGTAGTACTTTCATATTATGCTCTAACTATGTCTCAAACACTGTGCAACATATACACGATCCATACTTAGAGCAGCTGTGTCACTCATTCTGCTCTTACAGATTCCACCTTTTTCTCTAGCCCCTCCATCTACTAGTGTCTTATGTATACCAGATTCTTTTTTTTTTTTAAGATTTATTTATTTATTTATAAAAACACGGGGTACAGTCAGAAGTGCGGGAGGGTGAGAAAATTCACCAGAGCCAGATCAGGGAACAGAACAGGCAGACTGACGAACTACACAGCTGAGGATAGCAGCGGGTGCTGCAGGAGAGGTCTGTTGCACCATGTGGGACCCTTGTCGGCGGCCGGGGATCGAACCGGTGCTGTAGAGGCTGCGGGCAGCTTCGCAGCCCAGCGCTCAACCGCTGCGTCACCAGGGGAGGCCCTGTATACCAGATTCTTAATAAATTTTCATTGAAAGAGTGGATGGATGGATGGATGGACAGATGGATTGATGAATAGATGGATGGATAGATGGAAGGATAAACTTTCAAAGTGATTTTCTTCAATTCCCATTTTCAGTACCTCATAAATACCGGGTCTAAAATATTGTGAGTTCTAAAACAACGGAAGTCAGGCATGTGAGAGAGAACTAAATTCCTTTGATTTCTGAAAATAGTACATAATTTAGTAAAGTTTTGCAAAGCTGCAGTTAATGTTGTGTGTAATGGGAATTTCCTAGGGTGAAGAGATGATGTGGGAATTTTCTCCATCTCTGATGATTGAAAGATAAAGAAGAAAAAATTTTGGCTTTGAGTGTTATTTTGGATTCCTACTAAAAATCTCACACAAATGTTACCTTTTCTCCTTTTTATTTTATGGCTTTTAGACTAATATCTTTTATGTTCCAGACTTTGAGAAACTTAATTTTGCAAAACTTTCATGGAACTACCAGATTAATTTTTCTGATTTTATAACAAAAGCAACAATTCTTCAGTGTCCACAACCCATTTGCAAAGGTAGATATAGGTATTTGTTTTGTATGGGAGAGATTACTTATCCAACACTGCATTTTTCCAGTTAGGCACTGATGCCCAGAGAGAAGTTGACTTACTTCCTTCAGGTCACACAGCTAGTTAAATGCAGACCTGGGACTGGAACTCTAGTTTCCTGACCTGCTCAATATTTTTCCAGTGATGATGTCCCTGGAATCCTGACTTGAAAGTTGTTATTATCAGTTACATTTATTTTAGTTTGTGCTTTCTTTTACCGCTGTGTTCATTTTGGAAAGCACAAGCAGAAATATTTGAAGTGTTCAAATTCATTTTAAAAAATCCCTTTTGGAAAAGAACCATATAATAAATGTATTCAAGCCTAAGGTGAATTCCACTAGGAAGGGGCATTTGTAAAATAATTGTTCTTTGTTCATTAAATGACTTTAACATTTTCTGGGAAATATAACTTTCAGTGCCTTATCTAGTTCCTGAAGCAAATAAAACAAACTGTCTTTGTAATCAGACTTTTTCTCATTTATGAAATAAACACACTAACCTACATTGAATCTTGCAAGTGCTAGGAGTGCCATTCTTGACCCTTGTCTTCATGACATATGATTAATTCCATTAATTACATATAATGTTCAGTGGCATACATTGAGTGGATGGATTTTTTGACTGTTTTTGAAAATTTTAAAATCCAGATCATTCACTCCCCTCTACTTATAGTAAAACCAAATGTCAATGATGCTGATGACTTAAATGCTCAGGGCTGAGAAAATACAGGTTAGTTAAAACTACAACCTAAGTTATACCAAAAGTTGGCAGAAAGGGGAGAAAATCATAGTAGATACTAACTTTTTTTAAATTTCTTCGAGTATCATTTTTTGCTTGTCAATTTGTGATGCAAGTGAAGAGTCCTATACATGTGCTTTTCATCTTTCCTTACCCCTACTTTTCTTTTCTTTCCATCAATTCCTGAACACAAAACTTTTGGACAGGCAGGAAACATGATCTGTCAAAAATGACACGAAGAGGACCTCCCTGGTGGCACAGGTGGTTGAGCACCACACTGTGAAGCTGTCCACAGCCTCTGCAGCATGGGTTTGATCCTGGCCAGCCGGCAAGGGTCCCACATGGTACGGCAGACCTCTCCTGTTGCGCCCGCTGCTCCCCTCAGCAGCGTATTTCGTTAGTCTGCCTGTCCTGTTCCCCATTGTGTCTCTGGTGAATCCTCTCACCCTCCCACACATCTGGCCTGTACCCTGGTTCTTGTATAAAAATAAATAAATCTTTAAAAAAAAAATGACACCAAGATTCTGGGCCTGGTGACATGAAAGATGGTGATGCGAACAGAAATATGGGAGTGGAGATCAGGGAATGAGTGTGTGCGTTGGGGTATAGAATAGAGTTTGTGGAGAGACAAAAAGGAGAGATGAATTCATTCTTGAGCTTATTGAGTGTGAACAGACAAAGAATCAGCTCCATGGAGCTGCCCAGTAGTAAGAAAAATCTGGTAAATAAAGAAGATCTGTTAGGTAAGTTTCATCTCTTTGTTAGATAAATGAGAAAAGATAAGTTTATTTTAAATCAGCCTCACTTCTTCATTGCTCAAAAAAGCAAATTTATAGTTTTGGACAGAGGAATAATCTATATGACTAAAGTTATTTTTACATAAGCCAGAAAGAAAAAGAAAAATACAGGATGTTTTCACTCTTAGGAGGAATGTAGAGGATCCAAATAAGGGAGCAGGGAAAAAAAAAGTAGTTATGATAGTGTAAATATCAAAATCAACAGGCAACGATAAATCAGAGACATTCTACAAGGGTGTAGAAGGGAGCAGGATCAAAATGGGCGGGGGAGGGGACGAGCACAAGGGACTATGGTGATGGTACAAGGGTGAATTGGTGGTGGGAATTTCACAGGGACTGTAACTGAGATGAGAAAGCAGATATTGCACAAAAATGAAGAATGTTGTAAAAATTATATAAAATAAAGTTATTTTTACGAAGAAGTTAGACTCCCTGTACTTCTCTTATGAGTCTGTGTAATGCCAACGAATATGAGGTTGGGTTTTTAGCTATTTTGCTGCATTCGGGAGGTATGATGAATTCACAGCAATTTTTCTTTGCCACATTCCTAATGGAATCATCACAGTTACTTCCCATGAGACCACCACAATGAGAGTAGCTTAATAGGTTTTCAAAGAATATAGAGTTTTTTTTCATGTACCAGTGCTTTATTACTTAAATAGAAAGTAAGGAAAATATTAAAATTTCCTAGGGAAAATTTCCACCATTCTAAATTAGTTCTTTCTTAATACCAAGTTGATGTCATAAACTTGTCCCTTCCTTGTAGTCAATAATCAACTTAAATTTGGGTAGAGAGTTATCATTTACTTTTATTATCATTAACCAACCACCAGTGATCACATGCTTCTCAGAAACAAAAAACTCACTTTACGGCACCTGATCATAGATAATCACATATTTTTTAGAAAACTTTATTTTCTGAGTGGTTTCTTCAGTTTGATAGAGTTGAGGCTGAGTGGGGAAAAAATAGAAAGCTTAGACAAGCTCCTGCAAGAAAACTTGAATTTCAAGTATCTAGCTATTTCAGACAGAAGTACCTTTTTACCCCACTCACATTATCTTAATTACCTTAATTTCTTTCCCTTTGCAGTAACAACCTATGAATAAACTTTATTTATTTATTTTTTTACAGTAACAGTGGCAATATTAGTAAAATACCATGTCTTGGACAGGATCTTATCACTCTCCCCTATCTTAAGCTAGATACCTTGTCAAGCAAAGATTTGGGGTAATGAACTTGGTCCATTATTTAGAAGCATATAAAAAAATGTTTCCAAAAAAATTGGTCTTTTCATGGCTGATTGTATTTATGCTTTTGAGATGAGGGCCGGATGGGTGGTAACCCTTCCCTTTACCACAGTTTCCTCACAGAGCCAAGCAGAAAAAATGCTATGCTTTATATGAGAAAAATGAGTTTCTTAAATGTCTGTCAGAATTACAACTAAATCTTACCCTTGAATGGGTATAAATGCCCCCCATCATAATGAAATGTCATGACAATCTCATCACAAAGTCATTAGCTAACAGAGCCTCAAGGCTGAGCATTCTTGCCTGAGCTATTTTCTTCCTAACTCCCCAGTCCATGTGGGCTCAGTTGGCACAATTTTGAGTTTCGGTCTATGGAGGGAGAGCAGCTCTAGGAGTGAAGGTACCTCAGTCTCCTGCCAACCCACTGAATACCAGCTCAGTTCGCAAACAGTGGGCTGATTCCCCTGGCTTTGAACAATGGAGCTCTTTTTTTTATTTTTTTTTTTTTTAATATTAAATTTTATTTTTATATTCCCCATACAATTGCAAACGCCCCATTCTGACCCCAATCCTTCCCCACCCACCCCCCACCCCTAATGGAGCTCTTTTAAATGAGATCAGACATCAGTGTTGTGGTCATTATTAGACTAATCAGTGAGATACTGGAAGGAGAATAAAACCCTCTAGCTGAGCCACCTTCTATCATCCCTGTTCCTTTTGCATTTTAACTCTGATGTGGACTTTAACTGGTGTCCCTTACCTGTTGTGTTGTTTGGAATCCTTAGTACTTCAAAAGCACAGCTGTACCCAAACTGATGACCTTATCTCTGAAAAGATCCAAGTTCTTAGGCCCCACTAACCATCAGGAGCTTGGTTTGTGGGCTTTAAACTGAAAAAAAAAAAAAAAAAGAAAAAATCACGTGGCTTAACTAAGGAGAAAACATAAATGCTGCAATAATTTTCTATTCCTTAATTTTCAAGTTTTCACAAACATAGAGACTTAAAGCAACATAAATTTTTTATTCTATAGTTCTGGATTTTATTTTATTTTTTTAAAGATTTATTTATTTATTTTATACAAGCACTGGGTATAATCAGAAGCGCGGGAGGGTGAGAGAATTCACCAGAGCCAGAGTGGGGAGCAGAGCAGGCAGAAGGACCAAAGTACACTGCTGGGGGGAGCAGCGGGCAGCAGGAGAGGTCTGCGCGCCACGTGGGACCCTCCTCCGGTGGCCGGGGAGCAGCCAGGGATTGAACCGGCGCTGCAGAGGCTGCAGGCAGCTTCGCAACCCAGCGCTCAACCGCTGCGCCACCGGGGAGGCCCTAGTTCTGGATTTTAGAAGTCTGGCATGAGTGTTACTGGCTAAAATCAAGCAGGAAGCAGGACTTCATGAGAAGTTCTTGAAGTCCCAGGGCAGACTCCTTTCCCTTTCCCTTTCCGGCTTCTAGAGCCTGCTCACACTTGTCATTTCTATTTTCAAAATCAACAATGGTCAATTGACATTTTTCTTACATTAAGTCACTCTGATTCTCGTCCTTCCCTCTTTCCCTTAAATGGACCCATGGACTGACTACATTGGGCTCATATGGATCATCTAGGAAAATCCCTCCATCTCAAAATCTTGAATCAATTCACATCATTGTCATGTGCCGGCTTGTAATAGCATTGTTTTGTGATGCTTGCCACTCTGAGGGAGACTACCAGCTATGAGGCAGAGACAGCAAGTCAATCAAATAATGAGTATACACTAATAACCCATGAGAAAGTATAAGTAGATGATGAATACCAATCAATGAGAGAAAATAACTTGGGAGGTGACTACTTATTCGTATTTTGCTAGGGAAGACTTTTCTGATGTGATGATGTTTCATCAGAGACCTGAGTAGATAGAATGAACCAGCCATGGAGGAGAGGAAAGAGGAGTAATACTTAGCAAAAATGTGTATAAATGTGAAAATTCTAAGGCAGAAAGTCCACTGGTAATTTAGGAGGAGTGTTCCTCAAAGTGCTGTTCTAGATTGGTTGCTCAACCAAGAATTGTCATTACAAGTCTGTAGCAAAATCAGTTCAGAATTGACAATAAATGCTTAGCTGCTACTATAGCATTTCAACAGAATAATTTAAGCTGTAGTCATGGTCTCTCCATATCAAAGAACATCAGAATGTGGGCTGGCCTTTATTTGCAGAATTCACTAACTTCTGTGATGGATATATTCCTACTGTGGACATGTCAAGTTACCAAAATTTAACCATCATGCAAGTCAATAAGGCTCCAGCAGACCCATACATTTCCAATAAATGTAGCTGTTGCTTTTTCCAACTGTAAAGTGTCTTTGTCTTTATCACTGTGTATTTTCATGAACTGCACCAGTGCTAGGGGAGAAGGTTAATGTTATTAAGAGATAGATGGATAGAAAGATATGGGAATTGTAGTGGTAAGGCAGCTTTGAGGAAGATTTCAGAAGCTATCTAAATGTGTTTAGACTGATGGGCAGGAGATAAGCAGTAGAAGTCATATCAAATAGCAACTTTAGGAAAAGTCTGAGGTGGAGATAAGCTGAATGGGATTTCTGTCTTCCCATTGGGAAGACAGGAAATATATTTATAGAAAACCTGTGAATATGAAAATAAACTTGCCTAAAATTGATTTCCTGATATTTGTAAATACATTTCCTTTTTTTAAAAAAGAAAAACATTTTTTGTTTGTTTGCTTTTAAGTGAGAAGTCACTTCTCAAAGTTAGCCAAGTCAAGGAGCAGATTGAGGTCAGTAGTTATTGTAATGATATTTGTTGTAATGATATTTGCAAATAGGTTTCCAAGAAAACTGCACTAATTTCATGACTGTTGAATTTAATAATTGAAAAATAGATTGCATTTTCTATGTATGTTATCTTATTTCCTCATTGTAGTCATTCATTTTTATTGTATATTATAAAAGTATTGATTCACCTTGGAGAGGTCTTATCACACCTGATTTTGAAAATGTTGGCAAGATTAAAACAAAACTTTGCTTGTTCTGGCAAATAATTATATGAAGTACAGAGAGAGTGAGAAGTGGTGCCAAACTGAAAATGAAATCTCAGTTATTTTATTTGACAATCTACGTGCCTCATTTATGTGCTAGAGCCAATAGCCCTGAAAAGAACCTCCATATATCTCCTTTGTGACCATTCTCTACTTTGTGTTCAGTAGCTTAGTAGCCACAGGAGACAAAGTTCCAGGTCTTATAAATAAAATACATTTAGATCATTTGGAGTTCTTTGACCTGTTTCCTTGCTTTTAGTCTTAAGTGATTCTGCAAACAATTATTTCCTGGAATTACCTAGGTTCTTTTATTTATTTTTTTAAAGATTTATTTATTTATGCATACAAGACCTAGGGTGTAAGCCAGAGGTGCGGGAAGTGAGAGAATTCACCAGAGAGAGTGGGGAACAGAACAGGCAGATCTACTGAAATACACTGCAGAAGGGAGCAGCAAAGGGAGACAGGAGAGGTCTGTTGTGCCATGTGGGTTGCTCCTTGGACAGCCAGGGATAGAACTTGTAATGTGGTGGCTGGCAATAGCCCCTTTAACCTCTGCACCATCAGGGAGGTCCCTACCTAGGTCCTTTTAAAGAGAATCATAATTCCCTCATATCACAGTGGATCAGGAATGTTTACTTATCTATCTTTGATGAAATATACACAAGGATAATTTGATGTCTCTTGATCCTCCTGTTATATCTCTTCTTAAAATCTATTAGGGTAGGAATCATACATATTCAAAACTAATATCTTGTTTTTTCTTTTATCCAGAATTGTAGGGGAGTCAAATAGAACCCTGAAACTTATTCTCTGGTCTACTAAATATGACTCAGAAAGAAAACGGGAGGAAAAGTACTGTTCTCCAAGAAATCAAATGAGCAAAAAAAGGTGGGCGTTAAAGGCATGTGCATTTGAAGACTTTTCACTGCCATCTAAGCTACACTGTGCTGTGTGAGTTCCAAGAGGAAATGCTTTGACCTCTCAGGTTTTTGCAGATTTTGTGGAGTAATGCAGAGTTGAGCTATTGAAAGGACGCTGGACTTAGAATCAGGAGCCACAGCGGAGGGGTTGTCTTGACACTGACTGGTAGCAACCCTCTGTTAGTCAAGGAATCTCAAGAAGCTTCCATATCTGTGTTTAGAAAATAAAGGCTTTGGATCAGATAATTGGTTATTGAGCTCTAAAAATGGATGTGATACGGAAGAGAAGCAGAGAGAAAAGAAGTGAACAAGAGAGAGAAGAGAGAAAGATTAAAGACCAAAGAGCCTTTGTGAAACTGTTAGGGGGAAAGGATGTCCTGAGCTAATTCAATACAGGCTTTGTGGACTCCACCCCCACTCCTGACCAAAGGGATCGGGACATTGGGAAAGACAAATCCCAGCTCGGGTGAGGACCCACAGCCAGGCAACCCATTTTGTATCAGGCTGTCCTGTAACAAAACTACACTACCTTTGCTTGCTCTTGATGTTATGTCTCTTCTTCCCTTATTGTTCTTAGGCCCGTAAGTCTGTTTCCTTGTAGAATCTCCAACCCTCCTTGTTATTGGGGCTATTGTCCAGCACTTGTTTTCTATTCACTACTTAGCTCTCTGGTTTCTTTTCACTGGAACTCTTCACATTCTTCTGCGAGGTTTACCATGATAAGGGACTGAATTTATAATCAATTAACATTGGCAGCCTTAACTTAAATATTTTTACAGCAGAATAAAAATTGTTAGTCTTATCAGCTCACATTTTTGACAAAGCATGCATTTTTTGTCCATCTCTCATAATCTAGCTCTATTTCAGTCATTCTGAATTTAGTCTAGTATGATGAAAATATATCGTGAAGACAGACATTTAGGAGGTCTCTTGAATAGCAGTGAGCCAATTCCTATGTTTTGTCTTTCTTGACTTCTTTTCCCAGGACTTAACTTCTGACAATAGCAGAGGGAGCATGTGTGAATATACAAATCCTTTTGTTTTAGGGGAACAATTTTGAATTATCGAATAATCATAAGAGCAAATTAGTGACTTTTCTGGTATCTTTTCTTTTTCTTTTTTTTTTAAAGATTGATTTATTTTTGCATACAAGAACTGGGGTACAGGCCAGAGGCTTGGGAGGGTGAGAGGATTCACCAGAGACAGAGTGGGGAACAGAACAGGCAGATTGACTGAAACACACTGCTGAGGGGAGTAGCAGGTGAGGCAGGAGAGGTCTGCTGCACCATGTGGGCTGCTCCCTGGCCAGGGACGGAACTCGTGCTGCAGAGGCTGTGGATAGCTTCATAGGTTGTGTCTTAACACCTTGCGCCACCAGGGAAGTGCCTATCTTTGCTTTGTTGTCTTTGTCAGTGACCTAGGAACTAAAAGTTTTGTTCTGTTTTTTTTTTTTTTTTTTTTACTGTTGCATTGGATATTTATATATTTAGAAAGCTTTTAATATGGTATTTAATTCTTTATAATTTCTTATATTTGTATTAAAATACTGAATAATTAAAAACATCAATTCAAAATATTTGGCTTATGATGCTCTCTTGAGAAATGTGCAAATTAATGGTAATTCCTGCATTTTTCCTGTGTGTATGAAATCCTCTCTTACCTCTTATTTCTTATCCACTAAAAGATGCCAATGACATTTATTGCAGTCACAAATCAGAATTTCCTTCTTTGGACAGTGGGAACTCCTGCAAGTTGGTGCCTGTGTCCTTTTAACATGACCTGGTCAATTCTGGAGCATTTCCCTCTATGTATTTCTGATTTTGCTAATAGAAAACAAGCTCACAGAGTTTTGAATTTAGTAGTAGTTACCAGCATGCTTCTATATTGGTCTCATTCCTGAATTTCACCAGAATAGGTGCCAGATCAGGCAGGATAACTTAAAGCAGCACATTTAGGTCTCAGGCTTTTGTATGCTTGAAAACGTTATTGAGGGCCCTCAAAGAGCTTTCAGAGAAAGTAAACTATATCTGTTGATGTTTTTCATATTTGAAATTTAAACTCACACATCTTAAAGACAAAGATACAAGCATGCACACATTTAGTCATCAGAATAATGCCAACATCATATATCATGCAGCTTCTGGAAAACTTCACAGCACTGTTGTAAGAGAACAAAAGTGAAAAGGCAAATAATATATCGGCATTAATTATGGCAATAGTTTGACTTTGTGAACCCCTGAAATTGTTTAAGGGACAGTGGTGGAAACTGCTCTCTTGAAGTATAAGCAAACAAGGAGAAGATTTGATGAGTTGCTCTCAAAGAACACCTTACTAAACAGCCATCTTCCCAGTGCTGAGGTATTCTACCTCACCACCATAACTTTTGTTAGATCATTACCTTTCTGGGAGTTCCTCCGAAAATCAGAGCATCTTAAGACTAATCTTTCATTACTAATAATTCAGTTTAAATTGACTTATTCAATGGCGTGTCAGTTACTTTGCAGGATATTGAGAGACTTGGACTTAAAATAAGTTGGCTTTTATGGAAAAGACTTAGGAGGGTAAAAGAGAAATGAAAACAAGAGGGCACAGGAGCATTTCAGAGCATGTGGCTTTGCCTGAGAAAGCTGGTCCCTGGAGAGCACTTCTCTTTCCCTACAAACTCTTGCCCTCTTAACCCTGAGAGGGCCTCAACAACTTCCCCTACATTCATCCTGAACCTTTCGATGAGAGGTACTTCTTGGGAATTTGTGAATTGGAAAGGGCTTGGCTTTGCATATTTGAATAAGATAGAAAGTTCCCAACATTTGAGTCAATCTGAGTAACTCAATCAGTAACTCAATCATAAACATTTAGAAAAATTCCAGGCTGGTGGTAAACCTTCATGGAGATACAGGAAAACAAAAGAAGCCTTTAGGTGCTTAAATAAAACTAAAACTGAAGATAAAGATGGGGGAAGTAGCCAGAAGATAAAAAATTCATTATTAACAGATTAGATGACATTTCATAAGTCAATGTTTGAAGAGTATAAAATCCATATTGTAACTAGGGATCAATCACTTTGGATAAAATAGTGTTGTTTTCTTTTTTAAAGATTTATTTTTATTTATTTATACAAGCACTGGGTACAGTCAGAAGCGTGGGAGGGTGAGAGAATTCACCAGAGCCAGAGCGGGGAACAGAACAGGCAGAGTGACGAAGTACACTGCTGAGGGGAGCAGCGGGCGGCAGGAGAGGTCTGCGCGCCTTGTGGGATCCTCCTCCGGTGGCCGGGGAGCAGCCGGGGATCGAATCAGCACTGCAGAGGCCGTGGGCAGCTTCGCAACCCAGCGCTCAACCGCTGCGCCACCAGGGAGGCCCTGGATAAAATAGATTTATGAACCAGCTTTCTTCTGTGATTCATCTTGGCTCAGCAAGAAAGAGATTTAGTTTTTTAAAAAATGAACCTTCCTAAATTAGTTCTTCTCAACTGTAATGTTTTGTTTTTAATGTTTGCTTTCAAGATATTCCAGATTTGAGCTCATTCTCTCTGCCACAGCTGCCCAGGCTAATTAACCTGCACAAGGCCACACAGCCCAACTTTGTAGATATGAAAAATGAGGCCCCAAGTTTTTCAGTCTCTTTCATTTGTGAATACTGGAAATGTGAAGCACAGTTGAAATTCCAACTCCCAATTCCAGGTTCCTCGCCCAGAAATCTCTCTGTCCTTCTACTCCTACTGGGATTCATGTGCTATGTGCTGTTTGTTAATATTATCACTCTATCAACATATTTAGAATCCAACTCCTACCTCCAACTCCCTACTACCTGTCTCAAACCATCCTTATTCCCCCCCCCTCAGATTGTTGCCATCACCTTCTAATTAATCTCTGCTTCTGTTTTCTCCCTCTTTTAATCTACTCTCATTACTGTTTCAAAATGTAAGTCAAGACAAATCATTCTTCTGCAAAAAATTTCTAAGTGTGTCCCTTGGTATTCAGAGTAGAAGCCAAAGTCTTCACATAGGTTATGAGATGAAGTAATTGGCCTTTCTTTACTCACTGAAATAATCTCTGACTCTCTTCCTGCAGATCAGGAGGGTATTTCACTAACATGCAGACATGCTTCCACCACAGGGACTGGCTGGCTGTCACTCTTTTCTCTGTCTGAAGTGTTTTTCTTGCATCTAGATAGCCACATAGCCTAGAAGTCCTTTCCCCTGACAAATTCTATCACCTCCATTGCACTCATCCCTTTCTAGCAAGCTATATGCTTTACTTACTTATTTTTTTTTATATTATCTGCTTCCTTTCATTAGATTGTAAGCTTCATGAAGGTAGAGATTTTTATCTGTTTGCTTGCTTGCCTGTTTTTCCATATCACCCTGGTATAAGCTGTCAGTAAATATTTCACAAATGAATTGATTTTATACTCATGCACTATAGGAGAGGAGAATAGTCCAAACATCTTGTCATTGAAACACCTTTTCTAACCCATAAGAGAGTGTGATTGAACTAGGGAGTGGAAAAAGGACTTTTAAGACTTGGTCATCATGTGGCACAGAGATGGCCATGGTAGATTTAGAGCCCAAAAAAGGGTTTTAAGTTCCATCCCTGGCATTTAAAGACATGGTGACTTGGGACAGTCACTTGATCTCTTTGAATTAACATTCTCTCCATTACAAATTGGGTGTGTACCAGCTATGTCTTACTGAGTAACTATAAGATTCAAGTAAGAAGGGATGATTCTCCAAATCTGTGCAAGTTTATGTGCTGAGGCATGTCTGCCCTGTGACTTTAAAACTTCCACTAAACAGCAAGGCCTCATGTTCTCAGTTTCTTTCCACTTCCTTCTAAACCTTACTGACATTCTTACTTTTGTCCAGAAGTGCCTGTGGAGCTGACCAGGAGGTAAGAGTGCTGCCCTTTGGCTGAACAACAGAAAACCAACTGGGCTTTGCTTCAACAGAATCAGAGACCCACAGTGCATCTTCAGGATGATTTGACTTTTTCTTGTGCTGATGATAAGATAAAACAAATGAAACTTAAATTTAAAGTCTATATAGCATTGACTAAGTACAGTTTTGCCATTTTAGTCTAGAGTATTAACAACCAGAACCTGACATCATGGATGGCAGAGAAGCCTCCAGAATACTTCCCAAGGATGCCAAAATTGAGATTCCCGAATTCTCTACTTAGAGTTTTGCTTTACTAGATCTAATAATAGGTCATGATAGAAATACCTTGCCAAAACTTGAAAAGTTCCAGAGCACTCAAGAGGTACTTTGATATTTTTAAAGTAAGTCATAAGACTTAGATGCTGGAATACTCACCAGAAAGAGCAGCAACTTAAAAAGGGCAGACCTTTCCTATCTTGCCCACTGCCCCCCTCAGCAGTGCATTTCGTCAATCTGCCTGTTCTGTTCCCCACTCTGTCTCTGGTAAATCCTCTCACCCTCCCGCGCCTCTGGCCTGTATCCCCGATCTTGTATAAAAATAATTTTTTTTTTTTTTTTAAAAGGAGCTATGCGTTACTGGAAGTAGCTCTTAGTTTTCATTCTATTTTCAGGAAGTCACTGAAGGCTAGCTTTCCGATGATGCACTTTAAGTACCACATAATTCTGGACCTAGGGTTACTATATCTAGAAATTTCATAGACAGTTGGCTTCCATTTTTTTAAAATACAAGACAGTAGTATAACTATCTCATGTGAAAATAAGTCCAGCAATGGCTTTAATTAAATGCTGTTAAGAAATATATTGATTAATAGGCCAGATGGTTCTCAGGTAAGCAACATCAAGGAGCACTAAATTTTCATCAACAGTAAGCATTCTGATGAAAACACAGTGACTCTTTGTGTACCTCTGAGTGGACATGTCTGGCCTAGGCCGTGTTTGTGAGGTATAGCTTAAAGACATCCTAGAATTTCATTCCCCCTTCCACTTGTCCCAGTATTTCTGAGAAGCCTACTCAATTCTACAGCTCCCCAGATGTGGTTGGAAATACCTAGGGAAAGGATATGCTTCTCTCTACTTCATATTATACATAACTTTAATTTGCAAATCCCTTGAAAAGAGAAATTATTGCTTAAGTCTACTCCAGGTCTATCAAGTGGATATTGCATTTAGTTTGACCAGTGTCTATCCTCAAAGTGTCAACATAAGACACCATCTGCGTAAGGGAATGTTAGCAACAGTTTGAGAGGTACAGCCTCAGGTGAATCAGTGTGGTAGAGTGCAAGAGTCTTAGAAAATGAAATTCAAAATGACTTCAGAGATGAGGAAACTAGAGGTCTGGAAATGTTAAATGACATTGTATTATCACTGACGCCACACACGTCTTACTATTTTACCACATTAGACAGAGAATACGCAGGAGAAACTCCCAAAGTAGCTACAAATACTCTGTGACCTCACAGAATCTAGTTAAGGGACAAAAGGGGACAATTCCACTGAGAAAACCATTTCCTACATTTAAATATAGCTTTGGGATTTCAGAGCTTACTGGAATCCAAAACTTTCCGAGCTGCCACCCCTATATGAGATTTAAAACTCGATCAATTTGGTTTTTGATGACAGAGATGAAAGAGAGAGAGAAAGAGAGAGAAAGAGAGAGAGAGAGAGAGAGAGAGAGAGAGAGAGAGAGAGAGAGAGAGAGCATAAACGCACATTCTTTGCCAGGGAGTGGAAAGTTTCCAGATATATTAGGTCAGATATAAAAGCAAAAATACTCAACCACTTAAAAAGCTAACACTTATGAAGACAAAGCTGAATTTCCGTTCATGCTCATTAAGTTTTAAAAGCTTTCAGAGACCTTTTCAGTGGTGTTGAAAAGAAAACACGTGGTTTCATGTTTACTTAGTTTATCAAAAGAAAGAGATGGAATAGAGAGTATGAGGTCATTAGATGAAACTCATAATAAAAACCCAGGCCTCCCGACACATTACACACTGAAAACTTGAAAGTACTTAAAAAATAATACGAACAGCTAACATTTATTAAGCACTTTGTTATTTTACCAGACACGGTATCATCTTTCATCTTCACAATAATCCTATGGAGGGGTACTGCTATTCTGTTTCACAAACAATAATACAACTAAAATAAATACCCTGGATGATTGGGAATAATAAGTCATTTTTTCAGTTTAAACTGGCAGAACTAGGTATAAATTGATGAAAAGAATGTTGATGTGATACAAATTTTTGAAATACTTGGAACAAAACTTGTGGGAGAACTTCTCCAGAAAGTAACACTATATAGCCCAGCCTTTGATGTTATTAATCATTCCATTTCACCCTTTTGTAAGGTAATCCATAGTACCTGAAAATGGGAAATTACTTGGAAAATGGGTGTATTAGATATATTATTATTTACCAGCCCGAGATAATGGACAGTGATGTGAGTAAAATCTGGAGATTCTTGAGAAGTGATTCCAGAGAAGGGAGTCCAGAAAACTGTATTTAGAGATACATTAGAAAAAATGCATCATGACTTTTCCAACCATCCCATAATTTAAGATAAGAACCTTGTGATGAGACTCTCCTGGATTATCTCCAAACCAAGAGCAGATTGTCCATTGAGCATTTGGAGGGTGTGTAATCCTGATTGACCTTGATTTTAGACTTCTAGTCCCCAGAAGCATGAAAGAATAAAATTTTGTAGCTTTTAGCCACCAAGTTTGTGGTAATTTATTATGGAAATCATTAGAAAATAATACAAGTATTCAGAGAACGGAATTAGAACAAACTGAGTGAAAATAATAGGATGAGCTTGTTTAATTGTTGAAATTGCTCAGAAGTGTGAGAAGCTGAATTAAGAAAGCTTAACCTCCAGCAACTGGAGTTGTGATTTAATAGTTGAGTGGTCAGGAAGGAGAGACAAACATATTTCTAGATATAGTTTTCTGGACTCCCTTCTCTGGAATCACTTCTCATGAATCTCCGGATTTTACTCTCATCATTTTCCATTATTTCTGGCTGTGTAAACAATATATAGTTAGATCCAAAGAGGAAGATCCCAAGGTCCCAAGGGAAGCTAAAAGTTAATTTCAGTCATGCCTGGAAAATAGATTGGGAGTGTCTGGCACAGCTTCCTATCTTCAGCCATCTCCCCAGTTGATCACCTGATACTTTTCTATATGCTTTCCTACAGGCAAATAAAGACACCGTTTTCTTTTACTATTACAAACCCTTTGTACCTCTAGAAGCTTAGGGAAACAAAGCTTGCATAATTTCATTTAGCCTTAAAGCCATCTAAAAAATTTTTTCTTATCTTTTTAGAGAGAAACAATCGAATCCAGGCACAGGTACTTGATGCGAAATTGCATCAAACCAGCAGCTGTGTTTGCTGCAGTTTTGTATTCAACTTCACGAAGTTTCCCTTGGTCGAAAATGCACTAAATCAACCCCAAGCTCAAAACATCAGCAAACAGACAGAGACAGCAGAAAGGAACACCTGATTTCCATGAAAAATATAGTAATACTGTATTAGCTAGGGGAGCTCCTTTTTGTGTTGCTGTATGGTTGCACACGACAACATAAATTGGTCTAGAATGGAACCTCCCCTTGTTGGCAGAGTCACCCAAAGGAATGGAGAGATCAATAATAAACCCAGCTGGTGTAATATTGAATTGTTGCAAAACCAACTCATAATGGATAGCAAGTAAAAACACTGTACCCATTAAAATATGGCATTATTGCCATATGCAGCAACATGGATGGAGTTAGAAGGGATCATGCTCAGTGAAATAAGTCAAAAAGCAAAAAAAAACATCGATGGTCTCACTTATGGGAGGAATATGGGGGAAACAAATAAGGGATCAGGAAAAAAAATAACAATTAAAAAATATAACAAAACCAAACAACAATAAGAGACAACTATAAATCAGAGACATTCTGCAGGGGAGAGGAGGGAAGGAGACCCAAATGAAGGCAGGAAGAGCACAATCGACTACAGTGATGGTGCACGGGTGCATGGGTGGTGGAAATTCTATGGAGACTACACCTGAGAAAAGAAAGCAAACAATGTAAAAAAAAAAAGAATAATGATCTAAAATATATATAAAGTATAATTTAAATTTTTTTTTAAAATATGGCATTATTGAGAAAATCAAACACATTTGAAACATAAAGTAAAAAGAATGGAATCCAATTAGATGATCTGATCAGAGGGTTTTAAGAAACCAATGCAGTTCTTTTTTATTTTAGATATTTTTTACATTTTTCATTTTTGTACAATGTACGCATTTGCATCTTGGTTATAGTCCCTGTAAAATTCCCTTGTTTTGATACTACTCCCTTCTCCCCCCCGTAGTGTGTCTCTGGTTTATAATTGCCTGCTGATTTTGATTTTTACTTTATTATAAATAGTCTTTTTCCTGATCCCTTATTAAGGTTTTCTAAATTCCTGCGATGAGAAAGACTATCAGGTATTTTTCTTTTTCTTTCTGACTTATTTCACTGAGCATGATCCCTTCCAGCCCCATCCATGTTGATGAATATGTGATGGGGTAGTTCCAAGAAGCTCTAGTTTTGGTATGAGCTGGTAAGTGGAGACCACAAGAAACTCAGGCTGTGTCATCAAGTGCATGACACAGTCATTGAGAACACAGAAATTTTGGAGAAGTAGGCTGGGCTTGCTTTCGTTTTCCAAAAAGAAATGATAACATTAGCATCTAGAACTAAAGCTCTAGTTTCTACAGTAGTGCTGCATTAAGACTGTTCCCTGATTCATTTTTTACTTAACCCTCAATAACTGTTTTAATTTTATTTACTTTATTATTATTGAAGTAACACTGGTTTATAATATTGTATATAATTTAGGGGAATAGGTCCACACCTCCCGCATATATATCACCACACCTACCACCAAAGCACCCTTATTTCTTTACAGTAGTCCACTGAGCTCACTCCTCCTGTCCCTCCCTCCATCCTCCCCTCTACTAATTGAGTAGCCTCAATTCTACAGTCATATTTCTAAGGTTTGTTTTGGTTTAGATAGAGAAATTCAACAAATGAACAGGTCCCCGATTTATTTCCTCTGTGGACAAAACTAGGACTGGTCTACAGGTACAGAAGGGGCAGGAACTTTAAAAAAAAGGTGACCAAAATTCTTCCCAATCATGAGAGACATTGTATTAATTGCCATCACCATTCTTCAGGGTGTTGTAGTGTAAGTGATAGGTCTCTTTAGGAAAAATGACACATTAACTCAAACTGACATTAAGGAAGGAACAGTTGGCATCCAATCTTGAAACCACATTCTCTTAGTGGTTTTGGATAGCATGGGCTTACCCGGTTCTGGAGGGTTTCAATTTTTGAAGGTAGAGATGATACTAATAAACTTTACATCATCACCTTGTACAAAGCAGAAACTTGAGGGAAATTCCTGTGTGTTAGAGGTGAAAGAAAAGCAAAAGGGAGCTAAGAAAAAGAATTTTGTCTCCCAAAGTCAAATTACTGGTCTGTGATTTACCCAGAGCAGATACCCCTTTCTTGGTATTAAAAGCAAAGTACCAAGACACCTGTTGGTATTAAAAGCAAAGTCTGTCTCTCAAAAATAATGACTGATGTCTTCATTGCAGTAATAAGTAATGATACAAATTGGCCTTGACCCTACGGGTATTAATTTTATGTGAAAAGTAAAGCAAGAACATGCCGTTTGGGGCTTTGTGAAAAATGACTCTGAATATCCATCATCAGATAGCGAGATGGAGCACCAAAACTTTGCTTAATTCTGGCAAGAACCCTCCCCTACATCTCTTAAATATAGCATCTTTGTCACGTCACTGCCACCTAGCAGCAGTTACTAAGAGACACCCAGGACTGATTTGTTGGAAAACACTCATTCCTCCTAATACTGATCTTTAGAAGCTGCTGTCAATCTCCTTTCTTAACACTACCTCCCACAGATTTCTTGTCCTGAAGTCCTTCATCTCTGCTCTCTGGACTCATGACAAATCAGCAAACTCCAGGGTCCCTGCCCTTTTTTCTATAGGTTTCCTTTCATCTCTTGCGCTATGTAAATCCCCCTCTCCTAGCCCAGGACAGTGTTTCCCGTAGACCTCTGCAGTGGTCTTGCTTTTTTTGTAGCACTGCACAGGGGCATGACTAGGGGAGGTACCTTTTATATCCCTCTTTGCCTTTCCTGGTTTGTTTTTATTCTGATTCTTTGAAAAGTCCCTTTCTTGAACCCCAAGTCCTCAGTTCACTAGCCTTGTTCCTTTTATAGTCATCTCCACCACCATCACACTTGCTCATTCCTTGAAGGTCTTAGTTTCTAAGTGTCACTGTCTCCAAAACTACTTCTGTTATAATTATTTGTTCTATCAATAGAAGGAAAAAAAAAGCAGGTACAGGCCAAAGGCGCGGGAGGGTGAGAGGATTCACCAGAGACAGAGTGGGGAGCAGCAGGTACAACAGGAGGGGTCTGCTGTGCCATGTGGGAATCTCCCTAGCTGGCTGGGAATCGAACCCGCACTGCAGAGGCTGCGGACAGCTTCACAGCGCTGTGCTCAACCCGATGAGCCACTGGGGAAGACCTCTGATACTATTTATACTAGAATATTTAGTGACACACACATTGCAGAAGCATTTGGTAGTTACTGCCTATACAGTTGTGCTCTGTATAAAAATTTGTGTTTGTTTATTTTGGGAATTATTTACCTTTCTTCTGTGTTTCTTACCAAAACTCTAAACACTCTGGTTTTTTGTTTTGTTTTGTTTTGAATTCAACTATATGACTGGCTCGATTTCCAAGATACATCTGCAGAAAACAAAAAGAATTGAATATACTAAGTATTTTTCTGATTCTCTTTCAAACTTTGGAGTAAAAACAAGCTTTAGTCAATAGCATGTGACCATGAAAGTTTCTGAATGAGAAGAAAAAAATAGACAAATAGATGATGAAAAAATAAATATGGTATTGTTGGTTTAAATTTATCTTAATGCAAATAAAACAATTTTAAAAATAATTTTGCTACTTTGTATATGCTTTGTATTAAATATATTTAAGAGAGACTCACATAGTGGACAAATGATTTTAACTGACACACTTAGAGGGATTTATCCTTTGTTTACTGTCAATTTTCAGTGCAGTAGATAATCTGATTTACTCAACTCATGAGTTTAAGTTTAAAGAAACTGAAATTAAAAGCATCACATGTAAATATACAAGTTTCATCATTAGTTATATTAGGAAAGTTTTGTGTGTGTGGTTGGCAGGTTTGCTTTTGCAGTCTTGAGGTTCTTGGGGCAATCCATCAGGAACTGTGACTGCAGCTGGAAATATTTACAGGAATGTAAATAACAGGTGTGCAGCTTAATGTGTTTAAATCTATAGGCACACACAAAGTTCTGGATTTATCCATCTATTTGGTGAATTATAAGCATTTAAAATATAAAGTTTATATACAAGTATCTAAAAGATTATGCACATTGTTAGGAAATGTAAACTACTCTAATGATAATAAATAAACACATATCTTGCTTAGTTTCAATCTAAAAATTCCTGATATACTAGATTTGCTATTGTGTTAAAAAGCTTAAGAAAAGCAGCATTTTCAATGTAGAGCTGCTGTAGACTGGATGTCGGGACAGCACAGTTACTGTAAGCATTGTCCTTAGCACACAAAAGCCTCTATGAGACTTAAAAAAAAAAAGCCCGAGTCTCTCCCGCCGAGCCCGAGCGGGAGCCGGCCGTGCCCTCCCCGCCCGCCTGGCGCACCGGGCCCCGCGCCCTCCCCGCCCGCCCTGCGCACCCGGCCGCGTCCTCCCCGGCCGCCTGGCGCACGGGGCAGGGGCGCCAGCATGCAGGCCCCGCAGAAAGAGCACTTGTACAAGCTGCTGGTGTTTGGTGACCTGGGAGTGGGCAAGACCAGCATCATCAAACGCTACGTGCACCAGAATTTCTCCTCGCACTACCGAGCCACCATCGGCGTGGACTTCGCGCTCAAGGTGCTGCGCTGGGACCCGGAGACCGTGGTGCGCCTGCAGCTCTGGGACATCGCGGGTCAAGAAAGATTTGGAAACATGACTAGGGTCTATTATCGAGAAGCTATGGGTGCATTTATTGTCTTCGATGTCACCAGGCCAGCTACATTTGAAGCAGTTACAAAATGGAAAAATGATTTGGACTCAAAATTAAGTCTCCCTAATGGCAAACCAGTTTCAGTGGTATTGTTGGCCAACAAATGTGACCAGGGGAAGGATGTGCTCATGAACAATGGCCTGAAGTTCTGCAGGGAGCATGGTTTCGTAGGATGGTTTGAAACATCAGCAAAGGAAAATATAAACATCGACGAAGCCTCCAGGTGCCTGGTGAAGCACATACTTGCAAACGAGTGTGGCCTAATGGAGTCCATTGAGCCAGATGTTGTGAAACCCCACCTTACACCACCCAAGGCTGTCAGCTGCTCTGGTTGTGCCAAGTCCTAGCAGGCTTCTTTGCTGGAAGATCCTAGATATCATCTCATCATCTCCTGAATCGTGCCTCATTTTTTACCATTTTGGGTAAATGTCAGGATAGGGCTACACATGTGACAAACCAAAGATCTATGCCTGTGTCTTTTGTGTAAGAGAGAGAGATAGCAAATGTTCTTTTTATGTATTTCCCAGCACCAGCACAGTGTTTACAATCCTTTTAAATATTTAGTCTGTTACAGAATTGTGTTGCAGCAGCTGACCAAAAATTCTGCCATTCCAAAGCCAGCCCTGCTATTTGCTTCTTTGAACCAGTCGAGGCCTCAGGTTTTAGAGAAAGGGCAGAGTAGCAGACTGGCTGTCAAGTTAAGCACAGGCATTCATGTTGCCCCTGGTGTCTTTGTCCAGATTTCTATACATTGTCTGCTGGTTTGACAGGCCTATTGAGTAGAAACAGTATTTTTTCCAAAGATAACTTCCATTGTCTACAGAGCTAAGAGCTATCCCGATTTAGCTCTCAGAGTCATGTACACAGGCTTCCTGGGCTTTGTTGCTGTTATTGTCTGTTTAACTGAAAACTGTATGAAAAGATAGATGTGCCCCTTATATGTGCCCTTTTGTTAACTTTCTCAGATTCAAGTTGTGGGACTCGTATGTATGTGTGATATATATTATATATATTTTCACAAGTGAAAACTAAAACATTAAAAGATGTTGAGTTCCTGTTAAAAAAAAAAAAAAAAAAGCCCAACTGATGTCAGCCTGGGATGGATCCAGAATATCTTTCTGATGGGAGTGACTCTGAGGCTGGAAATAAGGAATCTGAGTTAGCCAGAACAATAAGAACCTGAGTGGAAGAGATGAATGATGCTGAGCAGGGGGCCAGAAAACTTCAGTAAAAAAGTAGATACCAACTCTTTAATTTTTTTTTTTTTTAAGAGATTTATTTATTTATTTATTTATTTATAGAAGCACTGGATACAGTCAGAAGCGCAGGAGGGTGAGAGAATTCACCAGAGCCAGAGAGGGAAACAGAACAGGCAGACTGATGAAATACACTGCTGAGGGCAGCAGCGGGCACAGCAGGAGAGGTCTGCGCGCCATGAGGGACCCTCGCTGGCCGCTGGGGATCGAACCGGCGCTGTAGAGGCTGCGGGCAGCTTCGCAGCCCAGTGCTCAACTACTGTGCCACCGGGGCGGGGTGGGGGGGGTACTCCTTAATTGAAAAAGTTTTCAAATGCAGCTAAAAAAAAAAAAAAGCTCTTCAAAATGCCCACAGCTTCCAAAGTACAGCCATCCGTGCAGACATGGTATGGTATTCATTGCCAACTGGGAGACAAATAAGGTTTGTGCTTTCTTCAACAGAGCTGGGCTACAGCTCAGTGGCTCAGGAAGCAGCTCAGTTGTCTCTCCCTTTCCTTCCTTCCCTTTTGAAACTAGCAGAGCTTTTCTGATGGGCAGTGAAACCATGCCAGGTGCGCCCCTCCCCCCCCCACTTCTGGCTCTAAGTTGTAATTCTGCACTAAGGTCAACACACCTGCGTGAATGGGAGGAAGTGGACATCGGATCAGGAAGAGACATATTGAATGTAACACAATGCCAACAGGCAGCCACCCGCCCTGCCGCTGGCCTTTCCAGGGCACCCCCTCCTGCCTGACCCTCTCTCTGCAGCGCTTCTTCTGGACTTCCTACGGTTGGCCACACTGGGCGCACCTAGCTACTTTCCCAGCTCAGAGCCTCCGTTCTCACTTGCTGTCACCTCTCCCTTGAACATGAACCTTCTCTGTCTTGTCCACCCGTTTTTGCAATGTCCAGAACAGAACATTCACACTCCTGAGAAAACATCTGTGGGTGCCTGAATGGAGTACAGGGAGTACCAGAATGCTGATTCAATGGCCTCGTCAGCACTGGCTTTAAATCACCCACTGGGCAAAGACACTTCTGGGAACTGCCAGACTGGCCTTTGCCTTCCACACAGGAGAGGCCTAGCCAGAGTCCTTCTGAGTTCAAGATAGTGGAACAAGCAACCTTCTGGAATACTTACAAAGCACAACCTTTTAAAGGCACAGAGACCATCTGTGTATGCAGGCTTTTTTTTTTTTCTCATCCTTGGTCTCCTAAGTTTGACCCAACCCCCTAGTGTAAGAGACCAGAATAAAGAAGTGCCACGTTGGCAGGTAAGAGACTGATTGGCACTGTCTTTTTTTATTTACCAGCTCTAGGTCACTGAGCAACTTGATGGCTTCACCATACATTTCTTTCCTTATACATTAAATGAATTAAAGACAATACTTGGCCTAGAAGGTTGCAAAGAAAATACTTCAAAGATTTAGTTTATCCCCTGAAGAAGTGTGTGTTCAATCTATGTTAACTGTATTGTGGGTTTGGATAATGTTATTAGTTATAAAGTGAAGATAACTTTCACTTGGTGGGTTCAGACTCTTTGTATAAATGAGGTTTGGCAAATGTTTAATTATTTTTTAGTAGACTTTCCTATGGTAGATTTTTGAAAGTAGATTTTGATTCTAGATTCATAGCAAAATTGAGCAATGGTAGTTTTCCATATACATCTTATGCCTCCTCCCCACACTCAGCCTCCCCCGCCACTGTCAACATCACACTCCAGAGTGACATCTGTTACAAATAATGAACCTAAAGTGATAATCATTTTCACCCACAGTCCATACCATACATTAGGGTTAATTCCGAATGTTGTACCATTCTATGGGTTTTGGCAAAAGTAGAGTGGTATATATTTACTACAATAGTATCATATAAAATATGCTACATTATAATATAGTGTAATATAATATAGTTTCACACTCTGTAAACCCTTTGTACTTGGACACCTATTCATCCCTCTTCCCCTATCCTCTAGCTGTCACTGATCCTTTATCCTCATCAGTTTTGCTTTCTTCAGAAGGTAGTAGAGTTGGAATGTCATAGTCTATTGCCTTTTTGGATGGTATCTTTCACTTAGTTGTGTGCACTAACATTTCTTGCATGTACTTTCATAGGTTGGTCACTAGAGTCTTTTTAGCACTGTATGATATTCTACTGTCTGGATGAACTACAGTTTGTTTATCAATTCTCTAAGGATAGCAGGGTTGCTTTTAAGTTTTAAATTGTTACTATTAACATGCCTGTTCAAGTTTTGGGGTGGAGTTATCAACTCCTTTGGAAATAATACAGCATGCAATTGTTTGATTATATGCCAGGCTGTCTTCCAAAGTGACAAAGTCCCACCAGAAGTGTGTGGGGGTTTCTTTTGCTCCACATCCTTTCTAGCATTTGGTGGTGTGTTTTTGACTTGGGCCATTCTAACAGGTGTTTTACTTACAACGGTACCTTGTTGTTTATACAGATATTTACTTGCCACCTGCATATCTTCTTTGATGAGGTTTCTGTTCGGAATTTTGATCTTTTAAAAACTGAGTTGTTCATTTTCTTCTTGCTGAATCTAGGAGCTTTTTATATATTTTGGATAAGTTGTTTATGCAATATGCATTTTGCAAATATTTTTTCT